TAAAAACACACACACACACACACACACACACACACACACACACACACACACACACACACAAAGTCCTGGCCAAGATTTGAACCAGGAACCATGCCCCCATTTGGCCATACTAATGACTTTACCGCCTAATTCCAACAGTCAGTGGTGTATTATGTCTGCTGAGAATTTCTGAGAAAGATCAGTTTCTCTTAAGATGTGACGCCAAGTAAAAAGTTCTGGTTTTATCTGCTGATGATATTGATCTCTGATGTTTCGGCCACACAAGAACACAAAAGACTTAACTGAATGTGCATTTTTAGTGATCAGAGCATTCAAGAGTGAAGGATGATGTCTTTCCCAGCACCGTATCCCGAGTAATCACGATAATCCGCTCCTCCTGGTTTCAGTTTTCTTTGTGTTGTGCGATTTGTAATCATCTGTAGGAGCCTCAACGGCAAGCATTAAGTCCGTTAAACAGGTGGGTCGTTTTAAAGATTCCTACATGAAACAAGGGCACTTTTAAAGCGCTGCAAAGCTCCATGATGAGATTTGCTCGAAAGCCAACATCTGCTAACCATTAGTGGTGCTGCACCTTCGGGCAGTTTAACCCTGATTTCAGTGGTGGCTGCTTGATTGGCTCAGATGTAAATCTGGTGTCAGGTATAATCAGCTCTTCTCTGTGCAAAGAAAACTGCTTGTGCATATTCCAAAAAGATGCCTTAGTATGTTCCTGTCCTCTTAGTTTTTTGGTGCAACACATCAGAGGCTTGGCTGCATCGTTAAAGCAGTTAAACGGTCGCGGGATTTCCATTTTCTAACAGCTCGGTGTCCGCTTTCATGGGACCAAAGATTCCTCACAACTGATAAAAATACACAGCCTTTCAGTAAGAATACACCCTGCACTGTGTTCTATGGGAATTTCCATCATTCAGGACAAGGCCTCTTTTACGATGAACATTTCAAGCCACAACAGAGCGCTAATGTGCCCGAAAAGAGTTGGATGAGCTGAAACCAGACTCTTTCAGCAAATGAGAAATTCTCTTGTTTCAGAAATGCTTTTTTTTTATAGACAGATGGTTGAAAAAAAAGGTTCACAAGGGGGGAAATAAATTCAGTCTGTAGAACTTTAACCATCTCCGTATGCAAAATGGCCAACTATCAGGCGCAGTGTTCCAGTTTACACAACTTAAAAGGCTCTAGAGTCCCTCACCGAGACATAAATCAACGTGTAAAAAGACTTCGGTAATTGCCCAAATCTCTGGTGAGACCACAGCTTTCCATAAATCATAACATGGTTGGGGTTTGAGGGCAGCCGTGATATTCTTGTAAACAGCTTATAGCTTGTTATTGTGCTGGAAGCACAGCAGAGGAGATTCACGGAGCAGCAAAACGGTAAGAGAACAATTAGTCGTCCAACAAACACAAACAGATGCACAACGGAAAATAGCGCTGCGGAGGAATCCTGGCTGCTAAATGCCTTCATTTGGGCTCCATCTCTTCCTTAATTACACTTTTGTAGTTTCCAGTCTTTAAGAAATGTCCAACCCCATCATTTTCATTGCGAGCGTGCTCCACACCAAACAATTAACACATCCTGACTGGCATAAAGGCCCTTTGTGCTCGCATGCCCCCACCACTGGAAACCTATTTAAGGATGTCACATACAGAGTTTTCTAACCTACACCCACTTCGAGTGACCCGAGACCAGTTAAGCCACCCGGGGCTCAAACTCAAGTCTCCCACACTTATTCAAACGAGCTGACAGACGGGGGTTTGGATGCGGGGAGTGGTTGAATTCAGAATAGATGGAAGAATGAAAAAAAAAGAGTGCAAAATACAAGCCTGTCTTTTATTTTCCCTGAAAAGTGAAGGAACTGTAAATCAACTCAACATTTCCCTGGAGCCAAATCATGGCTCATATTCTGCTGCTTGGAATATGCAAACACAAACACACACACACACACAAACACACGCACGCAGATATGGATCATTATGTTTTACTGCTCCTAATTTTAATCTCGTGGCCAACACGTGTTGATTTAACACGTTTTATGCTTCCGTCCATATTTCCTTTGAAAACATTTGATTTTAAAGTCACAGTTCATGTAAATATAACGTTTGCAGCGGATGCATTTTAGGAATTTTCTTTGTTAAACTCGGTATGTTTGTATCAAAAAAAGCGTTTCACGCCGTTATTCCTTTGGCTCAGACATAACTATCATCTGAGCCTGAAGAAGAAGCAGATCTTGCCGGACTGAAACTGAAGAGGACTTGGAAATGAATCCCTGTGGATGCTGCAGGCTGCTGACGCTGCTCTTGTCTCATAATAACAACATTCCACACAACGTTGAAGGCAGAGGCTGAGGATGTTTGTGATCATTTGCAGAGCTCTGAAGCAATGCTGGTTTAAGCTCCTAATCACATGATGCACATGTATAAGAATGGATCAACCAGTGAACAAAAAACAAAGTGATACGTCTGTTGAAACTAGGGGTGTTCGATATCCGATGTACCAATATAGTCTAAGTCTTACATTCTGGTACCAGTGTACTGGGTCCCCTCTCATAAAAGTAGCAGAACAAAATAATTTAAGGTATCACTTATGTCTTATTGTGCATAATTCATGGACGGAATTTTCACTTTAGAAGTGGGGGGGACACGGGGGGGGGGGGGGGGTATCTTTACAGTGGCTGTGTCTCAATTCAGGGTCTGCATCCTTCGAAGGACCCAGCCCACCCGGCCGACGTGGGCTGCGTCCTCCGTCGGCCGGGTAGACCGGATGTTAACGGCTGTGAATTTGGACAGGCCTAGCCTTCATGAACTCCCTCGGCGAACGTTCCGTCGCCTAGCAACCGTGGAACCGCTGGGCAGAAGGAACCTTAAACGATGGAGCTCGACGTTTTATTTAGCTTTTTAACCCCCAGAAACCCAAATTTAGAAAACAACTGCAAGATATTTTTAACCTTTCACATGTTGTTCTAGGAGGCCAGATAAACGGGCCTATTTACACATTTTAACAGCCAATAGTGTTGCAGAACTGAATAGGACCTATTAGCAATGTAAATGTGGTTTTAAAAAGAAAAAAAATGGGGAAGGTTTATTTTTGTAGACTTAAATCTGATGTTGTGATACTACAACCGTGGGTCTCTGGGGGTTAATCATTTCCTTGACTGTTGGAGAGCTAATTCAGAGAAAATACTTTAGACTAGCTGAGCCTGAGCAAAGATGTGATAATAGTTTTTAATACTTTCTAAGGGTCTTAATTTGACCAAAACCGATTTATCACCTTTTAAGACTTTTCAAGACCCAGCGGATACCCTCTAGTAAACAATTCTCATTTGTAAACAAAAATAAAATTCAAGAGTTTAATGCAGAACTGATTTTATTTAGATATTTCTTTTACATGTACATGTTTAATCTTCATTAACCATTTTTTTCTAGCAAAGTAAAAAGCTGTCAAAGTTCTTCCTTCTCTCCTGTGCTCTCTGCTGCTCTGCAGCCTCATGTCCTCCCAGATCAGCTCCAGAAGCTCATCGCTGGCACCTTCCCCTGGATGCCCATTTTCTCCAGAATAGTCTTAACAAACATGTAAGAAAAGAAACAGGAAGAGAAAAGAGGACAACGGGTTATTCCTTTCATGTTTTCGCAGAAAAAAATATACTCAAACGAGTTTTTAAAATATGAGATGTTGTTGTACCTCCATGCCACAGCCGCCGAATACTTTGCTCCGGTGATCATGTGGTCCATCTCCGCCCTAAGCTTAATAAATTCCCTGGTTTTCTCTTTTGGTCCTAAAATACAAACTTCTATTAAAATCAGGGGGAAACGTAGTGGGAGAAGTACGACACCGAGCGCGGCCGAACATACGAGCCGAGACCGCAATACAAGCACTTTTACTGTAACATTTCTAACTAAAATAACGTTCATGTATCACAAAAAGTCCTTAAACTGACAGTTTTCAAGTTTATACTTACATTTATATGCGCAATCCTCTCCGACAGCTCCCGCTTCACTGTCCGCCATTGTTTTTAAGTTTTTCTGCCGGCCGGCCCGCAAGGCATCTTGGGAAATGCTACCTATTGAAGGATACACCCGACCCATCCTTCATTCAGGCGAAAAGAAGGCCGCATTCGTCGACCGCATTTGAAGGAGTCTTCGAATTGGGACAGGCCGAGTCGCGGCGCTGTGACGTAACCGGCCGACGAATCCGGCCGAGGTAGGATGCAGACCCTGAATTGAGACACAGCCAGTATGTTCTAATGGGAAACAGGCTTCAACACAAACGGTTGTTTTCCGCTTGGTCCTAGAGCTCAACCAGTGTCAATTTAATATAGCGTAATGTTGTTTTTGGATGGTAAAAAGTGCAGGGGTCAAAACTTGACTTTGGGAAAAGTGGGGTGGGGGGGGACATGTCCCCCCTGTCCTCCCCCAAAATTACGTCCATGGCATAATTAAACTTTAAACATAATCTGAGCCTACCACCATTGCTCCTCAACACCTCCAGGGTCTAATGAGTCCTGCTCCATGCCTGACCAAACACCAGTAACCCAAGGTGCTGTGACCATGGGTCCTGTCCATAAAAGGGTGAAATACTCCCTTGTTAGTACGAGGAAGCCTCTGGTTGAAGATGTTTAAGTATCTTGGTCTCTGGTTTGTAAGTGATAAACAAATCTGGACAAAGCAATGGACTGCCTGATGAACTGGGGTATCATCTACAAAACTGAGGGCTGCTCCAGTCTGTAGTGGAGAAGAAGTCAGTAGTGAAGTGAAAAGGATCGTTCTTTATGTGCTGGTCCATATATTCCAAACCTTATCTAGGGTCATTAGATTTGGATCTTGGCAAAGAGAGCGAGGTCTGGAGAAGAAGTAAATGATACGAGCTCCCTCTAGGGGACTGGGTTCAGGTGAGGATGGAGGATGTGATGAAGCCACAGTTCTCCCCACCCAGAGGAGTCAGAGACTCCTGCATGTCCCTCAAGACAAGGGTCTGCAACCGTTACAATTTAGAGTTTTTAAAAAGGAAGAGGATCACATCCACTTGAAAAGGGTCTCAGATTCTGAGAAAAAAGTCACAAATCTCTTTCTTCATTAAAAGATGTTTGCTGTGATCTTTAAAAGCATCATTTTGTTTCTATTTTTAGGTTTCAAAATAAGAAAAAAAATAAATGCAATTTTTCCCTAAAACAAAAAAAAAACACTATTTTTTATGGGATGTCAATATTTGTTGAAAATTGTGAAAAAATATATTAATAATAAAATATCTAAAAATATTTCTGGTACTTTTAGGGTCATTCTGCTGTTAAAACTCAAGGCAGCAATTCCATAAAAACTGAAATTGTTTTAACCAGCATTTTTATTATATTCACATTTTTTTAAGTTAGGTTTTTCTAAATCTTTTTTTTACCTAAATTAATTAGAGCCAGGTTGTGGAAGACTGAAAGAACCATTAGTGGCTCCAGAGTTGTGGGCTGCAGACCTCGGCTCTTGGGGGAGACGCCTGGGCAGAGCCAGAACTTACCAGAAAGTTATCCATCCTCTCTAGCTAGGAAACTTCTTCGAACGCCTCAAAGGGGAGTGTGTCGCTGTGGAGAAGAATACTACTTCATCTTTGCAAAGCAGAATATAGAAGAATGGATGGACTTTTACCTTCACCTCTCCTGCTGGAGTATTTCAGTCATCATTGCAATCAACTTAAATAGTTTCAAACGTACATTTATTGTTCTATTCAGACAATGTCTGATAAATGGTTACTTAGAATGTTAAGCAGTGATTTTTCATTTCAGCCTGAGTCACCAGGGTGAGGCTACGCCGCTCCAGTTCCACACCTAATGTGGACTCTGACCCAATCATGCATTTGATCCTATTTCTCTTATCTGTAAAATGGAATGAGCACAACTTTTTTATTCAGTAGTTAGCCTTTTTTATGTTTTTATTCTTTAACTTAGATGCATTCTCAGAAGAACCCGGTCATAAATCAGCTGTTGGGTCACTGAAGATTAATAAAGCCCTTCGTGGAAACCTGGAACTTGAGAACTGTATTTACAGTGAGAACGCTTCTAAATGGCTGAATGGAGCTTTTGTGTACGTATCTGCGTGACCTTTGACTCTGGCTCTTCCTGGTTGTAATGCTCTGAAAGGCTGGCAGCAGCTTATCTAACACATTCCAGTCTATGTTCACATCACGTCTCCCAGTATACCAGATTCAAACCGAGGCTCCAGATAAAGTTTATCTCCTAAACATTCCCCTGACAATTAGTTTTGTAATAAATGTTAAGGCCACGCACAAATATTGTACTCATGTTGCTGCACTTATGTTAACATGGAAATCAGTAACAGTGAGAATGTTTTACTGGGTTTCATTTCCCCATCTATCTCTATGTTGCGAAACATCTTTTCATATCCTTGGTGGGAAAGAGGAGACGAGATGTTGTGAAAAGAGGCTACTGCAAAAATCAAGAAAATCTGTAATTTATATTTTATTGTCAAGACAGATCTGGTTTAGTGATTTGGAGCTTGTGTTTCTTGAGTTTCTGGAGTAAAGCTGGAAATCTGCAGGGAAAATTCTGTTTTTGCGTCATAAAAAGTCAGGTGTCAGTTGTCCTCTCCTGATCACTCGAAGGATCACCACAGCAAAGTAGTCGCTTCAAAAACAGTCAAGGTCTTGTAAAAAAAACATGTCAAAATTTAAAAACAGGACTGGGCGAGCTGATGGGATAAAATGAAAATTTTTTAAGTGCTGAAGATCTTAGCTGTGATTGAACAGATCAAAGCATCTCCAACAAAAAGGCTGAAGGGGAAATGCTTCCTTTCAGCCGCTCTGCTCCTCGACTCTGGAACTCACTTCCCCCAGACATCAGGAACATCGACAGTTTTACCCTTTTCAAAACAAAACTCAAAACACATCTGTTTAAATCTGCCCACAACCTCTGATTTTATTGAACTGTTTGTCTCTTTGTTTTTTCTTCTTTGGGTTTTATTATTGTTTTATTGTATTTTATTACGTGTTTTGTGTAAAGTGACCTTGGGTTTCCTGAAAGGCGCTTTTAAATAAAATGTATAATTATTATTATTATTACAAATAAAATGCAGAAAGTAAAGAAAGACTGGTGTTTAAGAATAATAGCACAATTCTTATTATTAATAAATAATTATAAATTATTTTGAATTTGGTTCCACTAACATTTAAATTAGGTAATAAATCAAATGAGCAAAAAACTGTTGGAAAATCCCTTTATCCCCTTTTGCTTCACACTAATTGTGTGTCAGAATGAAATTGTTACGCTGCGATCGCAGGAGGATTGGACCCAAGACGCAGAACACGACAGTACTCAAGGCTGGAGAGGTCGTTTAAATAAAAAACCCTTTTATTAGGACGAGAACTCAAAAACAAAGACTGTAGGACTCGAGGTCAAAATATCTAAAGTTCCAAAGTCGAAGACAAAAGCTCGCTCACTCATGAGCCAGATCCTATTGGGGGGGGGGGGGGGGGGGGGGGGGCAACGCTGACAAAGACAATGAACTGACAAACACTGGAGACACAGACAGGGTTATATACACAGGGCTGGGGTGACAGGAGACGAGGAGCAGGTACGTGGGGAATTGGGTACAGGTGAAACTAATAACAGAGAGGAGGAGCAGAACGGAGCGGGGGAGGAAACCAGACCTAACTGGGGAAGGGAACACATGCACACACACACTAAAGGAGACTAATGAACTGAAATAATAAACCTATAGAAACTACAGTGGAGAGACTAGGAGAACATGAGGAAAACCTGGAGGGAGCTGGGGACAAAAATGGCTGGGGGCTACAAGGACACCGAACATGAGGGGACACCTGGAGGGGGCTGGGGACCAAAGGGACACAGAACACGACAGAAATATTTCTAACAACTTGTTTCACTTTGAAATGTCTCAGTTTCGTTGTTGGATGTGTCAAAACCCAACCTTTGGCATCAATAGAAAATAAAAGTATGAAATGTTTTACAAAGACAGTTTAACATTTTAGGGTTTTCTCATTGAAAACTGGTGTTTGCTTTTAAGGCTCTGTGCGAGATGCATTGTATAACTTTATGAGACTTTTAATTTGGTGTGAGGCGTAAGATGACCAAAAGAAACACAAAAATCCACCAACTATGTGGAAAACTGGTTTTATTCCCAACATTTAACAGCTGTAATAAAACACCCCAAACCCGATTTCCTTTTTAAACGTGGAGGTTTATGCCCACAGAGGAGACAAGCACAAAAACCTTCAGAACGCTACAACTTGCAACAAATCACAGTTTTGCTGGACAGTAATTCTCCCCTGCAGCTGTTGAGCCAGATCATTTAACTCAACCACAAAAATCTGAATCAAGGCTGAGAGGGAAAAGAAGCTGGAAGGTTTAGACCTCGTAGGTCCAAATATCCACAACTGTTTTTTGGACCCATTTAAACTTGAATCTTTTAAAATCGCAAACAAGTTTGGAAACGCCTGCGGGTCTCTGAGCTGTGTGAAACTGAGATAACAGGGTCAAAGGTCGTCGGATAGGCAGGTAACAAACAAGCTGATAGTTACAAAGATTTAGGTCCTTTGTGCTGATGACAAGCAGAACATAAGGTAAAGCATCAGCAAAGCACTCCATCAGTCATGGTGGGGCGGTCATACAGAAGCTGCTCTCTGCTGGAGGGAAATTAGCTGCTCCTCGAGTAATTCTGGTAGAAATGAGGAAAGCAGAAAGGAAAAAATAATGTGTTTTGGGTTCATTCCCATGAAGTTCTATTTGTTGGTTTGTCCTCATTTGTCATCTGATGGAAAAGAAAAACTAAAAGAACTTATGAAAGAATCTAAAACAAAGTAAAATAAGAAAAAAAGCTTGAAAATGCAGAAGGTGCTAAATGTATAAATAATTTCCTGATCAGGTTTTTTTGCCCTCGATTCCGAGTCCGAGTTATTTGATTTAGAGAATCTGCCGATACCGAGTCCCGATCCGATACTTTCAATACATAAAAAAAGAAAAGGAAGAAACAGTTCCAGAATGTTTCTTATTTTTTATACCTTTTTATTTACATTTTTAACAACAGATCACTTCTGTGAGGTAGCTTAAACAATCAAGTAATAAATAACATAAATTCTTCACTTTTGGACTTTATTGCAAATATAAAAAGCCTAATATAAAAACAGATAGCACTTCAACTTAAAATACCTGACTGGGGTCTATTTTGCCTCGGCCCCCAAAATGCTTAGATACGCCCCTGGGCGTGGGACGGAGTTTTGATGATGATCTGAATTGTATCAACTATATAAATACTACATGCTGATAAGTTATTGCTTTATACAGGTACAAACGTGTAGTGGGATAAATCTACCTACATTTTATTTTGTTAAGAACTTTGTTTTGTTTTCTTGGCTTTTATTTTCCTGACTTCCTGTCCCGTCTGTCTCTGATCTTCCTGCATCTCCCAGTCCTCCAGAAAAACTCCTGCCTGCTTCCTTCTTTTTCACCTCACAAGTTACTTTTTAACCAGCAGATCAAATTGATCTATTGGCCGCTAAAAAAGCGGAACGTGCGCCGCGCTGCCCGGCTGCGCCATGCAGTGACGAGCGCTACAGCGCGAGCGCGTGCACACGTCATGCTCAAATACAGACAGAACTTACCAGAGAGAACGGACACAGATGACTGTGTGTTAATTGTATATTTTTGGTGACGCCACTTAGAAACTTAGAAAATGTTACTGTGGCCGTGTGAGGAACGCAGCTGGAGTTCATGAATGATCAGCGGTCTGCCTGCCGCTCTGCTCAAAAGAATCCCCGCTACGCTGAGTCCATATAAATAATATAATAAAGGTAGAAACTGGATCTTTGTTGTGCTCCTTCTGGGTGTGTAAGTTAAGGGCATCAGGGGAGCCTGACAACCTTTCAGGAGAACCAAGTTGCTCTCCTGTAATTAAAGCCCGAGTCCCGATCAGTCTGAAACCACGTGATCGGGCCGATTTCCGATCATGTGATCGGATCGGGACATCCCTAATAAATCCATATATTTGCATTTCTAAAATTATCCCTCCTTTTCCAATTGAAGACAAATTGTTCAGACACCCACGTGGAATGTGGAATACTCTTTGCCAAAAGGCCAGAAGAAAACAAGCACTCATCAAAGTCTGCAAGAAGATTTTTCAACATTCGTTTTCTTTTTTGACTTCAACTGAGCTTTCATGAATGTCATCTTGAGGGAATGGAAGAGGAAAACAGATTTAAAATATAGATGAGGTCAGTTTTAAGGTTAACCATGAGTCCTGTTTAGCAAGGCTCAAATAGAGCATAAACAACAAGAAGGAAGGAGAGGAAAAGAAAAGAAGAACGGAAGCCTTTTCTTTGACGTTTTTCTTGTATGTGGAGGTCTGATCTGCTTCTTCTCACTCTGGGAAACTTGGGTGTCAATTAACATTCCAACTCTCGACCTGACAGGGTGCTATAAATCACTTTTGCCCAGACTCCTTTTATTTCTGCTGCGCAGGCATAATGACAAGTTAGAGAAAACGAGAAAGGCTCTGCTGTGACCTTTTCTGCACTTTTCACCAGCTCATCCTGCTGCAGCTGACAACCTTTTTCTCATATTAGGCGCTGACATCCGTCATCAGACCTGTTGGTTCAAAGTAAAAACACCGTCGACCCTGACTCCTGTAGTCTGCAAACTATGATAGTTTTTGCTGATTTTAGACGCTCCTGGGATGCATTCGATGTTCCCCGCTTCGTGGCTTTAGCAGCACCTACTAGCTGTGTATTACTCTTCAGGGACATTATGCAACACATCCAGTTAACTCATCAGTCCTCTAGGATGCAAAAGCCATTTTACCCAAACAGAGGCTGTTTCGGAAGCTACTGGGAAAAGATAAGCAAGAAATTATTGAAAAAATGGCCCAATTTTTATTTTAAAGACCAAGTTTATTCTTTTATTTTCAAGCCATCTACTGTGGTCTCTATTATAAATCATTACTAATGAGTTCATCTCTGTGGGGAAAAAAGCTCTGGCTCTCCTGTTTCAGGAACTAGAAGTGGGCCAGAGGAGAGATAAGCAGAAGACGTCAGGTTTTGGAGTCTTATTTCCTGATAGTCAGACGTCTCGTCTCTGATTGGCAAACAGAAATGCAACTTTATCACTGACTCCATTCACCCCTTTAACTCTGCAACGATGATTTCATCTCAAATAACACAAGCCTGAAGGAGTTGTGCTATGCTGTGGAGTTGCTAATGCTAATGGTTAGCTTCTACTAGCTGAGATGTTCTCTGATCTCCCCTGAACACTTAATCAACAACAGCTTTCCCCGTCGCGAGCCAAGATGGGTCAGTGTCAAATGTCAGGCTTTTCAAATCCATATTCCCCCGTCTATTTTCTATCAGCTGCTAATGCAGGAAATAGGGGTAGAAGGCTATTTTCATGTTTACCCTGCATGTGAGACTCAGAGTGGCCGGACATATTTAAAAAATAAGAAGTTAAAGATAGTTTCTCAGTGTACTGAACACCTGTCTGCTTTTCATTGAGGTGATGGTGGAGGTATTCAAATCCTTCACTTCTGTATCTATGCCAACATACAAATATGCAAAATGTTTGCAGGATGAGTCAAAAATAAAAATCCAAAGGGCTGAAAGCCAAAAAGCCAAAATGTCTAAAAATATAAACCAGAGATCAGAAATACTAGAAACCACGAGAAGAACCAAGAAACACTAGAGCTAGGAACGAGAGACTGACAGAATAACAACAATGGACCGACAAGAACAATGAGACAAGGAGAGGCTTTATACACCGGGGCTGGAGTGATAGGAGACGAGGAGCAGGTGTGTGGAGTGAGGGCTGGAGGGAAGGCAGGTGACAATAATTACCTAAATAGGGAAACAGAACCAAAGGAGGACAGATAAACTGGAAACTACAAATCCAAACTAAAAGGCTGCGGGAAGGACTAACACACACACACAGACATAAATAACTCACACACACATAAACTGGGCTGGGGAACAAGAGGCTGGAGCTGCAACTGGAGGGACAGAGGATAACTAAATGAACACCGGACCTGAGGGAATGATAAAAAGGCCTACAAACAGAAGACACAATATTGAGATGCAGACATGACACATGGGGGCGCTATGAGACACAGAAGGGAAACTAGAGAGGATGAGAAACATCAGGAGACACATAAAGGAGGGGGCAGACGCAGACCATGACACTCTCCGGGGAATCAGTCAGCTTGCATACTTTGAAAATCGGACGGGTGCACCCGGAAGCCGTCAAATTCAAACCACAACCTCAAATGTCCCAAACCCATAGAGCAGTTGTCCTTGCAAGGATGAATCTAATCGCAGCTTTGACAGCTTCGCTGCCCATTTTTCATGTTCCATCCAAATTATTTGCATACTGGACAGAGATGAACCATAACAATTGTTTTTTGGCTGGATTTTTTTTTTTACTAACATAGACTTTGCAGGAAGATCCTGCAGGTTTGTTAAAACCATGTAATTTACTGTGGGGCTGCTTTGACATTTGGACATAATCCTCATATTGGCTCAAATGTTATTATAAACCTGTTTAGCCAAACTTTACTATTTTATCACATCATTCTACTGTAAACCTTAAGGTCAATCATGAAGATCCACCAGTGAGAAGACCTACAATTTATAACAACATTTGGGGTTATAAAAGAAAGAGCTCAGGTGGTTGTTGCTTCAAATGGTAAATAAAACTGTTGATCAATAACGATATATATATATATATATATATATATATATATATATATATATATATATACACATACATATATATATACATACATATATATACATGTATACATATATATGTATACATACATACATATATGTACACATATACATACATACATATATATATATATATACATACATACATATGTATACATAAATACATACATACATATATATACACATATATATATATACATATATACATACATACATACATACATATATATACACTTCATAGCCAAAAAAATAAGCTGCCACCAAAAAGGTCAGACTCTAATATTTCGTTGGAGTGCCTATAGCTTTACGGCACACCTTCGCTGTGGGGTTGTTTCAATAACCTTCTGCAATGTCACAGAATTTATTTCCACCGAGTGTTGCATTAATGTTTCACCAAGATCTTGCATTGGTGATGGTTGAGTCTGACCGCTGCACAAAGCCTTCTCCAGCACATCCCAAAGATTCTCAATGGTCTGGACTCTGTAGTGGCCAATCCATGTGCAGGAATGATGTCGCTTGCTCCCTGAAACACTCTTTCATAATGTGAGCCCGATTAATCCTGGCATTGTCCTGTTGTTTTGTCGCACACTGACATCTTCTGACAGCTAAAGAACCTGCAGCACTGGTGAACAATGGACCATCATAAATTATAATATTCAGTTCCTGAGCAAATTGCAGACAAAAAACCTCAAGAAAGACAAAATACAGAGTTATGGACCATTTAATGATCTTCAGAAGTAAGTTAAACAACCATTTATGTTACAGTTTAAAATGTCCTCATGGAGGAACAGCAAAATACACTCAAAATGAAGATTGATCAAAGAACATTTTTCATATGAATCACTGCTTAAAGACCTTTTTCCTCTTTTTTCCCATTCGTATATCAAAAATTAAAAGTGCCTTCAACATCACCATGAGCGTTTTCAGCTTGCAGTCAGAAATATTTACACCAGTAAACTGACAAGCATGATTTTACTTTCAGCATCGGTTTTTCTCTCTCTCTCTCTCTCTCTCAGACACACACACACACACACACACACACACACACACGCACACGCACGCACACACACACACACACACACACCTCGTTTTCTGTCTCTTGTCAAGACTGCTTTTTTTGTTGCAGAAAACAGAAATAAGGACCCTGGGAAAATAAGATTAAAAGACAGGAGGAAAATACACAAGATGACATTTCAAGGATGTCAGTATTTACAGCTTGGCTCGAGGAAAGTTAAAGGAAATGATGGAGACAAATAATCAGCACATCCATTAGCGGCCTGATGTCAAGTTTAAGTCACATTTTTTTACCTTTGTGATCCTACTTTACTTTTTAGGATTTCAAAATAAAACATGCTGCTTTAACATCTGATACCAAGTAGTGGCATGATTGATTTACTAAGTATGCAAGTTTTCAGTACAAAATAAAAATCAGACGACAGGGGGCAGTATGGTACCACGAGTGGCAATGACAACAGGAAACAGGAACAAAAATGCACCCCCTTCACAATATAAAAATTCTTTAAAAAAAATCATTATGTAAAAAAATCTGTAGACACAGAATTATGTTGGTAAACAACAAAGACTTGAAGTCTGCCTTTTGAATGGAAATGACACAATATGAAAATAGGTTCTGATTGCATGTAGTTTAACAAACTTGCACATGTTGAGCTTTTGCAAAAGACAATTTGGCACAAAAAAAATTATTATCTTGCAATTTTTCCTGCCACAATTCCACATTCTTCTCGGTTCAAAGTAAAAGTAAACAAAGCAATAAATAAAAACTGAGAAAAACATAAAGAACAAGTATAAAGAAATAAGTTTCATGATTTGTCTTCTAAAATAATCTGCTTGGTCTCTCCATTTTGCTTCAGTCTTTCAATATTTATAATATTTACAATTTCACAATAGGCTTAAGGAAAATGCAAATAAAAAACAACAAATCAAATAATATTTTTCCATCCCCTTTTGAGGCGTTGAGGGTAAACTCTTGAAAGTCCCATCAGGAGGTTCCTGGGTAGGGGAACGATTCACGACCGTATCCAAGGATGGCGTGGAACTTTGCAAAAGGTGAAGCAGGACAAGCGATATGATTGATGAAGCTGAAATGCATTTCTATCCTTTTAAAGACAATACAATTTCTTTAGCACACGCGTGAGTGATCACTAGAATAAATCCATGACATGTCTTAATTTATACTCAAATCTGTACAGAGTTCAGGATTATTTCTTAACATAGTGCAATGACTTTTCACATAGTCTTTTTTTAACAAAAAGGAAAAAAGAATAACAAACACTTTTATGAAGGTAAAAAATATCCCATCAGAATGTCTTCATCCACAGCTTCATGAATGTTATGAGTTATAAAAAGTTATGCACAACACCTCCAGTAAACAAAACAAAAACAAATGCAATCTGCAACAATCATCAAAAATCCCCAACTGAGTTTTCACATCCTGTTTAGAAAGAGTTTTTGGAAATCTTCATCACTGGGTGATTTAAGGACTTGGTGATGTGAAAGACGAAAGGTGAGTCCAAGACAAATGAGAACTTCTAAAGTAAAACTCGTAAAAATGAGGCAATTCCAGTTTTCTAACTGGTAGATTTCAAAAGGGCTGGTGTTGGCTTTGTTTAGGACCAAAACAGAGGTAATCAAACAGAAGCAATGACAATCATGAGGTGAGGCGAAATGCTGGAGACGCTGTTGAGAAGGTCGGGGGCCAGACGCAACAGATGGCTCTCCGAGAATTCACACGGTGGGAAAATTTGCACCACATAAGCTGGCTGTAAAGTGAAGAAAACAAACGACAGCAGAACAAATTTCAGACAAAATAGAAAGAAATTCATAACAGTCTTTATAATCTAAAGTGCTCAAAAAAGGAATACAGTGATCCCTCGCTACTTCGCGGTTCGTTTATCGCGGATTCACGACTTCGCGGATTTTTTCTTTGGAGCCTTATTCAAGGGAAATTCGCCGATTCGCGGTATTTTTCTATGCGAAATATCAAGAAATTCCTGTTTTTTTTTTCAGCAATTTCATCATAACATGCACTTTTTGTAATAAAACTATAAAAAAACAAGTAAAAATACAGTACTATGTAAAGGGAGGGTTTTAAAAGTCTGAATACTGAATACGTACGTACCTGTTAAATAAATACTGAAAATATGGTGTCCCTACTTCGCGGATTTTCACCTATCGCGGCCAGGTCTGGAATGCATCTACCGCAATAAACGAGGGATCACTGTAGGTTGAAGCAGAAGCTAAATGGTGTTACACACAGGTTGACTTAAGTAAAGGAGGAGCACTAACCTGGTTAGAGCCAGGGTTGGGCACATTGATAATGCCAGCTGCCTGTTTGGCTTGCAGGTAGGTGATGAAGCCACTTTTCAAGGCTTTTGTTTGACCAAGGACATCTTCTTTGTCTCTGCCACAGGGCAGAGCCAGTAGCAAACAGTAGTCATTTTCCATCTGCCATAAGAAGTATATTTATTTTATTTTTGCTAAAGTAAACCACAACAAGACAACATTCAAGTATATTTTTCATCAGCTGTTTCACTTCAAACAAGTGTCCAAGGTAGACATCAACACTTACGGTCATTCTGCGCGCTACGCTGTCCAACTGGGAAGCCTCAAGCCTCATCCTCTGGACAATACGGAGAAGAGAACCTCCTTCTGGAGGCGGCAGGGAACGCTGAGCCAGCATGGTGTTGCCAGAAACAAAGTGCAACTGGACGGCAGCCTGGTCATTCTTCAGTGCCAGGAGACCTTGCCATACTATAGGATATTTCTACCGAAACAGATCAGACAATGTTTGTAAGCATCTAGTTCTCTTTTCTATAGTCATAAAATTGTTTTCTGTGTTACAACAATGCCTGTGCATCAGTCCTACCGTTAAAAGCTGCACCATGTCAACCGGCCGGTGTCCTGAATGTTCCAGCTTCATATCGTGTCGTGGCTGCTGTGAACTTGATGGTGTTGCTGTTGGAGGTGGAGTAAGAAGGAATGCTGAGGGGCCTTTTTGTAGAGATAGATCAGGCTTGTGATTGAGGCCCATTGGGGACATCAAAGGAGACTGGTATGAAGGCGAGACCGTTTCACCTGTGATTCGAGAAATGTGGGATGGCTCTGAAGAGGTAGCATGGTGATGATGGGAACTCTCAGCGGTGGAATCACTTCCTCCGACATGTGACTGAGACATTTTTCCTCTATTACCCAGATCCTGTTCCTGCTGGATCTGACAAAGAAAAATTTACACCAAAGTTTAATACTTGTCCCAATTTTATGTTTCTGAATCAACCACTAGCTATGTATCTTAAGAAGTTACCTTTGAAGATGCAATTCCCGGGTTAGTCAGGTTGTGTCCTGAAAACTGGGATGGGAAACCCCGTATGTCCCGGTATACTGGGAAGGAGCCTGCTCCTCCTGGATGCATCAGCTGAACCCCATGAGGGTGAGAAGGCATAATGATGGGACTAGATGCAGATACTCTTATTCTACTTTCACTGTTTGTTGGATGCATTAGCTTTCCTTCAAGAGGTTTGAGAGGCTCATTTGCAGAAAGCTCAATGCTCTTTCCCATTACAGGACTTTTTGAAGGTCCAGAGATGTTGCTTGAAGATGTTGCTGGAGTCTCTGAGTTGCGGGACTGTCTTGCTTCCAAAGCAGCTTGTTCTCCTAGTTGCTGGTGCATGAGTATGCGTTGGTGCATGTCTCTGTACTGATCCATACGCATGCTTGGATGAAGTCCTCTGGGATCACCGTGAACCCTCATTGCATCTGAATGAAGATGGGGAACTGAAGGTCTACCGAGAGCATGGTTAAAATGTTTAGGTTCCTCTTCACTTGCAACGTTGCCACCACCGCCACCACCACCTGACACTGAAGTTTGGGGACTCGAACGAGACTGCAGTATGATATCTCGAATGACATTAGGCTGCGGTGCGCTGGAGCATTTTGCAGACCCCTGATGTGGAGAGGACAGGGAGTCTCCACGTCTTCGGTAGTTTAGTCCAGATATAGGTGGGTTGTTCATTCTGGCCTCATGCACCATTGACTGAGTGACACTGTGAGGCTGAATTATGACAGAGGACTGCTCTGGATGTGAGTGATGCAAACTGGAATGGTACGTGGGCATTGGTGGCATGCTGTGACTGAGAACAGAAATTCCGATGGGTGAGCTGCTTGGTGGACAGTTTTTGACAAAGGGTAAGGAAGCATGGCCGGCTGTTCGTGGAGACTGGGATTCTTGCTTGAGGTGCAGCGTTGACCGATCATTTGTGATTCCAGGGCTAGGACTCATACACGTTCCAGATATCGATGGATGGTGTGGACTAATGACTGGGCTTAGGTTAGACTGCTGAACAGTATTACTCATGTCCATTTTTTTAGGCAATGGGTCTGTCACCAGTCCTCTCTTGCTATGCTGTTGCTGAATAACAGCTTGGTTGTACATTAAAACTTGAGGGGAACTAACTGGTGGCTGGAACATCTTTACCACACCCTGAGAAGATGTATGATATGGAGCTTCTGATTTGTCACAGCCAATAACTTCCTGTTTGATGCTAGAAATTACAGGCTGAGCATTATAGGATTGGCCAGTCAAAAGGACCCCAGTGTGCCCATAACCTGTAGGAGTTGGTGCAACTTTAGGTGTAGGCGAATGGGATGATGAGATGAGCGGTTCTTGCTTTATCTGAGATTTGGACACAGATTGCTGAAACTCTATATCACCAGCACTAGCCTGAGGAATCTGACTGATTTTGGCTCTCATCCTATGTGGCCCTTCAGTTTTCTGACCAGAATAACTCAAAACAACGACACCCTCAGATGTATTGACCCTTAGTCCAGGACTAGAACCTGAATGGTAAGGAGTGGGTTCAACAATTGAGCGCCCTCTTGCGCCATCTTCTACAATATCTACACCATGGCAGCGGTTATTCTCATTTGAGTTTAATCTAAATTTTTGTTTTGGAATGAGCGGGCCAATGCTTCTGTTGCTTAGAGTAATCCGTGGTGTTTCCTCTGTATCATAAGGCATTGGAATTCGACTTATTACTGAGGTAGCAGGAGAAATAACTGTATGCTGTGTCTTTTCTCCACAATTCTGTTGGGATTCAGTCAGTGGAGATGGTTTATGGTGTACAGGCTGAGGTATTAATGGTGGACGCTGTTCAGAATGTTGCAGTCTTGAACTACTGGTTTTGGTAGGATTTTCATTCTCTGATGTCCGTGAAAGATCTGACAGGGCAGATGTGACTATAGTGCTAGGTGTAGAATTGCTGTTTGATGCAGATACATACTTGGGTTCCATTAAGATTTTCCTCAGAGTACTGGAACTGGAATCAATATCAGAGGCCTTGGTGTCAGGGGGCATTGGGGGATTTGATGAAGGGTTTCCAAGAGTGGTTGATGGAGTGACAGTGGGAGTTACCACTGTGACATGGCATGGAGCATTAGCATAAATTCTGCTTTCTTCAGACCTCTGTGACCAGTTAGGTGAAAGTGGCATTTTGGCCGGTCGCAGCAGCGGTAGGCTGAATTGGGACACTGGGGATGGATGAGCAGAGATGATGGTTGGAGTACTTGGCTTTGCTGTTTGGAGTTGCTTTTTCAAGTCAGAGTTGTTGTTGGTACTTAAATGAAAAGCAGATTCTTTAGGTACAGGTTGTTCTACTTCAGGCTGTTCTGCCTCTTTGGGGTTGTCTACAGTCATAGCACTTGTAACATCCCGTCTACAAGTTGCAACAGCTGTAACAACAGAAGCTACTGCTGTCATTCCAGCTGTAACAGTAGCTGCTTTAGAATCAGTGGTTTCTGGATCATCTGGGATTGACTCGGGAAACTTGACGGGCGAGTGCTCAGACTGAGAGGCCTCATCATCAGTATCCCCTTTTCTGATAATGGCACTTTTACGATTTCTGGACTTCTTTGGAGTTTTGGCTCTAACTTTAACTGCTTTCTTAGGTGTTTCAAGTGGAATGGGATCGTCATCTAATTTAGACTCCAACATTGACCCTTTTGGGCTTGTCTGAGAATCTTCATCTAAATTTCCAGCAAGAATATTATTGATCACCATATGTGTTTCAGGTTCCATAATGTCATTTGAGGACGAAGTAGAGGATATTACAGACTCAGGGGTAGGAATAAGTGCAGTGTAAGTCGGTGGAGTTGGGAACCCATCTGCATCCCCACAGGTGTCTTCAGCTGTAATAGAATCAATAGCAGCAGCTAGTTCAGTTTCACTTGCAGGATTAGCCCGCTTTTCCTCTTCCACTTCAACTTCTGGTTCCACTACAGCAGGAGGCAATACAGCAGGTTGCCCAGGTGGGGGTTCTTTATAGGGTCGAGAATGTTGGTCAGCTGTGAGTTTGGCAATATTTTCAACCGCTTGCTCAAGCTCCTTCTGTCGTGCTAAAAGAACAGCAACAGGATCGGCAGGAAGTTCTGGTTCCGATAATGTGTCTTCATTTTCCTGTAGACCAAGTTCTTTGGTGTCTTTTGGAAAGTCTGCAATCTGTGTTTCCACATTCTCTTGTACAACCATCTTAGTTTTTGTAACAGCGTTAGCTTCAAAACTCTCAGACTCAACATGTTCAGAACGAAGTAAACCTTTTACATCATCAACACTAACCCTAATTTCTAGATTTTTTAAACTGTGGGATTTTTCTTCAGTGACCTGCTTGGAATTTCGTTTGAACCTTGGTGATTTGGTTTTAATACTTTTTTCAGTCTGCTGTCTGAAGGAGCTGGTGTCTCTTTTTTCAATGTTCTCCTCAGGTAGTTTTTCATCATTCTCTTTTAAATCATTTTCTTTTCTGAGTACTTTTGTATTTGCGTTTTCTGCCTTATCTAATGACTTGCCAAATGGTTCAGAATCAGTGTTAGGTTTAAGGTCTGAGTCCTCATTACTAGCAGAATCAGCCTGATCAGCTAACACTATTTTGCTAGCAGACAATTTGTCCATTCTACCCCCTTTTTTGTTTACAAGCGTTGGTGAAGTTACTAGTGTTTGTTGGAGTTTTTGTGTACGAGGTGAACGCCATCCCTCTGAGGCTTTCACAACTTCCACTGTACTCGATGTGTCTCTAACATCTGTGTCTACTTCAGTCATCTTCTTCTTATCCCCTTTTGGAAGGGACATATCTTCTGCTCTTTTTACACCTCTTTTAGGAGGACGTCCCCGCCTAGCAATGGTAGGAATTTGAACATCTTGGAGTATTTGCTCTTTGTCAGCGCCACGTTTCCGTGTGCAGCGTGATGACTCTGTAACCTCTTTTCCAGCTTGTTCATCTTCATGTAGTGTGGCATAGACTGACCTTACATTCCTCCTCCGTGTTCTCCCGTAAATTAAACTTGACTCAACAATTTGTTCCGAATCTGACGCATGTACTGGAGACTTGGATGTGGTTTTAGACTCAAGTAACAGCTTGGGTGCTTCTCCTCTTGGAGATGATGCTCTTTTGAGTTTCTCTTTATCAATCCGTTCACTCTTTCGTGTTGCAGGCTTTTTGCTGCTGACGATGTGAGCTGGTTGTGTAGCACGCAAAACAGACAATGACTTTGCCCTTTTACCCTTTGGTTTTCTGCGGGCAGGTAATGGTTTAACTTCAGCTTCCAGTTCTGGCATGCATGGCTCACTATCTGTCTCTGTTTTCTGTGGTTCCTCGTGGTGTTTTGTTTCCTGGTTTTCAACATTAGGCTCCAACTTAATCACTTCAGGTTTTTCTTCAATTGGTGAACAGTTCGAGTCAGCTAATTCTGCTTGCTCTCTTTTGAAAGCACTTTGCAAACCAGGAGAAACGAGAGAGCTTTCTTCCACAATAGGATCATGGTCCATCATCAAACTATCATCAAACTTGGTTTTGGGTTCAGTAACCTCTGCCTTTGTGTCTGTTTTGATTTCAACTTCTGAAATTGTGGGTGTAGGGAGTAAAAGTACCTTAGAGGGAGATGATGACTCAAGATCTTCCATTGGAAGGGAATCAGGTGGGGGTCCCTCAAGGACTGGCTCAACTTCATCTTTGACAAAAGTGACTGGAGGATCTGAAAATGTATTTACATTGTCCTTCTTTTCAGGTATAGAGGTTTCTTTGGGAGAAGGCACAAATGATGAAACTGTTACGGGGGGGCTGGCAGATTTCTCATTTGCCTTTAATGCTGGCTCTGATTCCTTATCAGAAATCTCATCATCACAGTTACAAATTTCACGTCTTTTAATTTCCACTTCTAACGAATCATTCTCAGCCTCTGATGAGGTATGGTCCTTGTCTTTTTGTTGCTGAAGCTCCAAAAACCGACTATGAAAAAGCACTATGGGCTCTTGTGGAAAATCGGCTGTTCCAGACTCAGGATGTGCATCAATGTTGCCGGGTTTGGTAAATGGCCTGTTGCTTCCGGTCTCTAAATCTGGGTCCTTCCGCTCAAGATGCTGCAATCGCCGTGAATCCTGTTCAAAGATTGAACTATGCAGAAAACGCGAAGCAAATAATTCCTGGCGTTCTTGCTCCTGTGGCTTAAGTTCCTCCTTTTTATCATGTAACTTTTCATCAGAGTTAGTACGAATCTTTTTCTTTTTCAAATACCAAGAAGGAATTGGTCGAGGTGCTAACGCTGCCTTGTCCTTATCAGAACAACCGTGGGATGCTGGAAAGCGTGAGGGGAGAAAAGACCAATTATCCTCCCTGGAGGAATACAAAGTCTTGGCTCTTTCAAGGAGTGCTTTTGTATCAGGGGTTATTGTTTTGTCTAAAGCAAATGAGTAAAATTTATTTTTCTCCAAGGAGCTTGAAAGCTTTGTCATCCTCTCATCACAACCCCTGAGAATATAAGACAAGGAACTGCTCGATTTGGGAGAGATGTGCTTGTTTTCTCCATCATCGTCTGAATCAGACTGGACCTCTCCAGGTTCCAAATCCTGGCTAAGGCGTTTGCGGATGCTTTCACGTTTTGAAATATCAGTTGAGAAATTGATTTCCATTCTAGAAGAATCAGACTTAATCTGCTGTTCCCAATGCTGCATTAACTCATCATCAAATCTTAGCAAGGATGATTTTTGTTTTTGGACCTCATGTTTAGACGGCGTAAAATGTTTGGTTGTCAGGCCCAAACTATTTTTGATTGATTCTGTGTGAGAAAATCTTTCGTCTGTTGCTGGAGAGGATTTTCTTTCCTTCTTGGTGACTGATAAAGAAACATGGGCTGTTTCATCATCCTCATTTTCAGAAAACTGACCAGCTCCTATGATGGAAGGTAAATTGTAGATGTCATCATTCAATTTTTGGGAACGAGCAAAGTCTTGTTTTCCTTTAATTAACTCAAAGTCAAAACTTTCCAGTTTGACTCTCTTTTTAAAAGAGAAGTCATCACCAGTCATATCTTGAAAAGGTTTCCCAACATCACGCATGATGTACTCCTTTTCAAAATCAGCACCTTCATGATTTGGTGATTTGATCAATTTATCAGTATCAGCAAGTTTTGACGGGAGCCACTGATTCTTTTCCATTTTGTTGGATTGGATGAGGCTCATTAAGTGGTCATCTTCTTCAAAGTCTTTGCACTTTCCTCTCCCACATTCATTTTCAGACAAAATCTGATTTTGTTCTTTTAATTCCTCCATATCAAGGTTGGTGTCATCTAAAATATTTGGCAAATTGGAGCCATTTTCACTTTTTGAGCCTTCCAAATCCATTTTAATAACGGGAGACTTCATCTGGGCTGTAAGATCTTCTTGTAGCTCTTCATTATGAGACTGTCCCTCTAAAGGAAGATCTATAGAGTTGTTTTCACTGTCTCGTCCATCTTTGGGACTAATAATCAAAGCCATTCGGATATATTTTTCTCTGTGGTGTTCCTTTTTATGTATTCCTCTTATCAAAAGGCTTTTTTCTGCGTCTGTCTCTTTTGTATTGTTGCAGAGTTTGTAGAGTCCAGGTCTACCGGAGTCCTCTTCATTTGCTCTTTTTTGTCGATCCGTTCTTCCAAAATCTTCAAAGCGCCTTTTTCTTGCAGCTAAACGATCAACTTCCACAGAAACGGTATTTTCAAATTCAATATCAGATTTCACATGCTTTTTGGATTTGATTTTACCATCTTTTTCAGCAATCTCAGATGAATTGTGCATATTTTTATCTCTTGGCATCTTTCCATGCTTGTCAACTTTCATTGATTCAGAGCGGAATGAAGGGCTCCTCTGGTCGGCTGTAGGTGATGCCAGTCTAGGACTGTCACCTCTTGGTATTTGTTTTTCTTGAAAGACATGACCGATCAGTTTTCCTTCTTTTTCTTTAACTCGTGTTAACTGAACAACACAAGGCAGAAGGTCAAGCCTTCCTTTCAAAATTTCCTTTGGAATTTTACTAGCCTTACCTCGCTGAACAGCCTCTGGACTAGCATCTCTTTCAAGTTCAGGTTCTGTCTCACATGTCTGGAGAGTGGGTGATGTAACTTTGAGCTTCTTAAGCCTCTGTTTTTCTTTCTCTTTCCGGCTGGTTCTCTTCTCCTTTTCCACCAGATTCCCCCTTTCAATCTCAAAACTTCGATCTTTGTCAAGATTTTCAGCTTTAACAAATCTTTCCGAGCGAGCTTTTTCGAGTTTTTCAAACCTGGGGGGGGAAATTGAACTGCAACTTCCACTTCTTTCAGATGACTGACAACAAATTCGGCGGTCTGAATCACTTGGTATTCTCTCAGAAAGTGACGGAGATGCGGTGGGGCTGACAGGACGACGAGTGGAAATGTGAGATGGACTTTGGCTCCGCTCAATGGTCCTTCTTCCATGATCTCGTCCACGATCGGTTTCAAAGCGCTCCCTTTCTCGTTCACGTTCCCGTTGCAAGTAGCTGTATTTACGAATGTCCTGCTCATAAGGGTCAGCTCTGTATTCTCTGTATTCTCGAGGGTCTTCAAAGTACTGTGGGTCATAGTAATCTCCCTGATATGGGTCCCAATCAGCATAAAACTCTCGACTTCTTGCAGGGTATTTACGTCGTGGATCTTCGGTAAATGTTCCAGATGTTCGCACATTCTCATAATACTGTCTTTCAGCTTGAAACTCATACTGGTTTCGCCGATCTTCCCTGCACATAATAGAAACAAATTATTTCAGCTAACGAACTGAACAGTGCTGAAATTAAATTGGCATTTTTGGAAAACTAAACAAACCTTCCTTCTGAGAGAAAGTCATAAAAGTCTCTCATATCTTGCCCAGATGCCTGCATTGAACGATAAAAAGTCATCTGACTTTCCTGATTTGCAAAGTCAACCTGAAGAAGAACAAGACACATCGGTTCCAATATTACAACCTAGGATCATAAAAAATCCTCCAGATTACAATGTCAGAGGAAAACTATTCACTTGCCTTAATTTTACTGCCACCTATCTTCCACCCTTTTGTGTCTTTCACTGCAGCTTGTGCATATTCAATGTTGTTATACAGAATAAGGGCCATTCCTTTTATCCTGTCAAATACAACCTAGACAAAAGGAAAAGGACTTTTTAAAAAAGCAACAATAAGGCCACTGTGGGGAGAAAAAGTAAACAAACTTACCTTGACAACATGTCCATAGCGACAGAAATGACGAGTAAGAAACTGCCCTGTCGTGTTAGATGATAATCCATCTAACCAAACACACGTTGTTGGCATACTCTTTCCAAAGCCCAGCTGCAAAATTGAATAATCCGCTTTTTTATTATTTCAATGCTTTGGGTTTGTTTGTTTTTGCATTTAGTTATCATTAATTATGCTCAGTATAATTCAGAAGGATAACACTGAGCAGGTAGTAGTGCTAAGGTTAGCCTTAAAATGAGCTCTAAATAAGCCTCACCTTTAATCTGTTGTTGCCAAGATACTCCCCATCCATCTTCTTTATGGCCTTGCAGACACTAGCAATGTCGCAGTATTGTAGAAAGGCATACTGTGGTGCTCCATTTGCCTTCTTAATGTCAATATCCTTGAGAGAAAGAATGAAAGAACAAAACATTTGGTGAAGAAGGATGGTAATCCTAAACCGTTAAGCCAATCGATCACTCCAGTCGCCTTAAAATGGTAACTTACTACAATTTCCCCGAAGCGTTCAAAGATGTTTAGCAGGTCATGGTAAGTAGTGGTCTTCTCCAGGTTACCAATGAATAATGTCCGTGTAGCTTTAGGATGAAACTCGTCGATCCTCTCATCCAAGGGTCGGAACTCATTTTCACTTTCTGTCTCTGAGAGATGGAGAGGCGTGAGCAGGCTGACGTGATACTGTTCTCTGTTGTAAAGTTGAGAATGAAAACCCACCTGGGCCATTCCAGGCTGTGACATCAATTTGCATTCCAAAAAAAAGTTTCCCTTTTGACGCTCCAAGTGCTTTCTCTTGGTCTTCTTGTTGGCGGAAAAAGACAAGCCCATAGCGCTCCTCTGAAGCTCCATGAATTTGAACTGATGTGACTTTTCCATGTTTTTTAAATTCATGAAACAAACCATCCTTTAGGCTGGTATCTGTAGAAAGCACATTTAATACAATACCACTTTTAACAGAGTTTAAGGATAGATTGTTGGTGATTATTTCTAATAAAATCAAGCTATACTTATGAATGTAAAATCTGTTTCTACACACAGCAAAAATGCTTTAATGTTTCTTTTTGCAGAATGATATTAAATACCTGTGGAGCGCACAGGAAGATTTTGGACCTTAATGCCAAAGCTTTTGCGCGGTTCGTCCTTGTCAAAGGAAGATAAAGGAAGAGCTGAGGGTGCAGGGACAGCAGCAGACTGCACTGACCGTGCTGGAGAGTCATCGCTCGAGCTACTGCTTGAATCACTACAGTGACAAAAGGAACACAGATTTAAAAGATGATGCAAGTCTCACCTTTTCGATTTTAAATTAAGAGATGTATTATGAAAAGTATTAATAGCTCTTTTCAAATCCATTTTATGTAATCCATGAACACAATCCCTGTCTTTACAGCTCACTTTGTTGTTAACAACACACAAGTGAACTCAGTGATTTCATGGGATTTCGTGAGCTTTAAAATGATGCAGTGCTGATCGCAGACCCAAATGTGCATGGTATAAAACTTGTTCTTTTTATTGATTCTCTGGTGAAGACATCCAATGATTCTGCTTCTGTAATGTATGTACGGTTTTCCTTTTGTGTGGTGCAATTCAGCCTCTGACAACTGGGTGGCAGCGGTTTTTACCACCTTCATTTTGACGGAAAAGCAAGACATATCACATTTATTTCATCACTGGCAACAAGTGAAAAGGTAAATGTGTAAAACAACATTGTTAATGAATAGAGAAATACTAAATGTTTGTTACAAATCAGTAAATGCATTTTGTCCTCACGGGCTCCCGTAGAAGGTAACAGCATCTAATATGGTGTCGCCCAAAGACTAAGGAGTTTCTCAATATCAAGGTGCCTGGCCTCACATCATGTCACGTGACACATGATGTAACGTTATATTTTATATGTACAAGTTTCAATATGAGTATATAATAAGCCTTTTACTTTTGAAATTGTGTATATATTGGTCAAATTAAATATGTAAGCGAGTTAGACTATTACCTGCTAGCCACTGCAACTGCAACTACTAAGCAACTAACCAACCATAGATAACTGCTTTGAATAAAAAAATGTTTTAGATATCAGCCTGATAGCTACGATTAGTTGACTTACATTTAAACCTCGAAGCAGCTGTCGGCTCCTGATCCGCCACCCTTTTGAAAATACTGAGCTGTATTATGGAAAATTTTTGACCAAGGCCAACCTGCAAGGCTCCTCCCATGTATACTTGCTCAGTTAGTTAAATGGCAAACAAATGGAAAACAGACACCCCGGTAGAACATGAACATTGGAACACGCCTTGACGGTTACTAATGATGTATCTTCTAGGCCAGTGGTACTCAACCTTTTTTCACTGATGTACCCCCGTGAAATTTTTTTTCAGCCAAGTACCCCTAATCAGCGCAAAAACATTTTTGGTTGTAAAAAACAAGACCTTAAATAGGTGCCTTCAGTGACTGATTTATTAAACTTTGAAACTGATAAACAAGTACAAAATTCAACCATTTGGGAAAAAAACTATTTTGAATATTTTAAATGTTAATACTCCATAACTTAATGTATTGGAAATATTTTTCATCACTAAAATGTGATTCTAATTAATTAATTGAAAACAGTCACCATAAAACTATTTAAAACCATAAGATTACCCATTGAAAAATCCATAAATGTGCTAAACACTGCACATTTTTTGTAGTATCTCTTGAACTATTTGGAAAATATATATATATAACTAGAAATATTTTAAAATATATATATATCAAATACAGGCCAAAGAAATGATTAAGCTCATTATAATTAAAGATTTGTGCTCATAAAAAGCATATCAACATAAAGTGTTCTCTTTTGGGATCATAGTATATCTGTTCTCTAAAAGAAATCATCAACGTCATTTTAAATAACAATTGCTAAAAACAAATGTAAATCTCAAAATATATTTTTAAAAATCAAAAAGAAGACTGAAATCTTAACATTACTGCACCGAGTGTTTTTACAGACTTTTTAGTGAGACACTTGGGCTTGTGCTTCACTGAGGATCTTTTTCATCCTTGGTGGCAGGGAGGCAACTGCTGTGATCAAGCTCCTTTTTAGACACAGTCTGCTTCTCTGATGTACCCCCTGGAGTTTCTTTACGTACCCCCAGGGGTACGCGTACCCCCATTTGAGAAAGGCTGTTCTAGGCAACCAGGGCGGGACCAAGACATCAAGGCAAGGTTCCTTGGCATTGAGAAACACCCTTAGACCTGGTCCCATGTGTTTTAGATATGATTTTATGGTTATATGTTACAAAGCTGCCAATATTTTTCAACAACTGGACATCATTTAATTCATTTTCGACAACATTTTGATGGACAGTTCCAAAAACTACAGCTGAATGATCTATCGTTTTTGGACTGAAATTGCGATTTCAAACAGCACGATCACGTGACCGTCAAAGCTGCGGTTTTTGCTCTCCCCACCGATGACACAGTTCCATGCATGATCTAATGTGTAGACCCCCTCGTCTCTGTTCATGGTTCCGTGCCCACGTGTCCATGAGTGCTATGCTGCCTTCTATTTCTTCCTCATATGTGAATTTTATGTTGTCTGTGTCATCAATACTGTTCAGGTGTTCTGTTATTGTCTCAGTTTGTTCTCTTGGTATAGTTTCTAATATGTCATCTACGTAGCCTTTCTAAATTTTTATTTTGCAAATATATAAAAGTATTGTACCTTGCCTATAACAGTGGTCTATCGGTTTGGTGGGCGGGATAATGTGACGGAGCGGAACTAAGATGACGTTGCCTCATATGAAACAGCTTTGGCATAAACTTTGAACTTTTTAGACTTGGGGTTTTCTTTGATTCAAGAGCAGATAGAGGTGCTTAAGTCCTTTATTTCAAAGAAAGATGAATTTACATCTTCTTTGACAGTGTATGTCAGACTACCCCGTTGACTGACATCTGTAGCAGTGAGTAAATCACTTTCTTTGTTGTCCAATAGCATGTGGAGATAGTTTGAAAGACAATCGTAGATTCCAGCCTATGACTTCTGTCTATGGGTTGTGCCCAAACTATTGGGGCTTTCACATTTGACCTTGCCCGGTCTGTCTTTGTTCACACCATGATCTCTGTGGTTCACACAGCCTTCCTAGAAACAGATGTCTCAGAGCTTGTGGGCAGGGCAAAGGATGCGCAGAGAAGTCCGTGTAGTCCTCCTTAAGTTGGTAAACAAAGGCGGCCGTGAGCAGTGTTGCTTTTGGAGACTCTGATATGAAGCGCACTGCTTTCTGCTGCCTTGCTGAGAGAGTCTGTCCTTGCCCTCATGCGGCAGGAGCGTTGGTTCTGAGCAGCAGTCAGAGAAGATGTTTACTCCACTGTATCTAGAATGATATTAAACTGTGCATGAGTGACGTCACTGCTGGCGGATTCTACTCGCCAATCAGATGCTCCCTCTATAGGTAAGCGTGAATTTCAGCCAGCCAGTCAGTTGACAGTTGCTGTGAGTTGGCTTCACATGATGCAGACCGCCAGAGAGCAAGTCCAAATAAATAGTCAGCTGAACACGAAAAATGTACAGATTTTCTAGATGTGAACACAATTAACCTACCAGGGCTGGGCTGTGCCAACCCAGATGTGAAAGGACTTTATATTGTCACATATATAGGACGGCATAGGTAATATGTGTGCATTTAGAAAAATTGGAGTAATATATTTTTGTGAATCATGAAAAGGTGTAAGAAATTCTGTTTTGTTTCTTTCTAAACTGCAGGCCTCATAAGGTTGTAAAGACAATATTGTGCCTGTGTAAAATGCACTGAGAAAATTTTATTCTCATAAAAGCTGTCACAATATGTGTTGTCTGATTTTTTAAAGTGTTTCTTTCTCAAAATTATGCATAAAATGAATGATTTTTGCACAAGCAGCGCAACTACGCCCTCCTCCTGCATCTTCTCTCCCCACCGATTCCCATGTCTGTCTCAGATTTCTAGCCCCTCTGCTGTTTGTTTCCTTCTCACTTTCTCCTCCTGTGCTCAGACACTCCCGGAAGTGCTGCTGACAAAGCTTAGCCTGTGGGAGTGGGCAGGCAGCCAGCACTGGCCAGAAATTTCCAGTTCCAACTGGATCTCACGGAGGGGAGGGGGGGGGGGGGGCAATTACCCGTACACAGAGGTAGTGAGAAAAATACAGCAGCCGTCTCCTGATCCCCCCCCTGCAGCACTTCCTCACCAAACCACACGTGTTGCTACGCCATGGCTCTGAATGGCATGTCATGGCATGTAAATAAACGTTTAAAATTGGTGAATGAGTATTTGATTATTTAATTTTTTTGTAATTAACCATGTGCAGAATCCAAAATAGAGAGGCCAAATAATAAAACTGCCAGAATCCAAATTGTTCAGATTTAACCAACAAAAGTAAAAATCTATGATTCTGATACCAGAAATTTGGGTGGTAGCACAAGATATTTGAATTGTTTCACTGCACATTTATCATGTTTTTTAAATTAAATTAACTTATTTAAGTGACAATGTGTAGTTTTTACCATTAATTTCTGGAAATATGCATTGAAATGTTGTAGAAATTGAATTAAAAGAAACCCATTTGTTGAAAAATATTGCCGGTTTCATAACATATAACCATAAAAATCAGGTCTAAAATACATGGGAGCGGGTCTAAGGGTGTTTCTCAATGCTAAGGAACCTCGCCTTGATGTCTTGGCCCCGCCCCGGTTGCCTAGGAGATACGTCATCAGGAACCGCCACGATGTGTTCCAATGTTCATGTTCTACCGAGGCGTGTCCTCCGTTTGTTAGTCGTTTAGCTAGCTGAGCAAGAATAGTTGGGAGGTGTCTTGTAGCCTTGCCTTGGTCAAAAATTTCCCAGAATACACTGCGGTATTTGCAAAAGGATGGTGGATCAGAAGCCGGCAGCTACTTCGGGGGTCAAATATCAAGTAGTAATAGAACTAATTTAAAATGTTTTTTTTTTTAGATCCAAAGAAGTTATCTATGGTTGGTTAGTTGCTTAGTAGTTGCAGCTTCGGTGGCTAGCGGGTTAAAACTCGCATATATATTAAATTTAACAAATTTATACACATCTTAGATGTGTTCTTGCTGTGTCTTGTTTCTAATTCCATGCTATCGTTCTTTTTTAAAACACAGAAACGGTTTCGTTACCTGTTTTTCGCTACATTTCGCCTGCGGCTGCAGACTTCCTCAGGCTGACACTGATGGTGGCGCGTCACTTCCTTCTCCGTTTATCTGCGGGCAGCAGAGGACGTTGTCGCCCTCTGCTGCCCGCTGTCCCCTCTCCAACAATGCAGTCTCATGTGTAAACTCCATCGTCCCTGTTCATGGTCCCACATCCACGTTTCCTTATCTTGATTGCTTCTTTAATCCATCTTTTTTATTTTTGTTGTTCGGTGTTTATGATCCTTGTCTTGTCCCAGTCCATTATATGATTTTCTCGTATGCAGTGATCTGTTACGGCTGACTTCTTTATTGTACTTTCTGCTTCCTCTTTTGCTGCTCTCTTGTGTTTTCGACTTGCCTCTTTCTCGCACTCCTTTCTATGTTCTATTGTTCGTGTGTTGAGTTGGCGTCCGGTTTCTCCTATGTATGTTTTATTGCAAAGTTTGCATGGGACATATAAAGGACTGGGACAACACAAGGATCATAAACACCGAACAACAAAAATACAAAAGATGGATTAAAGAAGCAATCGAGATAAGGAGACGTGGATGTCGGACCATGAGCAGGGATGATGGAGTTTACACGTTGGACCGCGCATGGGACTGCATCGTCGGAGAGGGGAGAGCGGGCAGCAGAGGGCGACAACTTCCTCTGCTGCCCGCAGATAAACGGAGAAGGAAGTGATGCGCCACCATTAGCGTCAGCCTGAGGAAGTCTGCAGCCGCAGGCAAAACGTAGCGAAAAAACAGGTAACGAAACCGTTTCTGTGTTTTAAAAAAGAACGATAGCATGACATTTATTCACATTTTAAAAAGTAAAAGGCTCATTACATATTTATATTGAAACTTATACGTATAAAATATAACGTTTATAAAATATAGCGTTATCTCCCGTGTCACGTGACGTTACGTGACCGCCATGGAAGCCGCGGTCACGTGATGCAAGTCTGTTCCATTTAACCGTTTTCTTTGACCAAGGAAGGACAGTGTCCTCGTAAGCAAGGCGCCTGGCCTCGCAAGACATCGCCTCGCAAGGCCAGGCACCTTGACATTGAGAAACACCCTAAGTCTCTCGGCGACGCCATATTGGATGCCATGTTTCCTTATATGGAAGCCTATGAGGACAAAATGCATTTACTGATTTGATTTTGTGACAAATGGTTACAAAACTTTAAACATTAATAAAAGTTTTTCTTTTACACATTTACCTCTTCACTTGTTGCAAATGATGAAAGGGAACCTAACGTTCTTGTTTTTTGCTGGATTGTACTCCCAAGGATAATGGCCTTCTGTTCGTAAGGTCTTACTTGAACACAAAAATAATGCTTGCTTGCAATGATTTAGGTATCTACTGCCCCCCATCGCCAGGGAAAATAAACACTGTCACTTCAAGTGTTAAGAGTTGGAAGATAAGATTGTTTCCGCTCACAAAATTTTACTTAAAAAAGTTAAAGTCCCATTAGTCATCACACTATGACATTCATCTCCGCATTTGACCCATCCCCATAGGGAGCAGTGAGCTGCAGCTAGGGCTGCGCTCGGGAAATATTTAATGGTTTATCCCCCCAATCCAACCCCTTAAAGCTGTGAAAAGAGTGTCAAACAAGGAGGCATTTGGTTTGATCCGACTGGAATTTGAACCCGATCTCCCAGTCTCAGGGCAGACACTAGGCCACTGAGAAGGTTAACAGAAAACAGAAATCCTTTATTGTTATTCATAATTTCTTTATGCATCCTATTTTTCACTTGCTTTACGTGTATTTTTAAACCTTTCCGCCAAAGAAAATTCCTAGAAATATGAGCCTCTCACTTACTTGGCTGTAAAATACGGTTGATGTGAATGTTTTTTGTAAAGTCACATGACTAATCAACTAATTCAGACAAGAAAACCAAAGACACACACCACCCTGAACAAAAGGTAAGATAAGGTAAGATAAATTGAGCAAATTTGACATTTGACTATCAAATCTAATGGAATGTAAATTTAAATTAAGCAAAAAGTGAGTTAGCAAAGCAGCTACAAATGTTTATCCAAATTTGATGACTTATGCTCTCGATCCAAACCTCTGTACAACTTTTTGCATCAGAAATGTCAAAAATGAACAACACTTGGTGTGCTAAATAATAACATCTCTTAAGATATCTTAAGATACATCATTAAATATTGTAGCGCTACAATAGTGCATAAAGTACCAGGTGATTTAACGTCCTGAAATAGTTGATGATGATTAAAATTTGAATATTACACAATACTCTCTTCTAAACAGGAGTCTCCTCTAACCCCCAGAGGAAATTAGATTCACTCATCTTGCACAAGACGTGAGGCTGATACAACATGCTCTTGAGACATCATTAACTATTGTTATTGTGTATTCTTGGGTTGGTTCCATGCACAGTGGTTGATTTGGATTCACACTGCCATGGACGCAAAAAGGACAAATAAAAGCCAAAACATGAAGTGTGGACACCAAGAAGCTTCTCTTACCTGCCACTTGTGCTGCTGCTGGTACTGCTGGCCGAGTCCGAACTGGAGGAGCGGCTACGGGAGCCGGACCCGCTGTGGGAGCAAGGGTGACGGGTAGCCTGACTCACCAGTCTCTGAGGAGAGGGGTTTCGAGAATGTGTCGAATGTGGAGAGCGGCTATGGCTTTGGCGGTACGACCTGTCCCCGCGCCGTCCTCGGTCTTCCCGGTAAAGGTCCCTGTGAACCACACTGGCCAGGGTAAATGGTTCTCTGGTGCGAGACTCGTAGCGAGGTTCTGGAGTCTCAAAGCGACATGGGCTCCTGCTGTGGGAGCGAAAGAAACCAACCCCGCTGGTTGCCGATCCTCCGCTGCCTCCTGTCGGTGCACCAGCTGATCCACCAGCTCCAGCAGTCCCAGCAACAGCGCTAACTATAGTTCCACTGACTCCTGAGGGCACCGTTGTACTTCCACTGGAGGTGCCAGACCCACTTCCAGCGCTGCTTAGAGTCCTCTCCCTTGCATCACGATAATAGTCTGCTTCATAGTGCCTCTGACGGTCAAAGCTGCTACCAGGACGCTCGTGATGTCCATAGGCACCGTGATCATATGCCCTATCCCGACTTTCAGCAGTCCTAACAGACACAAAGAAACAGCAAGTTACTTTGCAGTTACAGTTGAGTCGTTTCAGACAGGTGGACGAACAGATTGATAAGGCGTATGGTGGGTTAGATACAGGGAAAGACTCAGCGAAATGTCTCAGAAATTTAAGAGATTTTGGGGAAATCTGTTCTAGAGGGGCATTGAAATGAATAAATCTTGTTTTGACTTTAAAATTATATGTGCTTAGCTCCCCCGACCACCACTGCTTTTCCACCAGCTTTGATAAAACACCAAAAGGTTTTAAATTCTTCATTTTAATTGATTGAGAAGACAAAAGTCTGAGTAACTTTCTACTTTTTGTAGCCATTTACATTTTTTTTAATGTTTTATGGTTTTATAGTGATGAGCAATCTCACACTTCTAGTTAATCCTTAAAATTTCAACGTCAAAATCTAGAAGAGAAATGCGTCTTGTAGCGAAGCTTCTTTCTGAACGCAGCAGTTTCATTTGAAGTTACAACTGCCGTAGTACAACCGGCAGCATAAGGAGCGGGACAGGACGGCAATTATTGCAGTTTGAATTTAAATCAAATTATAATCAACAAATTAGTTCCAATGGAAGGCTGCACATGGTTTAACACAAACACACTCAAAGTCATTAAAACCGGTACTTTAAAGGGCAGACTGTTAAGTCCTATAACCCTTTCACTTCCACACCAAGAAAAAACACAATGAAAATGGCCTTTTTTGCATTTTCTTAATTTATCTGAGGCAAAAGGGGTTATAATATGCTCTATGATTATATAATAACAAAATAAATAATGGTTTCAAAATAAAATGTTAAAGGAATATTTTCACTACTGCCAGTCCTACATCACAAATTCATACAGTTTTACCAAAGTGAAGATAAATTCATGTTCAGGATAAAATGTACTGAGCAAAAAGCTATTTTGAGGGCTCATTTTAAAAATATATAAACTCTAAAACCACGAGTCAACGTGGAAAGGCTGAAACAACTTAGTTAAATAGGAAGTCTGTCCTATTTATGCCTTTGCAGACTGGATCTCTGCGGTGCATCAGCACCACTTAGGGGCCGGTCTCACTTTAGCCCGTTACATTGATTAGAGGTGTGATGTTGTAACAGATGCTTCACACGTTGTGTGTTCGGTGCAACTGCACAGGATTAGATGGAATGGTAATAATTGAAATACTACCGTTTTCCTTTGATGGATCTACCCATTTGTTTTATCTTTTTCATCCACGTCGTCCTGGCCGGAGCTTCAGCCAATTCCTGGGATAAGATTTAACTGCCAGACATTTCAAAATGTATATATATATATATTTTTTTTACATATTCCACATTTGAATCTTTGTAAAGGCTATTTCCATTTAGCTTTGAGTCCACATAGCAAAATGTAGTCATCTCTTCCCAGAGGTGTGGACTCGAGTCACATGACTTGGACTCGAGTCATTATTTTAATGACTTCTGACTTGACTTGATAAAATCTATAAAGACTTACGACTTGACTCGGATTTGAACGCCAATGACTTGCAACATGAATCGACTTGCATCTGTTGACATGATGATGACTTGAGCATATTTGATATTTTAGCACAAAAGTGACACGACATGGACAAAAATCACAAATCATTCTTGGTTCTGGGTTTGATCTTGTACCGCTAACTGCAGCAGCACTTTGTTTATAATCAGTTTCAGTTGCACTTTCTACTTGTTTGAGCAAATAAATGAAGCTTTAAGAAGCTTTATTTCTAGAATTTAGTTTTTATCATTGTTATTAAATTGAAGTTGGACAGGTGACTTGATTATGAATTGAAAATTCAAAGTTAAGGACTCTGACTTGACTTGGACTTCCAATTTATTGACTTTGGACTCGACTTGGACTTGGTTGTCTTAGACTTGGACTTGACTCGAGACTTGACTGGAAAGTCTTGTGACTTACTTGTGATTTGCAAAGCAGTGACTTGGTCACACCTCTGTCTCTTCCTTAAAGGTGCTGTAATGAATGTTGGAACAAGCTGGGCCCAGCTAGCTAGCTTACACATACGCAGTCCCAGAACGCTCACCCCTCCCGTCGGGTATAATCATTAGGCCGCGCCCCTCCAGATACGTGAACGTGCTCCGCCACGGTGAACAACAGACTATGTTTAGGAACCTTTTTTTTTGTAATATCTACAAAGCTTTTATGATTTTAAAGCAACTGCAATGTGACGTTTCTCTATAAAACTTTGCTTTGTACGGAGAAATAATTCATCAAATATATAAAAACAGAATCTTGCTAATCTAAATATTAGGGCTGCACCAATATGAAACACCAATATCTGGTAGTAATACTTCTGTTATGGCTGATAAAAGATAAATAACTGCACTGGTGACACTGTGTAAAAGCAACTCCCCCACCAATCCTCTGCTGTATCAGTAGAAAACAGTTTCACACCCCAACAAACGCCACATGGCCAGCCCCCTCCCCTACTGAAACACAAGCGCAAACATCCTAAAAACGGAAATAAACACTGGTTGTTAATATTGACCCAGTTTTAGTTGTCAGACCAATAATGATATGTTCAAAAAGGACTAACATCAACCAATACCTAAATTGACGCTGATATATTGTGCCGCTGTAGTTTATGCTACAAAAATATTTTTATGCATTAATACTTCAGAAAGAAAATCCTAAACACATGAAAATTGGTTCCTTGCATCCTCCAGGGCTTAAGATATGAATTATTAAATGTGCTGCAAGAGGCTACTGATATATATCTGGTGATAAAAGACACAAACATCTACATCTGCATCGTCGGTGCCCTGTGACATCTTAAAAAGCAGTTTGGTAAATGATTGGTGAATTTCTTAAAATGCTCAGCCTGATCTTTGCACCTGGCACCTACATTTTATGGCTATGGTTGAGAGGACTTTGGCTGACTTCAAAGATCCTCTCAGGTTACTGTCTGTAATAAAACATAAAACCTTTCTGTGTGTGTGTGTGTGTGTGTGTGTGTGTGTGTGTGTGTGTGTGTGTGTGTGCGTGCGTGCGTGTGTGTGTCAAATCTTTAGAGTAAAAAATTTGACATGAATAAAAAAATCTTTTTGATGTTCTGGGTAAGCTTTGTTTTCCAAATTCAAAAGGACTTCATGATCTTTATTTAGTGCCCTAGATGTTGAGGGTAAACTGGAGACGAGCACCACGTCTTCTCACTGCACTATACATAAAAGTAACAATGGGTCAGGGGCAAATTCTGTTTCAGCTTATTTGATCCAATCATCTGTGCACTAGATTCATGAATAACATCTATAGCATAAGGATGTCTGTCGTGAAATTGATGGATTACCTTGACCCCACATGCTCTCCAAAATGCTAATTTGGTGGCGCAGACTCACTGCTCATCAGATTCCCTTCAATTTCACTTTGCACAAATCAGCCTCTACATTATTCATTGAGCTTAAAAATAATTCAGTTAGGCTCTTTTTTTCCTTTAGGCAGAATTTTGATCAGTGTGGGATTATTAGCCCGCCCTGGTGAATGCTAAGAACATTAACTGTTTTGAGACTGTGTGAGCAGCATATTTATGAGAAAGCATCTCAGCAGCACGACAGAAAGAAGCCTTATATACGGAGTCTCCGGCATATGGGAGCTAATGTTTTAATTACTGAATAAAATTCTTTCAGCTGAGCACAAAGGATCACATTGTTCTAAATTTTACTATTATTATTATTACAATAATTTATAAAGTACTTTAAATTTAAAATCATTCTCAACTTAAACAAACAGGGAGTGTTTGTTTCGTGGTAATAAAGTAAATGATTTACAATTCAGTGCAATTCATCAAACTGGCTATTTTGTGTTGCAACAGCTGAGTTGTGTGATGACTTGCAACATTACCTTATGGCATTTAAAGCTGCTTTTTGCGAACCTACAGAACAAGCTAGGTTTTGAACACAAACACGGTCACAGAACACTCACCCCTCCTCTTGATTATCTTCTCTGATATGCTTCTGCCAGAACAGAAAAGCCGCATGACCAGAGAAAACGAGATAGTGCTAAACACCAGTCGCCGCTTTCAAGGTCCAGACATCTTTTGTTGTCCGTGACTTCAAATTATGTTTTTCTTTTTGGGACTCTGGTAGTTTGTCCTAAAGTTGAAGTGGTAGCAGCCGGCTGTTTCTGCTCTGATATTACTGAGCCACAACCTCTCACACCAGTGGTGTTCTGTTGCTAACTACACTGGAGCACCCAGGGAAGTGTTTGGCAAGACAGACAACCAGATGGTCCTATCGTTGCTTTCGGTCCAAGCCGTGTTATTGGCAACGGTTTTTATACAAAGGCGATTAAACCACTTTATTAATTTATTTCAAATATTTTACTCCATAATATATTTATAGCTACACTATATTGGAACGTTGCTAAGCTAACTTGTTTTCTAAATTTGCTATAACTTTTTTTAGTAAAACCTGGATCTGAAGGAATTGACATCTCAATACAAGGTAATTATAAATAAAGTAAAAATACATACAGAAATTATTAGGAATCAAGTTTTAAATTGACAGGTTTTCAAAACAATTTTTATTTTAGTCGAATTGTAAGAATAAATGATACCGTAAATCCTCTAATACAGGCCCGGGCCTGTATTTGACTCAAGCTCATCAAGCTCCAGGCCTTTATTGGAAGGAGGACCAGAATTAGAGGCAGGCCTCAATTTCTATTTGAGCAAAATGAACTAATGGTTCACTGGGGTTTTTGACATTTCAAATTGCGGCCACATTTTCAAAGTTAAACACATTTCTTTTAACAACGGTAGTTTCTGCTTCAGCCCCCCCCCCTGCGCAGCGGCCGCAAACTCCCTGATGCGCCTGCAGCCTCTCAGAGTTCCTGCTGCTCTAAACATTAAAATACTTATTTCATTTTCTGTTCCTCACTTCTGATTACCTTCAATGGTGTCTGTTTGTTGCAACCACCAGGTACAAAAACTAACTTGTTTTTATTTGACTATTTTTCTGTCCTGTCTCTGTTTATTATCTTCCTGCATCTCCTCTCAATCCTAAAGAAAAACTGCTACCTGGGTTCATATATATTCACCTTATGAGTTACCTTTGAACTGCAGTTCTAAAAGATCTACCGACCGCAAAAACAGCGGAGTGCTCGCCGGCCACATCAGTTAGGTGCGTCACCGAGGACAAAACAGGTGATGCGCCCCGATCCACAGCAGCGAAAAGCATCAGGCACAAATAAAAGAATAAAAGACAGAAAACATAAAAGGAAATGAGCCGACATGAACGATCGCGTGTTAAATTAGTTTTTGAGGTGGAGACACCTGATTTGATAATGTTACTGTGGCCGTGCTCAGGACGCAGATGTCTGGAGCACGTCAACAATCAGAGATTTGCATGCGCAAGCTGGTTAAGGTTAGGATGGGGGTGAGGGGAATGTTAAATTGCAAGAGGGTAAACGTCACAAATTGGTTAAATGTCCGTTTTACGGCGGGTGTCAGTACCGACGCTCTGGCACAGCGCGTTGCCTCCCGACGCGCAGGAGCTTGTCACCTGCTGACAGCAGGCTGCTGTCTTTTCCGTGGACTGCATCTTGCCGGTCATTATCACATGACAGCGACTAGTCGATGACAGGCATAAAAAGTCACTATAGAGCGGTGAAGTCGACTAGTGACTAGTTCATACAACCCCTACTGCTCCCCAGAGTGTTCTGCAGCATAATCAGCACTTTCTCTTTGAACTTGATATCAAATTTTCGCCTCCTCTTCGTCTCCGCACCAGCCAAATCGCGGTCTATCACTGGCAAATCAAAGGTGAGACGGATGACACAACCGCCCCCCGTACTTGCTTGTTACCACATTCCACCCGGCCACAATAAGAAACCGGCCATTATTCACCTCCGCCGACTCCGACACCGGCCAAAATATGATACCCGGCAGTTAATTAAATACAGGCTAATATTAGAGGATTTACGGTACATATACTTACATATATAGTAAATATTTCTTTGGTCTATAAAAGTGTTTTGGTAATTTTATTTTCCTAAATTACAAATAAAATTAACATTTTCAACTACATTTACATTTAGTTCAGAGCAAAAGTAAGCAAGTCGTGAATTATTTTAGTTCATTTTTAAATTAATAGATGTAAGAAATAAGTGATATCAAATGTAATTTGGTGTACCCTCAACAAAAATGAACTCTGTGATCTGAAATGTTGTTTATAAAATTTTGAGAATTATATTAAGAAAATTCCTCAATGAAATATATTAAGTTAAAAATTATATATTATTTGTAATATTACTAAAGTCATTAATTGTTAGCCCCTCAACAAGCCCCTTCCCCCATTTCAGGTAGTATAATGCAAATTGTGGCAATAAGAAATTAAGAGTTAAGAAAATATTTTAGTTTTTGTCAAATTAAATTCTAGAAGGTTTTTCAAGATTTTTTTTGTCACCAGATGGACACAGAAGGGCAGGGGAGGGGGGCAGGAGCGGAGGGATTGGTAACATAAAAGAAAGGAAAACAACAGGAAAGCAATACAAGGAACAGTACACATTTCTGTATTTAGACATTCAGATAGCAATAACTGTATGTACCAGCTACTTTGGTTAGTGAGGAAAATGGAGAGAGACAGGGGTTCAAACTAGGGGGTTAGAGAGGACAGCTAAAATATACAGGGCAGGACATACCAACCTTTTGAGAGAGTGGTAAGTTGACATATAATTCCAAATACAATTTAGGGAGATTGAACTTTGTGAGCAAAAACTGGACAAAAAATGTTGAGTGGAGGAGAAAAAATAATCTGGAGAACAAATGTTTAGGTTTCAAAGTATAATCCTCATCTTCATGTCAGGGACTTCGTGTCAGACCAGCTGGACTGTCCATTGTAGAATTACAAATAAACATGAATCCAACTGTTTCATTGGCTGGAAAATGTCCTAATTAATGTACCCATTTGGACACATGTTGAGCAGAAAAGGGTGTTGCATTCAAGTCCAATAAAGTACTGAAATCCAGGAGCTCATCTTTAATAAAGTAAAATCCTCAAAAAAAGGTTGACGCTAAAAAAAAAGGTCTTGCACCCTCTTTGGAGAAGTCCTGAACGTCCACTGTCATGAAGTAGTCGAACTCCTTTTGTGCAGCAAAATACATTTTAAAAAATTTGACCAGAGTACATCAGGAGTAAAGATGTTCTGTAAGAGTAATCCAGTTTTTTTTTTAACAAAGAAGCGTTGCTTTCATTCCAAGGAGAATGTAATTCTTTATCATGGCTGTTGGCAATCCATCTCTTCTTTCACAGTTAAGACCCTTGGGTTGAGTCATTAAAAATGTAGTGCTCAAGTCCAATTTAGTTCTCTGGTTCTTTAATTGTATCCATGGTTTAGTTATAGTTCCACATTGAGGATTGGATGCATTAATCCACAAACAAGAGGTTGGCTATCTCCATTAGAAAGATGGTTTAAACCTTCCAGTCCCAATTTCCGGCATGCTTCTTAGATTTGTACGATCCAAATGCAGTCCATGCTTAGCCTCAGCTTTGACAAAATAAGAATAATCTCCACAAAAATAAAGCAGGGGACAAATAAAAATGGAAAAAGTCCTTTGCTCACTTGTTTTTCAAGTCTCTACTGAAAAGAATCATCAGTAGATGTCTCCCAATGCTCAATTTGCCCTGATATAATCCCAAAATCAAACAAAAAGTAATCAAATAAAAAAGCGACCCATACCTTTACATAGTAGCATATTCTTCACACGTCTGGCCATTGTTAATCCAACAGTGGGGAATAAATATCCTGTGTAGGGTATCCGCATAACTCCAACCAACGAGCAAAGTGAGCACCCTCGTTGAGGTGCACACAACACAAACCAGATCAGACTAATCCAAACACTGGTGTCATACATGAAATGTGTGTCTTGGTTGGTTTGTTACATGAGGAAAAAATGGGTGACATTAATCCATCCAACAGGGCATGTAACTCCAGATTAGGGAAATCCCAGGGATGGCAGCTGGACCACTCTCTCTCTTTCTCTTTAACTCCCTTCCTCTCTTTTTTCTCTCTCTCCAGCAATCTCCAATAATCCTGGGAAATTTCTGCGATATCCAATCTTTGCCCCATGTTCTCCATATTTGGGACATCCACCTCACGGTGATGTTTGGGATCACGAACGTAATCCCCAAAAGCCTTTTACACCACTGACCATTCATGATAAGACATGCTCTCATTTATTAAACGTATCAGTTCCTAATCATAAACTTTGAGAACCTTAGAGAGGATCCCTGTAGGATTTAATTTCTGCTCTTTAACCCCCAAATAAGTGAATGATTAGATGGTGGAAAGACGCTTGGGGTGAGGCATTTACCACAAACCATGGTGTGCCCTGCCTTCAGAGAACATTTCTCCACTTACCCGTCTAGCCTGCGTTCATAGCGTCCATCTCTGCTGTGAAGCGATGAGGGGGCCCCATACACAGCCCCCCCAGTCGCCCTTGTGAACCCTGATACATCCCGGCCACGAGAGCCTAAGGACAGACTATCGTCCAGCCCCCTCGCTGCACTAGGAATTGTTCCTGGTTCATTGTAATCAGTGCGTAGGTCTCTGTCCCCCATCTTGTTGATTGCATTATGGGCCTTTTGTGCACTTTTAATGTCCACAAAATCCACAAATGCAGCGACTCCACCTTCTGACCCTCGCTTGGGAAGGACCTTGACGCTCTCCACCCGTCCATATCTAAGCAAAGATCAAAAGAAACAGATGGTGATCACCAGGTTTCAGAATTTGAATATGCTGTTGTGTTGATGGATCTGGCAAGTTTGGTTACAAGTGTTTGAAAACAGTTTATTTGCACATTTCCTGTGCTGCACCTAAAAGTGCAATATCCAGAGACAATGTGTCTGTGTGTGTATGTGCATGGAGAGGTAGGAGGTAAGGTGGATTGGTTACTCTGCTATCCACCTTGTGCTTTGTTCTCACAAGGCAACAGTAACCCAGCAACTAGACTTGAACCTTGGAATACTTCATATTAATAAATGCATTCACACTCAAACAAAAGCACTAGTTAGATTGTCTTCATGGAATCACATTTGCTCCATATGAATGCAACTTGTTCAGTTTGGTAAAAGGTATTGCATTAAGAAGAAAAAGAACTAAATATGGTATATCTGATGAAACAAACATAACATTTGGTCGATCTAACGTTTTATTTTTAAGTGTATTTTTGGATGTTTGCACAAGTGGAACGTGCTTTTCTAGGAATGAAGGTGCTGGTAAATGAACGGAAAAGGTGTGAGATTTGGTATGGTTTTAAAAATACTTTTTTCTTAAGTATTCATTTCAAACACCACTTTGTTTTTCACACCTATAAAAAGCTCTTTTCACCATTTTAAGGTTTGTTTCTGTGTAAAAGGTATAAATACCTCACTGGTCTCAGTCGAGAGAAAAAGCGTTCACATTCAGGACTAGCAGCTTGATAGAGAATAAAAGACCAAATCGTGGTGCTACCACTTAAAAACAACTCCAATCTCCAAATATTTAATAGCAGGACACGCAAGTGTTTCAAACTTTTATCATGTCTAACGTTGGTCGACATCATTGTCGACCAACGTTAGACATTTTATTGGTCTGATAAGTAAAACGCTACTAACAACCATTGTCTATTTCCATCTTGTTGCCATTTACATATGTGTTTCAAGAGGTGGAGGGTAAGTTTGGGCAATATGTAAACGTTTTCCAAGCAATATTCGTCAGTCCAAAAAATAATGAGATCACAAAAAAAGAGATGTTTGGACATTCTGTGGGCCTGACATATTGCACACAGCGCTACACCGAGCGATATCGTTCTTACTCAGTTTGTGGAAGCAGGCCATGAGGGTTCCATAGAAGACTACATTGTTTTCCTAATTTCACTGGCTATTTGATGTGTCAACCAACTATAAACTGCACCACAGTTGGTTTGTAATACACACGTCACAATATAGGGTGGTACTTCTGACCTGCCAGCCAATAGGGAGCCTAAAGCCTGGGGCGCACCGGAGGCGGACGCGCAGCACGGTGTCACGCCCCGTGGTTTTGAGAAGTCAAGTTGTCACACAGGATGCGTCTCTCCACTGGGCGCTTTTTGGAAAGTTGAGTGAGAGTCATAACATCACGTGGGAATTGAGAACAGAAAGCGGGAAGTGACTCTATTGTTTATACGTGATCAGACTTGCCGTCATGTTTTGTGAGACTCGAATTTGTTAAAAATGGGTGAGCACACAATTTATTTGAACATTTTAAGATCAATAGTTCTTTAAAGTTATCAAAACTGCAGCTGGGTTTGTGCCGTAAAGCCATTTCGCGTGGTAATGTCTGTTGTAAAGGACTCCACAATGTCGTAACCAGCCAGCGTCAGCACGCCACGGCGCTTGAGATAGAACCGGGGCCTTTCTTCAGTGTCTACGTGCGGCATGGCACTTCTGGGACGCAGTGCGGCACTCCCTATGTGCCCACTCTCATTAACTATAATGGCTTCTATTTAAAATGACTGTGCGGGCACGGTGTGGACGCGACGCAGGCACCTCCGGTGTGCCCCAGACTTGAGTCTTCTCCCCTTCCGGACAGCTCATGGATCCCCGGAAGAACGAAAAAAATGAATGCAAGCCAACGGGGCTAAAAGAGCTATTTTCTAATCCGCTTTGCCTTACGCTCTGGATCACACATATGTTGCACTTCAATTTAAATGACAACTAATGATGGGCGTTTCGACCACGCCAGTTACGTCCTTTGAGATTTTGTAATTAGCATGACTACAAATCAGACATCGGCACGTCGCATATGTGACGTCGCCACAGAATCTCTTCTCCCCTAGCTTAGCAGCTACTTACCAAATGCACATATCTACAGTGGTTCTTTCCTTCTGAAGGAACGGTTTCAAGTTCGCTGAACTTTAAGCCATTTCCCTCTGTTTTTCTCCGTTTCTGGTTTGATGATGTCACTTTCGTGAAGCACATTTGTAGTCCTGGAATTATTTTCACACAAAAATTAAGAAAATGTTTCCCCCGTTCGGAAAAAAAGCTCGTTATTGGTATCAAAATGTGTGTTTAAAATTCACGGACATCATATGTGAAATCCATGGCACATAACAAGCAGAATTACAAAATAGCATTTTAAGCCCCATTGACTTGCATTTATTTTTTTGTTCTTTCGGGGACCCATGGTCCGGAAGTAGATGGGCGTGACTTAGGCTCCCTATGATTTTGTCACAACAGAAGGTGGGAAACCCTTCACCTTTTGGTTTCTGGAAGACGTCACACAAAGGTTTGAACATGTGGATGCTAACAGGGATTATGAGAGGCGCATCTCAGAAAATGTTTTAATGTTTTCTGCAATTAGGGCTGGGCAATATGGCTTAAAATCAATATACCAGTATTTTGAGGATTTCACCTTGACAATGATAAATGGATGATAACTACATGTATGCTCAAAAACAAAACTTGTCCACTAGATGGCGCTATCACGTGTATTATGCTGAGTCACTTTGTCATGTGACTCAAGGTGGTACAGCTTCTTAAAGGAACATGAACGTCGCCAACCCACACAAATCTTTCATACACAAATCGTTTTCATTACCAGATTTATTTACATGGGAATAATTATATCGGTTAAAGTTAGAAATTTCAAAAACGATAAATTTTCGATTTATAGCCCAGCCCTATCTGCATCTGTTATATTGGATTGTGAACATAAGATTTTTTGTGGCCCAATAATTTCACTGGAGTACTAGCATTGGACTTCTGGATGTAAAACTACCATTCTTGTTGGAGATGGCTGTATTCTGTCAATGATATGAGGCTTTGAACGGTGGGTTAGACAATAATTTAAATTCTGTATTGTTTAACAAAAATGTTTACTGTGTCCACTCTTATGGTCCATTCCTTGGCTGCAATATATCATTGGAATCACAAGATTCCTAACTTTCAAATGATGTGTAATATAGGCTGATTTCACAAAGAAGTTTGCAATTTCTCATTCCCAAGTCTAATCCAAAGGCATAAAAGATATCACTCATAAAAAAAGATTGACAAAGGGCTTGGCCAGTCGCCAATGGTCAAATAATTTGTCCCACTGACCAACCTTAGTGGAGGGGGTGGCCCATGAGGTGTTTGTTTGGGCATGTGAGAGCGATAGTGAGATAATGCAGGATTGTGGGGTTGTTTAACTGAAGCATATATATATATATATATATATATATATATATATATATATATATATATATATATATATATATATATATATATATATATATATATATGTATGTATACACACATTATATTAATTATAGGGAAATATTGGGTATTTTTCATAACAGCAGTATTAATATCAATATCACCCCAAATTTCCATATCAGTGCATCCCTATGTGAGATATACATTGTCATATTACATGATCATTTATGCTGACATATTAAGACATTATTGACAAATAATAATAATACTCACTTTCCAGGTCACAATAATTGTGTTTTTTTAATTAAATAAATAAATAAACTCTACATGATCTTTTGAAAAAATATGTAATTTTCTGTTTTATGTAAATAAAGTGTTAAGCAAGTGTAATGGTAGTGTAAAGGTTTATGGGAGCTGTTTTAACACTGTGGTCTAGCTCCCAGACTAGCTGTTAGTTGTGGAGTTCTTAGGAACATTATTTCTGAGAACATATGCTGTTCAGAAGGCTATAAAAGGGTAAGATAATGTAACGTTGACACTGAAAAACACTAAAATTATCTAAAAATCCCTCTATGGATTATCCACTGAGTTAAAATTACCTTATTTTCTTTAAAACCTTTAAAATAAGCTGTGTGGATTTTGCACAGATAATGCAGGCCGTGTGCACTGAATTTTATGTGAAACAGACATTTGGGAACGCGTATTTGCTGTTTGCGAGGCAAATGCAGCAGGGTGCCTATAAATTTATTGGCACATCAGTCTCCCAACGTTGCACAGCCCCCGACGCCATTTTAGAAAAGCTGTTCACACTGCTTACTCATTCTGCCGTCCCCCATCTTCAATGACTTCTATCACACATTGGGCTGTCATGCACCTGCACACTCCCCACTACCTCTGGGTGAACGCAGGGGCTGAGGAAGCGTGCACGCTCAAAATGACTGGCCAGCATCGTTTCCACCCTCTCTGCTTCTGCAACTGCAGGCTGCCAGTCAACCATCTCCCCCAAACACATCGTTACGCACATCATACCAAGGGATTATGTAAATAAAACGGCATATAGGTAGCTTATTAGTGCGCGTTCTGCGAGGCTGCATGGAACAAGACGTGGACCTTTTTGCAGCCAAAAACATAATCCCTCCGGACAAATATTCGGTTATCCATTTGAATATTACTCTTCAGTTGGGTATGGCCGTTTATATTTCGTATGCATTTTTTACTTTTACTTCAATAAAAAATTTAATCGTTGCATTTTTTTTCTCGGCATGTTGTCGTAAAATGCATTCGATTCTTGGCTAAAATCGTATTTGGGGGCATGTTTGATTTCCAGGCGGGCTGCTATTTCCTTGACAGCCGAGAAAGACGCGAGAGCGCGCAGACTAACCATGATAGCCAACACACACACACACACACACACACACGAACATATTTACATTTTTTTTTCAGTCCAGGGACAACAAAGAGCTAAATGCCGACAAACGGTGTAAGGGCTCAGTCTGCTCTTGCTCCTGGAGGAGAAAAAGGCAAACGTGGCCTTGAAAGAAAATTCGCTAAATAATTACAAATAAAAAATGGATGCGTTCAGAGTCTGGTTTTGTCTTGAATCAGATCGCGCTGCAGCAGGCTGTGCAAGTCAGCGAGCAGCTGCGGGAAGCAACGCGGTTCTTCATGTGGCACACACACACACGCACACGCATGCACGCACGCACGCACACACACGACCATTTTTCTGCGCACAAAGTAAACACAAGTAACACTACGTTGCACATCAGCAGCAACAATTAAAGCTGCATGGCGGCGAGATGTCGCGTCACTTCTTAAAGGTTTGTTTACCTACATGTGTTAAGATTTAACAGACAAAACTGTGCACTCAGCATGCTAATTAACGTTACTTTGTACAGGAATCTGATGGAAGCAAAAAAAAAACAACAACACAGAGACAGATTAGGGCTGTGAAATAAATTGCTTGAGCAGGTCAGCAGATAATTTGGAGTTTGTTTACACTGACTGCATGCCGTTAACCATGGGACCAAAAGTAGGCTGGCTTTAAATCAGCCCTGGAGGAAATATGCAAACACTCGAGTTATCAATCAGCCAATAAGTTAAAAAGACCGAGGCAACAAAAACGGTAGAAATAACATCTGTGCTTCGAGCTGTGAGTGGTTCTGTTTTCAGTCTCGGCTCGAATGCATCACACACAAAATGTTGCTTCTGTGAGAAACTGACAGCACCGTTGCCAAATGGGACTTTAGCTACAGGGGGAACCTCCTGCTTCATCCCGACTTCACTAAAATGTGACACACACACACACACACACACACACACACACACACACACACACACACAAACACACACGCACACACGAGAGGGAGAGAGAGAGACGGATACAGAGATGCTGTCGATCGTTTCATTCCAAACATCTACTGCTCCTACTCACCGCTTGAAGTGCTCGATAATTTTCTCTTCTCGTACATTTTCGGGTAAATTTCCCACCCATAGATGTCTGGTTTCCCGGACCATACTGCGTGCTCCTGCTCCCCGATCATACAGATGAGTTTGCTATGTCAGTTTCTCCCGGTGCAAAAATACAAAAGAAATGCAAAAATAAACACCGGAAAAGGGAAAAAACGATAGGCTACTTGGCGCAAATCATTGTCGAGTCGTTGAGAACCAATGTAAACCATTAAGTTGGATCCCCGCACGCTGTTTGATACTCTCCGCTGTTAAAAGCACGAGCCTGCGCCTCCTCCGTGAGCGCGCCCCGGTTCTGGTTCCCGTGACTAGGCGCGTCCCTGACACCATGCGACCTTTGGGTGTCGAAAGAAAGCATGTAGCCTCCTAAAAAGATGCAGTAACTTCGCTTGTAATGAGAGGCGCACCGCGCAGGCGTGGCTTTGTGTGTGAACTTCTCTCTCTCTCTCTCTCGCTCTCGCTCTCCAGATGAGATCGTCCTCCCTCGTGCGCATGCGTGAGAAAACTCCTGGCTGAACGCTGGTGCTTTGACATCTGAGAGGATCCTCACAGGAGGATCCCATCACTACAGTAAGGTGAAGCCGTTTGCATACAAAATGGAGGCCAAATTTGGTATTGGGATGCTTTTTTTAAAATCATTTTAAAAGTTCACACGTTTTAAAACCAATTTACTGACGATAAAACCATGCAACTTTATCGTCCGAGAAGTTAGTCCACAATACAAAAGCTTACAATGTTTTTCTAATTCATACATTGATTCCAACACAAAGAAAAATAATGAAAAATACATAATATTGATTTGGCTAAATGAAAAATAAATTAATAAATATATTTTAAAGGATAGACTGATAACTTATTGTCAATTTAGCCTAATTTACCAGATTTATAAAAAAATGTGCATAGATTTAGCTAATTTATTGCTAAATTGATCTTTCTCGAATCTAACCCAAGATTATAACTACATCTAATTACAGAATGCAAATAGATGTTTGTGTGTTTGTCTATTAGAAAAAACAGCTCATGATCCACTACATGAATTTAATTTTTAAAGACCAAATACAGTCCTTTTTTAAATGATGATAATGATAAATGACCCGCACTTGTATAGCGCCTCTCAGAGTAAGGACTCCAAAGCGCTTTACACTACAGTGTATCATTCATCCATTCACACACTCATTCACACACTGGTGGTGATGAGCTACGATGTAGCCACAGCTGCCCTGGGGCACACTGGCAGAGGCGAGGCAGTGGTCTCTACTATAAATGAATGTTTTGCAATTCAATCTCTGTGGTAAAAAAAGCTCTGGCGCTCCTGTTTCGGGGGTAGAAGTTAGCCATAACACGTGGGGAGCAGAAGATGGCAGGATTTGGAGTTTTATTTTCTGATAATCTGACGTCTTGTATTTGATAAACTAACAAGCAACTCCACCACTGACTCATTTTGCTTTGCAGTGTTGTAGGAGACAAGACTTCTGAAGTGCTACTTGTTTTGATGTTTCAGAAAACTTCCATATTTTGAGGATTTACTCAAGCTCTGGTCTTTTGTAGGAGTATGAAGCTGGTGGGAAAACATACAGAAAAATGATGGCTACCAGTAATCGAGTATTTTGTGGAAGGAAATCCCAACAAATGCGGGTTACTGGAAATTGAAAAGCTATAGCATTTTTCATCAGTTTCTTAGAACAATTTCTAACTGAGGCTGGACAATCTAAGGTAGTATTCACAAGCCACTCTTTTAGTTTGTTGTAAACCTTCGTCTACTAATTTTATTGTCCTTTATTTTCTAAATGCATAAGAGTTGGGGACAGATGTGCATACAGATTCCTTATGAAAGCATTGGATGATAGTGAAAAATATTTAGTGTTTTGTTTTCTGTAGATGATGACAAGTCTCATTAAAAATCATTGTTTACATTATGTGAGAAGCAGATTAATATGTTTGTCTTTATCAGCACTTTAAAACAAGAAAAGCCAATGGAAACAAATATAATTCATCTATAAACTAATTTATGAACTAATTTGTGAAGTTGTTGGCCTTATTTTGTTAATTTATTGATGAAGTAAAGTGTTAAAAAGTTACACCAGTCTTCCATGATGTCATTTTTTAATGCTTTTCTCTTTTATCAACATGTTTGTGTTTTTTATGCAGTGCAGCATTTAGTTGAACAAAGGCTGCTTGGAAGGAGTTACTAAAATGAGAACTTTGACCAGGTCTGAAATCTATTTAAGCTAATGAGTAACATATATTGGTGATTTCCGTGTCCAAAGGTCCAAGGTAAAATCTGAAATAAACTCAGATTAAAGGTAAATAAAATGCTGTATTGTTTTATTTTACATAATATGTCTGGTTCTTACGTATTTTTATATTTTCTGGATATTTGAAACACGTTTTATGTTTTTTGTTTTTTTTTTTCAGACCATTGACACACCGGATCCTCATGCACAGAGATTTAAAGCATAATCTCACAGTTTTTCATGTAGAAATATTCGGAAAGGCTCTGTATCCATGGCACAAAATCATTTTGCTTTTGTTACTATAAAAAGCATCTAGATTAATGACTGGAGTGCGCTTGCGTCCGGAAGTGGCGTCGAGGGACAAGCGAAAATGGTGTGCGCATGCGTGCGGGGCGCCAATCAGAGAAGACAGAACAATCTGGAACTCGGAGGACAGGAGACGTCGAAAAAGAGTCTCTCTTCAGCAGCTTGTCTTTGTCGGTTGTTAAAGGAGAACGTCCTCTGCCCGTCTACTGAAACTGTCCTGATGTGGAACTTTATTCCATTAAAACTATTAAATCCATGGGAGTACAATCTTCTATTTTAGTGGAGCGGCCAGACACCAAAACTAAATTTCATCCGTGATTTTCAGACCTGGATTACAATGGAAACTGGACCTTCAGGCTTATGCTCTTCCCCCCCACTTGTAATTTTTCTCTGAAGGAATAACGGGAATGAGATGGAATGTCTGTCCTCAGCTCATAATAAAGACGTCTATTGGGCTTCATGCCTGCGTCAAAATGTGGATTTAATTCGATGGGGGTGCCAGAAAAATTGTAACAAGAAACGTATGTTTCAAAAAGCAAAAGACGTCAGCGGTCAATGTCCGTGATGTGTTACATAAATCAGCTCTGGTGTCATCAGTCAAGCAATGTGTTAATGTGGATTTATTGCTTCGAAATAACATTTAAAGGTCAGAGAAGAATCGTCGTAGGTACTGCTAGCTTGGCTCTTTGTTTAACGCCATTTTGTAAAACTGAGGGCAGTAACAACGATCGGCAGCCATTTTGGCTTTTTTTTTTCTTATCCAGACAACCTCCAGCAACAAAAAACATACCGTGCATCATAAGTTTGTCTAATATTAACGTAATAGCAAAGTAACAATGATGCTTTGTTTTATAATTGGTACATTTCGCTAGCTAATGTGCCAATTAGTATTTTTAATATGATTAAACAATATTTATGTTTTGATTATGTCAAATAATATAAAGACATGAAATGCAGTTTAAGAGCATGTTTTACCATCTGAGTCATAAGGCCCCATAGGAAAAACTAATGTCAGATAACACAAAATATTCTAGAATTAACTGAAGTCCACCTTATTGATAATGTTTTCAAACAACACAAAATTATCCACTATGCAAACTGAATTGCTTCTACTGAAGAGTGAATGTTGAAAACATGTTTCTAGAATATTTTCGCACTTGCAAAATCTGATATTTCCTAAATTTGAAATGCTATCTCTGATGCTCCTGGTGTGTGCGCGGTTTCTGTCGACGCTCTCTCTGTGCATAGTGTGTGAAATCCTCTTCTTCCTGCAATGCACAAACATGAGAGATTTAATGTGTGGAATAATGAATTTTAGCCGTCTGGTGGCTTATAGTCACACACCCTTCTGCCATAGTTGCATAATCACTGAATAATGCAGCTAAGTTTGATGCAATACACTGTAAAAATTAGCCATCTAACAATGACCATAAAAAACATAAATTTAGTCTAAATGTTCTGCAAGTACGATAAGATAATTGCATTTGTTTCCGTCAAAATTTGTAATCCTGCCTAGCATATAATTCTCAAGACAAGAAAAACACATTTTTGACTGGATATAAAATTGTTACAAAAAGAACAACTGTACCAAATGTCTTGCTAAGAAAATGCTTTTTTCAGCCTTCATGTAGATTTTCTTTTGACACCAAACTAACCCTTTTTAGCAGATTGGTCGAAACTCAGAAGAATAGCGTTTCTTATGGAACTGTCCACCAAAAAGAACACTATAAAATCCTGAGGTGTACGCCCATCGTTACAGGACTCAAATAATTAAGGCTGTTGCTAATTTCACAGAGGCCATTAATGACAAACACTAATGCTGTGGCTGACTGGCGCATGTGGTTAAAATTTAAGTTGTGCTCTTTTTAACTTTTCTCAAATAAATGTTTCACTGATTGTGAATATTTGATGTCAGTTTTGTCAGATGCTCTGTACTGTTAATCCAACTCTTAACAGTTCAGTGAGAAGATAAGAAGGCTGCGTTTTGTGAATTTAGGATGCAGCGGACCTAAATCTATCTAGGGGTTTTGAAACTCTTCCCCACCCCCACTTCTGGGATATAAGTTTTATAAGGTTTTTTTTCTCCATCTTGGGACCCAGTTTGAAATTCTGTCCCAGTGTTTTGGCTGTCGTGGATGGACGATGCTTTTGGACCTGTGTTCTGATTCAGAGTCCCACTGACCTGTAAGGATGCTGCATCCAGCAGATCTACGGCAGGGATTAGACAGCAGGCCTCACCCAGGAAACACATTAGAATGTGGAACACGTCAGCCCAGCGTCCAACAGTCAGCATCAGGACCATCAAACCCCCGAGACGCACCACGACTGTGTTGATGATGGCCTGGCTGCTAGGCAGACGATGCTGCTCCTCTGCAGGACCAAAAATCATCAAATTGCCTTAATTGGGTTTTCAGAGGGTGTAAATACTATCAACATCTGATGAGCTTTGGGCCTTGAAATCTGACCTCAGTGCTTTCTCACCCTGCATGTAAACCACCAACAGTGTGTAGCAGATAGTCAGTGGTGTCCAAAACCTCAGGGCCTCGCTTGCAGAGAGAAACTGCTGATTGATGATTGATACGCCAGCCAGCACAGCCACAGAGAAGGTTATGAGCAGAATCCTGCAGAGCAGGGGCAGCAGGTACCAGCCAGAGGAGAGCAGGCCGATGCAGATGCCGCAGTAGCGCTGAGAGCTGTGGAGCTTATACAGAACTGAGACATGATGCAGAAGGCCCGCTGCCTGCTTTGATAGAAACCAGCTGAGGGATGCTGCCAGCAGCAGGCACAGCCAGCGCTGGGATGCTCCCTCGTGGAGGAAGTGTAAACTACAGTTGAGGGCGCAGCCCAGAGAGAACTGGCTCTGCACCAACAGCTGCTGCAGGAATTTTCTAGAGTCCTGGGAGATGCAAGAAAAATGAGAATGGGATAGGATCAGTTATTCAGATTATGTTTTTTTTATTTTATTTCTTAAATGTAACAAGTTACCATAAATATTAAAATCTGGAAATTAACAGCAAATTGGTTAGGGTTAGGTTTTAAAAATCTTGACATAAAATAAGCAATACTGTTAAAATAAATTATAAGTATCCTAAAAATATGTTCATCTTATTTAGGGTTTAACCGGTTTATAGATTCAAGAGGGAATGAATGCTGCTCCAAGGAAAGCTGGTAAAACGATGCCCCTGTGTTTGGTTTTATGTGGAATCCTAAAGCTACAATGGCAAATGATCTACAAGCAAGCTAGCTTAAAAATGTTCATGTTGATTCCTCTTAACGTTTTAACATGCTGTAGCTAGAAATGGTGGCTTGCCAACTCCGGGTCGGCAGAGAGGTCCTACCTCAAGTGGAGGAGTTTAAGTATCTCGGGGTCTTGTTCACGAGTGAGGGTAGGAGGGATCGGGAGATCGACAGGCAGATTGGTTCGGCGTCTGCAGTGATGCGGACGCTGAACCGATCTGTCGTGGTGAAGAGGGAGCTGAGCCAGAAAGCCAGGCTCTCGATTTACCGGTCGATCTACGTCCCAATCCTCACCTATGGTCATGAGCTTTGGGTAATGACCGAAAGAACGAGATCGCGGATACAAGCGGCCGAGTTTCCTCCGTAGGGTGGCCGGGCTCAGCCTTAGAGATAGGGTGAGGAGCTCGGACATTCGGGAGGGACTCGGAGTAGACCCGCTGCTCCTCCGGATCGAAAGGAGTCAGTTGAGGTGGTTTGGGCATCTGGTCAGGACGCCTCCTGGACGCCTCCCTGGGGAGGTGTTTCGGGCATGTCCTGCCGGCAGGAGGCCCCCGGGTCGACCCAGGACACGTTGGAGAGGTTACATCTCCAATCTGGTCCAAGAATGCCTTGGGGTCCTGCCGGAGGAGCTGGTGGAGGTGGCCGGGGAGAGAATGGTCTGGAGCTCCCTAGTTGGGATGCTGCCCCCGCGACCCGGACCCGGACAAGCGGAGGAAGACGACGACAACAAAGTTGCTGGAGCTATTTATACTTTATTTGTGTTATTTTTGTGTATTTTCTTAAAATTTGTGATTAGTTCACTTTATATTATTTGAAGCATTTATAAAGTTTATTTGTAGATTAATAGTTGTTTATTTTTGTAGTTCATTTTGTTGTTTACCTTTGTAAGTCAGTCAGGAAAATCACCGGGTCATTTTGTATAAGTAAGCACTGGTATAGGACCAGCATGCACTGGGGTGGGCGTATGTTTTGTTTACCAGAGCAGGAGAAGCAGCAGGAAACAATGAAAAACAGGATCTGTGTTTTGTTGCTTGCCAACCTGGAAAATAAACCTTGAAGAAAACGTAGCTTTCAAGTTTGGACATTGAACTTCTGCCTGCGTACGAAACATTACCACAGTGCAGCAGTGGCTTTTAAAGTCGTAAAATATGAAGTGAGTGGACAAACAAAGGAACCACCATTACAGAAGTGGTTCTCTCGTATTTGTCTTAAAACCTCCACCAGTAACACAGGTCGGTCTGAAACCAACGATTGGACCATCTGGATGTCGGTCTCGCCGAACCACCACACTTCTGCTTTTACCTGGGTCTTCCACTCATTACATGCTCGCATATTTAGCAACAGAACACCACTGATGAGAGAGGTTTGCGGCTCACTAACGTCAGAGAAGGAGAAACGGACGGCTGCTACCACTTCAACTTTAAAACAAAGAGTCTCAAAACTGAAAAGCACCATTGTAAGTCACAGAAAACAAGACGTTTGGAAATCCGAGTTCCCACATCAGGGGGATGTGGCTTAGGTATGATAGCCGACAGGAGGGGTGAGCGTTCTGTGACCATGTTTGTGTTTAAAAGCTGGCTTGTTTTTCATTATTATTATTATTTTCATCATGTTTTTCATTCTAGCTTTCAATTAAAAATCAATGTTTTAAAAAATATTTTGTATGCAAACACACCATTGCCAAGCAGCAATGGAAAAATAAGATGTTTCTCCTAGTCCGTGAGCAAGGGCGCCCCCAAGGGGTGGCCATGGCCACCCCCTAGATAAAACAGGAAAAGCCATTGTTAACAAATCATATTAATGTTCAGTCGAACCATATATTGATCTTTTTTATTCAAGACATAATTGTAAAACAAAGTAAAAATATTGCAATTAATGAGTAAATAAAGGATCAGAATTTGAAAAAAAACATGTTTCTGCTGCTCACCATTTAAGAATAAAAGTGTTTATCTCCATAGTTTTTTTTAATAAAGCAACAGGTGAATTAACCTTAAAAAATACATTTTTAAATTTCATTATGGAGAACATTTTAAATAACTGAAATTTATATTCATGAAATGTTTGTGTTTGTAAAATGTATACGTACTGTTATTTTAATAAAAATGAATAAAGGAGCAATGCAGTACATCGCCACAGGCTAAACTCTCTCAGCGTTACCACAAGGACCAATTTGGTATGCCACCCCAAAAATGTCTTTGGCCCCATCTGGCCACCCCATCAAAATTTTCTGGAGGTGCCCCTGTCCGTGAACTCACCACCCATAAACGCAATTAAAAATAACAAATGTTGAATAAAGAGGATTTCGTTTACAGGTTAAGTTTATCTTTGAGATAAATTAGAATTGGCCAAAGTCAGTATCAGCATGTCAGCTGTGTAAAAATCAGTATCAGCCCTTAAAAAGCATAATCAGTGCACTCCTAGGACAAATGTTCACTATATCAGTAAGTCACTGGTCAAATGCATAATTCTCATTTTAGAAAGATGAATGTAAAAAGGGCAGTGCGGGTCACGGGGCGTGTCTCTAGCAGTCTCCGGGTGAGAGGCGAGGGACACCCTGGACGAGTCTCCAAGTCCATCACAGAGCCACACAAAGACAAAAGAGACAAACTACCAGTCACACACCTAAACCTAAAGAAATTCAGCCTTCAGTTAACCTGACATGCATGTTTTTGGTCTGTGGGAGGAAACCAGAGTATCCGGGGAAAACCCACACATGCACGGGGAGAACATCATGATTCTGTTTTCTCACCGGTCCAGCTGTAACAAGCCCAGAGACGCCTCGAAGACAAAATTCTAAAACCACGAGCGAAGCCACACGGGATCCCACTACAGCCAGTATCCCAGTCACAAAGACAAACTGGATGGTCCCAACAAGTCCACTCACAGGTCTTGTCTTAAGACTGGTTGACGTCTCAGTGGATGCGTCACTATTGTGTTTTTCATTCTGGCTGGGAGTCACAAGGAAAAAAGAAGTTGTAGATGTGTACTTTACTGAAATCATGAAAGTGGAAATGTATCACAAGGACATTTTCTCACCTTTCCTCTAACAACAAGTGGACTCTCAACAGGGAGCACATGACTGAAATCCCACATGCACCCACCAGCCCTGCAGGTCACAAAACAGAGTTTACCAAACACACATTTCAGAGACAACCTGAACATGCATGAAATAAATGAGGAGCTCACCTTGGAGTAAACCATCCAGGGGGTTTATGTCTAGAGTCAGCCACCCCGGCAGGAAGTAGGACGTTGGGAAAAACGATTTGATGAAGGAAAGCATTCCCTTGGTGAAGAGAATTCCTCACGTCTGAGATGGACGGACTTCAAAACTTGGATAATTATATTAAACTCCAGTCATGTTTTCTGACCAGATTTTAGTAATCTGCCGTCATTTTGCTTCCTGTTGCTTTCCTCTCTGCTCAGTCCAAAGCCCATTCGGCGTCTCCTACCAAAGGTCATCAGAGAGCGAGAGAAAGATAATGGAGGTTATTGCACTGCGACAGCCTCAAACTTCCTCCAAAACACCGGCTGCTGATTCTGTTGTGCTTTTCCACATTAATTTCCTAAAAAGTGCAGTTTACTTTTGTTCTGCACGATCAAAACAACATTAATTCCCCGTGTTTTTATGCTCACAGATTCATTTTAAGTGCTTTTTAGTGGTATTCGAAGGTGCGGGAAAAGAGAAAGTGGCGAATAACGTTCAGTATCCAAAAGATGGCAGCAGTACACAGCATCCAGTAAGGACAATATGACCATCTTCTCCATCCGCACCTGTCGGGGAGTTAAAAAAAAAACAAAGAAAGATCTACATAAATCACTCAGGCTGCAGGCTTAGAACCCTAAAAGGCCTTATGAAATCCTAATCCTTGGAATAAGCTATAATCCTCCCTATGGAAATTAAGATATTTTTTCCCTTCTTATGCTTTGAAAAAGAAACGATTTAGATTTAGCTGAATCCAAATCCTGGCTACATAATTCTACAGGTGACATTCCTAATGATGGACTTCACGTGGAGAAATCTGATTACTAATTTAAATTTGGTGCAGTAAATTCACAGTAAAGATAAAAGTCAGAGCTTTCTTTTCTAGCTGCAGAAGATGCTATAGCAGGCATAAAAAAAAGGTAAACAGGGTTTAAACTAGGCTGGAGGAAACAAGCCAGCTTCTTCAGTCTCTGCTGGTTGATTTCTTTAATTGTCATGTTTTATGAGCTAAACTAACTAAATCTGATCATCATAAAATGAGTGTAATGATAATTAAAGTTCATCCGTTGATGCTCATGGCAGAATAAAATCATGACAGAAAAGTTTGAAAAATTAAATGTAAATCTCTAGATTTTGGATTGTGGACATATTCTTTGATTGTGATGCGATTGAGCTGCAGCCATGAGACATTTCTCACCTGTTCAGGTCCTTCACCCTAACCCTAAAGCTGATGCTGCAACAAAAATCAGGTTAATAGATGATTAACTGTGATTTCTGCAAAAGCTTCAAAATCAGTCATCCAGACCATTTGCAGAGTGAGAAAAAAAATAAACAAATGAAATGAAAATTGTTCCATTTTAATTCACCCTTTTGAAACTAAATGTTGGGGTTTCCTCCTTAAGGGTAGCTGCCCTGCGCCTTCAGGTCGTGAAACGGGTCCTGGCTGTTGTTTGTGCTCATGCACCAAATAGCAGTTCAGAGTACCCACCTTTTCTGGACAGACAAATTAAAAAACTCTTTCAGTTTTACTATGAATATATATGAATATGTACTGTAAGTGCACAATTTTTACACCAATTTGTACTTTTTGCATAAATGGACACAAATGGTAAATGGCCTGCATTTGATATAGCGCCCTCTAGAGTCCTGAACCCCCCCAGGAGCTTTTACAACATAATCATTCAGCCATTCACACACACATTCACACTCCACAACAGGGAGGAGATTTGGGAGACTTGAGAGAAGAGTATTAAAAAGTTTTATTTGAATGATTAAATCAGACAGAAATGGTAGAAGCTGCAGATGTTTGCATTTCTTTTTACTAATCCAAAATACTGTGAAGAACAAGGTCTTTGGAAAAAATATATATCAAAGAAACTACATGGGTGCTGAGATTTAAACTTTTTCATAAAGTTACACAATAAAGTACAATATCAACAAAAAAGAACAATAGTCGTGCATTTATGGAATAAGAAAAAGTTGCAGGACTCTCAAATATCAAACCCTATCTGGCCACGCTCCGAACAGACATTCCCCATCACTCTATCCCTAGTTTTACACATTTGTCCTGTACTAGAATGTTTCACCTTTTTTGTCATTTGTAATCTGTAATTTGAATTGCTTTTATTTTCCGATTTATTAACTATATTTAACTTTCTAATGTACCATGTTCAGCGCCTTGGGCTTCCTGACAGGGTTGCAGAAGGCGCTTTATAAATAAAGCTTTGATTGATTGATTGAAATACAAAATAATAATGAAATAAAATAAAAACTTCATCACAATCCAAACTGTAGCAAAACAAATCCATCTGCATTTCATCAAGGAATGTTTTACACTCAACTCTCCGTTTAAACATGAAATCCTCCATCTGGCTCTCCAGTCCGGACGTGTTAGACGCTCTACAGGCCAGCCCAGCTATCCGGCGCTGGTGTCCAGCTACGTTTTCTGGGCTCTCTCTTCCACGTAGAGCTGCATCTGTGAAAGATGAACAAAAAAAGCAGACGTATTTGAATATGAAACCACAAGATAATTCAACAACACACACAAAACAGGGCGTGTCAACACTTTCCACAACTTTAAACTCACTTTCACAATGTCAGACGTCATGGACTTTAGAGGAATAAGTCTCGACTCCTTCATTTGAACTTCCTGCTCGTCTGCAACGATCCACGGAAAATCCTGAGGAAATGTCATCGATACGAGACTTTTTTGGGTTTATTTTAAACTCTTTCTGCTGTTTCAGACTGCAAGTTCACATTCTTTAATGACTTCACCTTTATGACTTGAACCTTCTCCATATTGCGAGTAGCAGCCTCTCTGGTATGCACAAGAACTGTGAAAGAACAACCTGTGACACGGAAAAACACATTAACTTCACTGATGAATTTAGTCAAACACCTTTTCTTTTGAGACCATGGTTCTCGACCGGAAAAGGGTGGCTTGCCAACTCCGGGTTGGGAGAGAGGTCCTACCTCAAGTGGAGGAGTTTAAGTATCTCGGGGTCTTGTTCACGAGTGAGGGTAGGAGGGATCAGGAGATCGCTGGTGGACTGGTTCGGCGTCTGCAGTGATGCGGACGCTGAGCCGATCTGTCGTGGTGAAGAGGGAGCTGAGCCAGAAAGCCAGGCTCTCGATTTACCGGTCGATCTACGTCCCAATCCTCACCTATGGTCATGAGCTTTGGGTAATGACCGAAAGAACGAGATCGCGGATACAAGCGGCCGAAATGAGTTTCCTCCGTAGGGTGGCCGGGCTCAGCCTTAGAGATAGGGTGAGGAGCTCGGACATTCGGGAGGGACTCGGAGTAGAACCGCTGCTCCTCCGGATCGAAAGGAGCCAGTTGAGGTGGTTTGGGCATCTGGTCAGGATGCCTCCTGGACGCCTCCCCGGGGAGGTGTTTCGGGCATGTCCTGCCGGCAGGAGGCCCCCGGGTCGACTCAGGACACGTTGGAGAGGTTACATCTCCAATCTGGTCCGGGAACGCCTTGGGGTCCTGCCGGAGGAGCTGGTGGAGGTGGCCGGGGAGAGGAAGGTCTGGAGCTCCCTAGTTGGGATGCTGCCCCCGCGACCCGGACCCGGATAAGCGGAGGAAGACGTCGACCTTTTCTTTTTTTAAACCCCAAAACAAATTTGCTTCATCCATCGTCTGAACCTGCTTCTCCACGTGGGGTCGGGCGGGGCGGATCAGGTGGGGTACACCCAGGACAGAGTGCCAGTCCATCGCAGGGCAACACAGACACACACAGGACAAGGACCCAAGGACAATTTGGACAGACCAACCAACCTAACAGTCATGTTTTCAGACTGTGGGAGGAAGCCGGAGTACCCGGAGAGAACCCACGCATGCACAGGGAGAACATGCAAACTCCATGCAGAAAGACCCCAGGCCGGGAAGCGAACCCAGGACCTTCTTGCTGCAAGGCAACAGCTCTAACCACTGCGCCACTGTGCAGCCCCAAATCTTGCTTCATTTACCAAAATTACAAAACGTAAAAAAACAATCTCAGTGATTTTTACTGGAAAAAACAAAGAGAGCTAATAAAAAACTACACAACTGGACAAGACAAAATCTGAAAAGTTCCTTTTTTTTAAATGTTCTGCTACAGAATACAGGTCAAAGACCTGTAACCCTTTAAAAGTCAAAATTTATTCCCATCGTCATCAATATTAGGCCCCGATCACACGGTGGGATTTTTAAATTGTTGGACGAAAAAAAAACGAGACCCCATACATGTGGCGATAAACAGAAAATAATCATGGATTCACCAGATTTTTGTCCTGCTGTGTGCAGCGATACGGAAAAATCGTCACAAGGACCAATTTCACACACAAACATTCTCATGGTGGAGAAGGAGTGTGTCACCCGCTTCTGTCACCTTGTTTTCTGATTGGCTACCATCGCATTTAACAGGCAGCACGATTGTTTGTGCTTGAAAATTAGACCGAGACAATCCAACATATATAATGTTCCCCATTTATGATCGGACCAACCTTTTAAGCAGACAAGAGCGCTCTTAACACACTACACATGGTAGGAATATATGTTACAATTACTTATAGCCCCACTATTGGGGCAGCAGTAGCTCAGGAGATAGAGCGGGTTGTCCAGTAATCAGACGGTTCCCGGCAGAGAATGCTGCTGCTGTGTCCTTTCATTTTTCATGTGTTAATTATCTTAACATATGAACCCGGCCAGGGTTGTCTTAGTCACTGTGAAGAAACATTTTTTAAACAAAACAGTGACAAATAACATTTCATATTTAAGGTACATTTGAAAGTTTTCTAATGATAAATGAGGTTACCTGGTGGGTTATTATTTAAGACAGCATCACAAACACTGATCTTCAGGATGAAGGCTCTCAGCAGCTGCTCCACGTGTGACAATAAAGTTTCAGCACTGTGGTTTAAAAAAATTGAAATGTCTTCAGTGTGTCTTCCAGGGTCAGTCGTGATTTTTATCTTGAGAGGCGCCATTTAAAAGATTTTTGGTCGTAAATAAATAAATTAAAAGTAGACGGAAACCTGATAGAGACAACAGGAGGCTGGGAAATCTCAAACACAAATCTCTCGACTGGATGATGCTCTTTGTCCATGATAACCACCACCACCTTCTCTGCATCATTCTAAGAAGTAAAAGAGATATTTTATTAATAAATACAAGTGTGTGTGTATGCATGAGGTGACTTTCTTTTCAGAACTAGTCTTACCTTCTCAATGAGTGGCTTAATGCAGTGTAACGTATCTTGGATATATTGATTCAAGCCAGGGTGACAGGACATCTTAAAAGCAAATACAGATGGTGAGTTTGAAACTTGTAAGAACAATTATTTAAAAGCTGTAAAAGTTTTTAGTAATCACACACAGTTCTATACCTGCACAGGTACATTGTATTTCTTTTTCTTCTGAAATATCCCTGAAGGATATACTTCACGAACATAAAGGATGAGATGGATCGCAACCTCCAGGAACTCACACAGGATGTCAGCTACCACTGGGAAAGAGGAAATGGTCACCTGACTCACCAGCTGAGCAAGTTTTAGATCAGGGTTCTCATAGTCATAAAATCTGACTAAGCTGACCAGATAAATAATATGTTGGATGTGTAGGTCAGGCCTGCTAACATATTGTAGTTGGGTTTAATTTCTACTTGGAAAAATTTTTTCTAAGTTGTTCTTACTCGTTTTTGGTGCATGTATCCCTATTTAATAGCTGCTGCCAAAAATAAAAACAATTGCTTTTCTAAAAGAGAAAAAAAATAAAAAAAGAGAAACAATTATGTCACGTTCATATTATTAGGACATTCTTGTGTATATTTTGTTTTAAAACAACTTTTAAACTCAAATTTCTCTCAGGTGGAGCACTTCCTCAATGCTTTGTTTATGCAAGATTATCATTCTGGCACCGAGTTTCTAAAACATAGACCTCACCTGCCGGTGCTTAAAAGTCTCTTTAATTGTTTAATATTTGTTTGTTGCTGCTATTAAGACAAAACTTAGCCATTTTCATTTCAGGTATGGAATAAAACAATACAAGTTTGATCTTTTACGCCAAACTCGAGCTCCTAAAAATGATATTTCCCCGTTATTTCACCATGTTTGTACTAAAAGATTTTTTCTTTTAAAACTCTGTCGCTTCAGATCACATCTGAAATCTCACAGACGTCAAATTAAATCATTCTCAGGCTGAATTTTAAATAGTGTTGCATATATTTAAACCCACCATTCCCACGATCTCCTTTAGAATCATTAAACGTGGAGAACACGCATTCGCTTTTACTTACCCTGTCCAAAATTAAGGTCTTGTCTTGTTAGAGTGGTCATGTTTTATTTCCTTCAACTGTTAACGTAGAACTTCACTTCCAACTAGTTCTCCATTTGAAACAGCACTTTTATCCGCGATTATTTGTTTTACGGTTGCTTTTTGTTAGCTAATGTTCATCTTGTTTCGACTTTACAATTCAACGTGTAAATTTTCAGATATTATAAAGATCTACAAGTGAAAAAATGAACATTTATATAAACCTGTGCAAAAGTTAACCCATTTACCGATAAAAAAAACAGCCTTGTGCTTTTAGCGCTACTCAAGCTACGTCGCAGAAAAGTGACGCAATCTATTGTTTGTTTTTTTTTCTTTCCGCCGTCCAACAGCGATGACGTTGCGTACTGCTTCGCTGAGAATAAGTGGATTTGGTGTTCGAGTTTAAATTTAAAGTTTGACTGATTTTATTTTATCAATATTTATTTCAATTTTATTAAAAGATCGGTTAATTAGTTCAAACACATTAAACATTGGTATATATCAGCACAAAATAAAGTGAAACACACAGACAAAACAAATAGATTAACTTATTTTTCTGTTAAACAAGCAGCAGTGAAGCTGCTTCTCGTTTTATACAGTTGTGTTTATGTGTCATTTTATTTATAAAAGTGCCAACAGTTTCCTGCAGGTCTAAGATCTTTCAGTTAGTTTCGCCTACTGTATGCATCACGTTTGTTTTTTCAGTGTCAAAGCAAAAGCCCAAACTCTGATACTCGAACACATATCATTCTTTTCCCTTCCAGCTCTCACATGTGAGCTCACAAACTAACCATAAGAACCCAAACAAATGGCAAATATTAATTGTAAAAGGTTTTCCCAATTTTGTTTAAAAAAAAGGTCACTGCAGAATTCAAAGCAAATAATCTAAGCAAACAGTTCACTGAGGATGCATTTGTAACACCCGCAGATCAGCCCCCAAGATATTACATGAAGTGAATCTGACCAACCAGCATTAATGTGGGCAATGAAGCACAGAATTGGATCGCTTCAAAAATAGATCAATTAAAAAATTGCAAAAGCTAAAATATAAAAGCTCAGTCTGTGCAGGTTGTGCCTACAAAACAGGGCAGGGAGACCAGTGAATATCCAGGGGAAAGTTGAATTGTCTTCACCAAACCAACATGTATGAAGCCAGGTAGGGACGATGACTTGGGCTTCCCCCAATCGGCCCAGTGCCTCCAGCCGTCTGACTTGGTGCTGGACAAGTGTTTGGTCCTTCTGATCAGTGACTCTGGTCTCCCCTGTTTGGCACACCTATGAGCTTCTGAGAGGAGTTCAGCACAGCCGCAACAGATGCAGAGCTATGTGTGCCTTCCCCATAAGTAGAACAGTGCCTGATTTCTAATTGAAATCACACACACACACACACACACACACACACATGCACGCACGCACGCACGCACACACACACACACAGAGTGTGATACAGCTCCACCAAGTTACACATTTATTTGTAAAAAGTCACTTTTTGGTTGCTCAGTAAGCCAAGGCAGTGCAGTTTCAGATTAGCTTTATTTTGAAGAGGTGAATTTGTTAATGTTCTCACAGCTGGAGCCAAAGATCATTCACAAGCAGTTATCCAGTGTGTCCACGCTGATAAGCTTTACATTAAGCACAAGAACAGGCCATGGGAATGAGTGGACACTTCAAAAGGTAAGCACAATAGTCTTATTTAATAAACTCACCTGCTGATTTAATAAATGAAACAGATTCTACCTTAAAATAACCAGGACACACTTCACGTTTTAGCTCAAACCGAAGTAGACTAAAGTTGTTGTGTTAAAGCTGCGAAAATTCACTCTTAAATCCTGCAACTCTTTGCTAACCTTACTGGGATTTTTTTAGGATAAAATTGTTTGACATTTTTTCCCTTTCAATCTTAAATTTACTTGCTGGATCCCGACAGTCACATCAGCTAGTTTCCTTTCTGGTGACTGTTCAGCTGCATTCTTGTGTAAAACGGTTTCTCCGCTCAGAGGTTTCGTCTTTTTGCAGATTGCGAAACTGTGCGAGTCATGCCATTTTTTGAATTCCTGGCTGGGAGCATTTCAGGTAGAACACGTAATAACTTAAAACATAAAACACAACACATGCAGGATAATGGGTTGTCCTTGTTGGCTGTTGCAGGAGCAGTGGGACTTGCAGTTGGACATCCATTGGACACTGTGAAGGTTACATGTATAACCTGTTGAGATGATATAATGTAGAAATATAGCCTATTCTTACATATTTTATATTTATATATAATTTTTAGGTGCGTTTACAAGCGCAGACTGTGTACGAAGGGATATGTCACTGTGTGGCTCAAACATACTCACATGAAGGAGTAGGTATCATTGTTTTATTCACATTAAAGTTTCTCTAGAAATAAGCGTGGATTCACAGTATTCCTGCATGTTTTTTATTTAATCAGATCCACGGGTTCTTCAAAGGCATGTCCTTCCCTGTGCTGACCAATGGCATAGTCAACTCCATCGTGTTTGGATCCTACAGCAACGCTTTAGATTTTCTGACTCAGTCGCAGCCATGTCCCAGCAAACCAGCCTCTGCAGCCCACATCTTCGGCGCTGGGTGTTTCTCAGGTTTGGTGCAGGTAAAAGGACGTTCGTTAACTTTGCAAAAGCACAGCCGTAGCATTAATAGATTCTGTTCTCAGGTGCTGGTTTGTGCACCAATAGATCTGGTGAAGGTGCGCCTGCAGGGTCAGACATGCACGAACCGTTACCGTGGACCCATCCACTGCCTGGCTGTCATACTGAGGGAGGAGGGACTCAGGGGTCTGTACAGAGGAGGCATGGCCCTCGCTCTGAGGGATATACCCTGTTATGGACTCTACTTCCTGCCTTATGAGGTCACTCGTAAGGCTCTGACAGAGGCTGGAGAGCAGCCTGGTGAGTCTCAGGAAAGGACTGAGTGTGAATAAAAGACAGTGGTTTACAGTAGTGGGTGTTTCACTGTGTGATGAGGCTGTAAAAGTTAACACTCTATTCATGATGAGAGATTATGCTTCAACAGCAGTGCTGTAAAAGTCTTGGATGGCTAGTCTTCTAGTTAAAGAGCAAGTCACTCCAAATCAACATTTTTTTGCTGATAAGCTATATAAATGAGTGTCTGATCGTGCTGCAGACACGTGTAGTCAATAATTCTGCACTTTAGTGCATCTTAGTTAAAATTTAAATATTCTGCCTAAAACTCAGCGATGCACCGTCGTCAGGTAAAAACTCAGCACTTCATTCGAATTTAAATCTGCCATCGCCATTGGCTAAGAGGTACACTATGATGTTAGATGGTGCATTATGATGTCACAATGTCATGAGTGTGTGTGTATTTGTTAGCGGCTCCACCCTCTTGGTCTGCTAGGCAACAGCATTTGTTGCATTTTTCAAACAGGAAGTGGGTGTTGAGTAAGAATCTGGTAGGGGGTGACTTGCTCTTTAAACACAGTTGTCATGGTGACTATGTCATGGTGATTATCTCTCCCTATGTTGACTTAATGTTTAAGAAAGTTATTTTTAAGTTTTTGAAATAAAAAAATTAAAAGTTGGGATTGAATTTGCTCTTTTATTCCTGGATCTTTTTAAACGAGCCAAAATAAGATTTACATTTTAATCCACTGACTAAATAGAAAAATATGTTGGCGTCACAAAATATCTGTCTGGTTTTGAAACCTTCCTGGAAATAAACGCATTAATTCCTGTGCCTCAGGCACCTTCACAGTTCTGACGGCAGGTGGCGTGGCGGGTGTGGTGACCTGGGCCTTCGCCACGCCCATGGATGTCATCAAAGCTCGGCTGCAAATGTCCGGAGCCGGGGGTCGGCAGTACAGCGGGGTCGTCCACTGCATCAGAGTGAGCGTGAGGGAGGAAGGACTCCGAGTCCTCTTCAAAGGCCTCCTACTGAACAGTCTGAGAGCGTTTCCCATCAACGCCATCACCTTCCTCTGCTACGAGAGCCTGATGAAGATTCTCCGTCCTCCAGGAGAGTAAACCGCTGTTGTGGATTTTTTAAAATCTAGAACCTGACTCTATACGGCTGTTTTTAGTTGATCTTCATAAAGAAGGAGTGTTTGTGTAGAATGAGTCTTCTTGTGACTGTGTTAATGTCGCCAATTATAGTTCATAACTAAGTTTTTAAATCTTTAGTTTTTAAATACAAAGCATTTTCTTCAATAGGGATACCGATACTTGCTTTATCAAAACAAGTGACATACAAAATATGAACTTTGGTCAAACAGAACGTTACCTTTGAATACAAACTGTGACTTTAACATTTTTATTTTTAAACATCCTTGAAGCCGAGATGAGGTTTGTGTTGGAACAGGTCAGTCCAGTGGCAGACATTGGTTTCTTTCCTCTTCTTCCCAAAACAACTTTCACATCCACTGTTTTTCTCGTGTTTTTTTTTTCAACACAAAACAGATTAAATAAATTAACCAAACAGTTTAAAACATGATTTATTTTCTTATTTGCATGTTTTGTCTCCGTTGAGTGGAGTGTGTGCATCCATGCTTCAACAGGCCTGGTCCATCTTTGCTCAAAACGTTACCATCAAAACTGAAAGAGGAGAGTATTTTAACATATCTTTGACGTAAAACATGGCAGGAAAAAAATCACAAGTGTGACCTTCAGCTCTCCCTACTGCTCATGGATTCTTTCAATGCAGCTTTTACTCTTTATTCAACTGTTTGTGGCTTTTTTTGGGTCCATGATCTTGTCCAAATCCAAGGCATCTTTGCAAGTATGAATTCAAGAGCCAATTACGTTACAGCGAAGTGACAAAGCGGTAGGAATGTAAGAAAATATCGATATAGCAATATATCACGATATATTTTCCTGCGATATTATATCGATGTTCAAAAGCTGTGTATCGATTTTTTTGGAAGAATTTACGTGCAAACATTTGTGTATTTTCTTTTCTTTTGGTGCAAATCAAATGCCGTCCGCTAGTCAGCAGTAGGGTGCAATGGAGTTTGTTTCCACCACTGAAATGTAAATCCCTCTATTATGGTTCAGATACCTCATGTTAATCGTGTTAAGTATCAGTTTGGACCATTTATTGAATTTTCTTATAATAATTTTAGCCTAAAAAAATCGCTATAATTGTCCGACTGAATGTATCGCAATATATCGTGATATATCGTATCGTCTCCCCTGTATCGTGATAATTATCGTATCGCCAGAATTTCACCAATACACATCCCTACAAAGCGGCCCAAATTCGAAGGATAATCGAAATGCGTCCACGTTTTACCTGGATTACGAAGACGGTTCAAGTGTATCCTCACTGGCGAAGGCTATCCAAGGACTCATTTTGGGTCGAACTCTAGATTTTTGTTCTTGTAATTATGGCGGCTAAAACCGGAGCGGATTGCCGTTTTAAGTGTATTAATGTCAGGCAATAAAAACTTGGCGTACTTGAGTTGTTTGGTTACCATCATTTGCATTTTTGTCTAAAACAATACCAATCCTCGTAAACGAGCTTGTACGGCAGGTCTTGTATTTCTTCATGCATTGCAACTACAGTAAGTTTAGTTTTAACTTCTGTTCATCGCCATCATGGTTACTAGGCAACATGACATACACTGAGGTGGGGGCGGGAATAAATACGAAGGCTAGGCATCCAAAATCACAGCCGCTCACTTCTAGCCTTACTGGTGCTTTTCTACAGGAAATGTAAGCACTGCGGATCATAGTACGCAGCAGTTGGCCACCGTTATAGTGGATGGGTATGTTTCTGCCGGCCATTAAGCATAATGTTTTGAAAGCGTTCGAGAAGCGTAGGTACGCGTTTAGCTTTGAGTCCATTTTTTCCACGCCACACTTCCACAACACATTAAACTCCGTGGTTCAGGTTGGACCAGACAGGAATTTGAACACGAAAGCAGGGAAACATCCAGAAACTTTCAAAATAAAAGTCGCACAGATTTCCAGTTGCTTAACTAGCACAAAAAAAGTATGTCAGTTCCTGTGACACCTTCGTAGCGTGGTAAACAGAACAGAAAATAAACCACAGGCCTTTTTGGATACATGCTGTCACCTTTCTCCTTGCTTGTTACCATGTGAACTAAATCACGTGTGGTATTTTAATAGTGTATTCTGCAGTTGCTAAAAATAGATTGCATTGCAATGTTATGCCACATTGTGGAATGTAGCCCTAGACAAGCGTGACCTATGGGTCTGAGTCGCTCCACTCGTCTCAAAGTGGTATTTTCATCTTCTAAATATGTTCAACAGGGAAGGACCCAAGCATTGCTGTGGGGGGGAGGTGCTAATTGGACTCTAGAGCAGATGTCAGAGAGGGGACGTATATTTTTTTAATCCATTTTTTCCAAATCCGGGTAAGGTCCGCAACAATTTCAAACAGCTGGAAGGGGAAATGGGCCGAGGTAAAGACAGACAAAGCAAATTGGCGTCATTATTTATGTGGAAGAGCGGATACTATAACACTCTCAGATGAGCTATCCAGGAGGCAGCGGTGTAAACAATGGGGGCCAGCTGCACATCTTGGCCAGACAGCATCTAAACGTAAATGAATGAGATTTTGACCAGAGGTGGGTGGTATGTATAAAAGTTGTGAAAGTAAAAGTAAAGCTTAGAGAAAATGATACGAGAGCACTGTGAGTAATGGTTAACTGTTTAAGCAAACAAAAGTTTGAATTTTGTGTCTGTTGGGTTGTTTGTGTTGATGCCCAAGTGCTCGTGATTGGTAAAAGCAATTTGTTTATCTAGCATTAGCACCCAGCAGCACTTGCATGGTGACGTCAACGGTAGAACACGCCGTTCTCCTGAGATCTTGTGACCTTGCCGGACCCACTGGGTGGAACAGTTTTGCTGCTGTAAAAGGGAGCTTGTAGGTCTATTACGGTACGGTACATACATCGTATACGATACATGACGCGCTGCTTACACTTCCAGTGGAAAGGCTTGATTAACTATCGAGGAAAGACCCAACCAACGCGAGTAGGCTGTGTCCTTACAAGGATGCTACCCCTGAATTTGGACACTTGTGTTCTTGTCCACATCGTTAACAGACGTGGGGTTACCAAGTTGACCCTAACTAGCCACACCTTAACAAATCACAAGTGGCTACCCTGGTAACCCGAATGTGCCACTGTCAGACGTTTAACTATGTTTGAAATCAAAACACTCTTTATGCAGCATGTATATTGAGGCCCTGTCCACACGTAGCCGGGGATCTGCCAAAACGTAGATATTTTTCTACGTTTTGGCCTGTCATCTACACGGAAACGGAGTTTTTTCACACGAAAACGGATCTTTTTAAAAACTCCGGCCAAAGTGAAGATCTGCGTTTTCTCCGTTTTGGGTGTCTGCGTGTGGACAGACAAAACCGGAGTTTTAAGGTCCGCAACGTCACTTTCCACAACAAAAAAATGCTGACATCACGTGTGCGACCTGTGTTTACACTAGCCGACAGCATGGATGCCCTCAGAGCTGCGCTTGCTTTATCAATTGTCCAAGCGCTTTTTGCTTGTTTGTTTTTGCAAGCGGAATTACTGCTCCTTGTGGAAGACCACAGACGAAGGACGAGGTTAAGAACGGGGGAAGTACTGCCACCTACAGGTCTGGCATGTCCTTAACAACGTATTTATCCGGGTACGTGCGGACAGTTTTTTTTTAAACAACGTGGTGTGGATGCAAGTTTCTGGAGGGGCGGATATTCGTTTTAAAAAAAAAACGGCTACGTGTGGACTAGGCCTGAATGTAAGCATTTAGTCTCGGCTCAGATTATTTTAAAGTTTATGTTGGTATTTTAGACGATACTTGCATTGGTGCCTCTCAGTTTCTCCAGATGTTTCCAAAAGTCTCAACAAAATCTTCCACTTCACATTGAAACCAGACAGAAAGAATGGGAAATGTTTGAATTTGAGAAGACAGTTTATTATAGAGAAATGAAACCATAACTTTTTTTCTCCTAAAAGCACAAGAAATACACAAACATATGGAATGAACAGGTTTAATGCCCTAAAATGTTTGAGTCGGTCTGCTTTTTCTTTAAATGCTCCAATTGCTATTGAGAGCAAAACCCTAAAGAATAGAAAAGACTTCCATTTCAGGCACAAAATCTGGAGAATTAATGCAAAAATGTTTTTAAAAAAATTATTTGGCAACAAGAATGATGAATACGTGTTGATCCATGCTGGTCGAGGTATGAAGAGAACAATCAGAAGCAGACCTGAGTTCACATACAGTAAACGTGTTAAAGTTTGTAAATTTACAGGAGAAACAAACCAGCTAAACACACACGAGAGAAAGGGAGCATTCCTAGAATGCAGGAAGTGTCTCTCAGATATTTTACACATTAACAAAATGTGTCCATTCTCTGGTTGAAGACGTCAAACAAACGTTTATTTTCAGGCATCACTCCTCTTTAAAAAAGAAACAAAAAAAAGCACGTTACAATGGACGACAAATGGAAGATTTCACCTTCACAAAAGTCTTCATCGATTTACAGAAACATTTAGCAGCTGCTGCACCACAGATAAAAGATCAAGCAATCTGGAATGAAAATGCACGTCCCCTGAGCTTCTCCTGTCACTGACACATACGAGACACAACAAACGCTTAAAAGCACGATTATAGTGGTAATCCGGTCAGGGGTAAAGGAATACTGTTCATGATCCACAGGACTGCTGGTTTCACGAGTCCTCAGTGGGACTGGGAGGGCTGGAAGTCCTGGTCCTGCATTAGCAGTTTGTGGTTCTGCTCGGCAGCCATCGCTTGTAAGGTCCTCCTCTGGATCTGTCTGGCCTTGTTGTACAAAAAAACGCCGATGAACACGACAAAAGTGCCCATGGCGCTGAGGATTGTGATCTGGTTACTGAACACGATGACGCTCAGCCAAACCGACAGGGCGTGTTTAACGGTACTGGCCACACTGGGAAGGAGTGAGAGGTATTACTACTGGGTGTTAACAGCAACAATACAAACATCTTCTTCTCACAGTAGGGCTGCTCAATTAATCGAATTTTAATCACGATTACGATCTGAGTTTTGAACGATTATAAAAACAAAACAAGCCGATTATTTGCTCCTCCCACTTGCGCTGCCCTGAGTTGCAAATGAAGCGCTCCTCCCACTTAGCGACTTTGACGCTATTTCTAACAGCTTTTCAGACCACCTTCTTGACTTTTCAAATCTTAAAAGTACCTAGCGAACACCTCAGAAACATCTCTGGTAACCCTTAGCTACTTTCTGGATAACTGTCGTCGACATTTCCTGCAGGTTAGCTAAACACTCCGCCTGCGCTCCGGACCGTTCTTCAGGACATTAGGAAAGGGAATGACGCAGTGATGTGTCGGTCGCTATTCGCTAAAGAAACGGCTCTCAGAGTCGGCTCCCTGTTGGATTAACCAGAGTGAGTGACACACACACCGCACCTGCGGACTCCTGAGCCACAAAAAACGGCTAAATGTGCGCATGCAGCTTGCCCTGATTGCTGTGAGACCGGGTTGGGGGGTGGGGGGTGCAGCTGTGGTTGGGACAATTATTACATTAACTGATGGACCTGTAAATAAATAGTTTATAAATAAGGTAGAAATAACTTCCTCACGCTGATAAATAATAAATAATCTCTCTGAGGACACGGTGCTAGTGCACGCTCCTACAGCACCTTGACACGACTAAATAAATGTTATGCAACATTTTGTGAACATCAATTTATTTGCATTTATTTGTTATAAATGCCACTGTATAATTCTTGCTGTCAGTATTTGCAAGATATTGGTATTTGGGTCTGTACTGGTTAGACTTAAATGAGCTAAACCAAGGTCTACAGCCCTTGGGTCAATAACTATGAGCTATAAGTATATTGGTCTTTTTATACTGGGAATCAGGAGTTATTTTAGTGATCATCTTGTTTCTCATTTTTGTCCTGAATGTGCCCTGAGCAGTTTTATGACTGAATAAAAACAAATAAAATCAACATGAATTGAAAAATCGTCCTAAATAATCGTGATCTCAACTTCAGTCACCATAATCGTGATTATTATTTTTGCCATAATCGAGCAGCCCCATCTCACGGTCCCTTTAAATGTGTTACTTCAGCTGTAGGCTGTGTCTAAAGCACACTGTGAGCCACACGCATCCGTGCAAAACAGGAATCACGTGGAAGAGAACTATTAGAGACCCTTTTGTCACCGTGTTAGGTCTGGGTGATTTAGCAAAACAGGTTTGTTCAGAGGTGAAGGAGGACCACCACAATTGTTTACAACCCCCACTCCCAGTGGACAGCACTCTCATCCCTCAGCAGGATTATAACCTAAAACATGTCAAACGTGTGAAGAATAAGCACGCAGACAGAATTCTGACTGTGAGCACCCAATCTGAACCCTTGGGAACTGAACTGGGAGCAGCTTGACGAGGTGGTGCAGAGGAAGACTCCCCCAAACCAATCAGTCCAGTGGGAAATGCCCCAGGAAGCAAGGGAATCTCATCAGATTAACTAGCCATGTCTGCACGGCCTGCTCATGTACAATTCAGAGTGGGGGCAAACCGACAAATCAGGCAATATTTACAATTGTTTATCTTTTGTGTCGGTCAAGCAGATTTAAAGTCGGGGTACATCCTGGTCAGGGTACAGCCCGGTGCGACCGCCCAATCTTATTTAGATGTATATTTTTATTCCTGAATAACATCTGTTTAATAAATGCACTGAATTAATCATTTTCTTCTATTGACCTATTTTGTGTAGTCAGTTTAACGATTTAACTTTAGTTAAATGTTTTAATTTCAATATTGGGCAGTGTACCAAATCAAGAGTTGGTTAGGGTTTTGGCTCAGAAATGTTGCGTCCGAAGGACAAAACGTTTATAATCGGCAGCATTTATTGTCCATCGGCAATAGAAAAAATCTCTAATTCAGACAAACTTCAAGACCGTTTCCAAATGAGCTGATAGCATGACCATTAGTGGTAGAAGGCGCGACGTCCTTCAATTCTGCTGAGTCGTGGTGAAAAGGTCCACCACAGGTGTCGCACCTTCATGTAAACTTCTTATCTTCTCTGTAATTCTGATAACCCTTTATGGATCTGTGTGGAGCATGAGCACCACCTTCTGTTTACTTTACACCACTAGACGTCATCGGCTGTTTTCACACATGTAGCTGGAACATTTATGGCTAAAAAGTAAACCGAGATAAAGCTTTTCTGCACAGTTTCTTCTAATATTGAAATATTATTTATATTTTTATTTTCCTGTGAGGTACGAGGTCCTGCTCCAAAACGAGATGGCTCATCTGAAGCAGTTTTATCCTTTAAAAATATTACTTTATACACAAGTAAATTCTGAACTAAAATTAAAAAAAAGTATCGTTTTTGGCTTTTGAACAGGATAACTAACCAGAATATTCAGTGAGATTTATTTCCTTTTTGTAATCTTCTTTGTTGTAATCCAGCAACAACATCAGCTGTAGTAAAATCTGGGTGTAATTGTATCTGATGAGGTTAGAGGTCACATGATTGATGTAGGGATCAAAAATGTTGCTTTACAACATCAGATTATCCTCAAACAGCTTAAAAAAAGGATTTCTGACATGTAATGAGCAAAAAACAATTTATTTTCAAGATAACACAAAGCAAGGAATCAAAACGTGCGCGCATGTATGTGTGTGTGTGTGTGTGTGTGTGTGTGTGTGTGTGTGTGTGTGTGAGAACACCTCGTTATCTTGGGCGTATTTAAACAAACCAAAGCTGGACTTTGCAGTTCTGCTGGAGATAAAGCAACGCCTTCTCAGCAGGTTTGTCTAAATAAATAAATAAATAAAGTTGCTGGAACCTGCAGCTAAAACACACCCAAGCAATATCTAAACCAGCTAGCAAGCTTTAAGCGCCTCGTGATTTTTAACTCGAGGCGCTATAAAACCATTTTTATTTTCTTTCAAACACACACCCAGATATCCGTTTTCAGAGCCGCTCTGGTTTGCAAACATACCTGAAGGTAACGGGGGAAATCCGACCCATGAGAGCGTAGGCAGTCACGCTCTGCAGGTGGAAAAGGCAGCCGTCAAACAGGAGCAACATGACAATATCCTGACTGAACATGAAGCTCTGTCCGCTCTTCCCAGCCGCCGGAATGTCCTGGAAGCGGACAACAATCACCAGGAAGCCATTATCACACACTCTAATAAGAACAAAAGACATGCCTTTAAATTTAAATTAATTCATCAGCTCTCGTTATTTGCCGTCACTGTGTCTTGTTTATGTACTTAAAGAAGTTTTTTTTCTATTGCAAAGTAAACTTGTTTTGCCTTATCGGGCACGTGTGAATCGAACTAACCTGTGCGAGAAAACTGACGGGAGTCTTGTTCCCTTAACCACTGAGATCAACCGGTTAAAACAATATGTACTGGGACATCATTGTCCAAGCTGCAAGTACACGAGAACGAACGATTGCCTGTTTGCTTACCAGGAGGAACACCCAGGCAGGTATGAGCATAATGACTGCTGCCGCGCTGGTGTAGAACTGCAGCTCTGGAGGGCTGAAGAAAAACAACATGACTAGTTTATTAAAACTCACGAATACAATTTTAACTCTAAAGATTTAGATTCCCACCTAAATCTGTACGTGTCTCCGCTCAGCAGCTTCTTGGAGAAAACGTTCTGCAGGCTGAGGTCAGAAACGCAGAGTTAGTTCAAGCTGGTGTGAGAAACGGCCGAGCGCGGCTGCTGCGGTACCCACCAGTCCATGATGTTGGTGGAGAGCGCGGCGGAGAAGCCGAGCATGTTGAAGCTGATCTCTGAAGCCGTGCACAGAGCCAGGCCGGCCATGACGGGAAAGAGGGAAAGGTTCACCCACAGACCTGCAGGAGTCAAAAAAACAAACAAGTCACAAGCGGTGACCACGGTCGTGACTTGATGTTAAAGGACAGTGAGCAACGGCACAATCCTGGTAAGAAACAACATGCGTGTTTGCTAACCTGTGTACTCTCCAAGGATCAGCCTGGACATGATCACAGTAAAAATAGGCGCTGAGCTCTTCACCGTCTCAGCAAACGACACGGCGACATTCTTCAGGCTCACTAAGCCCAGAACCACAGTGGTGAACCTGACGAGAGCAAACAGAGTTTTAGCTGAACCCTGTGTCGTACCCCAAAGGTGGAGCAACTCAAAAACAATCCTCTGCTGCACAGAGTAAGTTTGAAGACTGAGGTAAGCACCTCATGAGTCCAACAAACAGCATGATCATGATGAAGTTGGGGGGGTATTCAGATCTGGACTTGTGATGGTAAAGGCAGCAAGGAACGAACATCTTCAGGCAGCCTATGATGGTGGTGGAGAGCATCTGGACTGCACCTGGACAGAAGACAAGTACATAAATCTACTTTATACAGTCTTTTAATAAACTCATTGTAGTCAACTTTTCACAACTTAAAACATTGCTGATAGTCTTTTCTCTCCTCTCACCAAGCATACTGGGCTCCCCCTCCAGCAGCGACAGGATGTACTTGTTGAGGAACAGGGTGCAGAAGCTGAAGAAGTACCAGAGACCCAGATAGGACAGGGAGCGCCAGTTCCACACTCCGGACTCTGCCTCGATCACCGTGGTCTCTGTGACCGTGATCTTTAGCACCTGCTCCCCCGGCAGACTCTCGCTCCGAGTCAGAACCACTCGCTCCTGCCGGGTGCGAAATGGTGACAGGAGGTGCCAGATGGACTGCCTGTTGCCCTGCATCTCACCTGCTGCCTCCAGGCCCTCAGGGGCCCCGACAGTCAGGTAACGAGAAGAGAGTAGCAGCCGATGAGACGCTGCGACGATTAATCCATCTTATAATGGGAAGTCCAGAAAATTCCCAGCCCTTCACATAAAAATTAGAGAAGTGATGTGAAAATGACATTAATTAAGTAATGAACTCCTGACCTGTTAGATTTATATCCTGCATTTATTTAGATAGAAATCATTTCAGAGAAAACTGCAGCAAACTGCTTTACAAGCTGGTGTTTGAGAAACAAACACCATCTTACACCTGATCCCAGCATACAGGCAGCGCAGCACTGCTCGTGGTGTTACAATAAAATACTCAGATGACAAAACAAACTTCTTCCAGCTTTTTAAAGAGCAAGTCACCCCCAAATCAACTTTTTTTTGCTGATAAACTAAATAAACGAGTGTCTAATCGTGCTGCAGCCACGTGTAGTCAATAATTTAGCACTTCAGTGCATCTTAGTTAAAATTTAAATATTCTGCCTAAAACTGTCAGTGTTGTGTCGTTGTCAGGTAAAAACTCTGCACTGTATTTTAATTTAAATCTGCCACCGCTGTTGGCTAGAGGTGTGAATCTTCACTTGTCTCCCGATTCGATTACGATTATTGGGTCAACGATTCAATTCGATTCGATATCCCGATGCATCACGATTATTTCATATTGATTTGTTTTCATCGATAAATAGAAGATGTCAGATAATTGCTTTTTATTTTTTTTATCTAAAACGTAATTGACACAACCTGCCATCCCTCAAAAGCTCTCCATTCACAACAGGTTAGGACAAAACATTTTAAACATTTAATTAACAAAGTAAAACATCTGTTTCCTGGTTCAACACCACGCCTCAGGCTGAGAAAAACACGCTTTGCAAAAACTCACAAAATCTAAAAAAGTACTGAAAACCTACAGGACACATAATGTAATAATAAAATCCATAATGGGTTCATATACGAGTGTTTAATGTCTCTGAGCAGCTCTAGAGTCCAATATTTATGCTGCAGTTGAAGGATGTCAGAAATAACACCAAATGAAATGTTTGACTTAGTTTGTTATTTTATTTGAACCCAGTGGTTCATTTCTGAAATGTTGGAGAATGAATCAAGTTCTGTTTGATGCAGAAAATAATACAACACAAAACAAATTCTACACTTCCAATAATATTTAAGATGTGTGTTTTATTCTTTCTGATAATAACACCAGCAGAAGGCTGTGGGCTGGATTAGGATTAAATTACCCAGCTGATGGATCTCTTTCACTAACCAGCTAACTAAAAACCTTTCCACTAACCTGTCCTGTGTCACCCTCACCATGTGACCCTCATGTCCATGTCTCCTCCATGTCTGGAGGAGCAGATAGGAGACAGACCTCCTGTAACTTAAAATGAACCAAAGCTTCCTCCCAGTTTCTCTTTAAGCTGAATTTAACATCAGTTTATCATCATGACACAAAAGAATAAAGTGGAACAAGAACTTCTATCTTCTATTTCTCTCTCCTTTTGAATTCTCCGTGTCCCTAAATAAAAGAGACAGACGATCACGCTGCAGCCGCCGTCATTGACCCCGCCCCCTCCCCAAGACCGGATCTCCCTGCATTACAACAAGCAGTCTGACTGAGCGCTTCCAGGAGAAATAATAATGAAATTATGAAAATAATAACGCGTGTTTGGAGCATCGGTTTGGAGGAGCGTCCTCCGATCGTCTCTCTGAGCAGACAGTGTCTCTCTCTCTCTCTCTCTCGGTCGCTGATCGAGCGAGCGGAGCGCGCCGCACGACAACCCGCTCAATTAGCATAATTCACGGCCCAAATCCAACAGAACCGGTCGGGCTGATTCGGTTCCGGTTTGGTCTCGGGTGACAACTCTAGCGCTCAGCCCTGCAGTACCACATTAAGGCGGAGGTAAATGTGGAGGACGCTCACTCTGACAGATTTGGATGTGGCGCTGGTGCCGCCATTAAAAAAACAAAACTACATTCCACTATAATCGATTATGGCGTACTCTTCGACGATGCAGAATCGTTCATGTCCGCATCCCGATGCATCGATTATTTGATTATTTTCCTCAGCTCTACTATTGGCTAAGAAGTATGCTATGATGTAAACTGGTACATTATGATGTCACAATGCTGTCGTGAGCCTGTGTGTGTGTGTGTTTGTTAGCGGCTCTGCCCTCTCGGTCTGCCTGGCAACAGCATTTGTTGCATTTTTCAAACATGAAGTGGGTGTGGAGTTAGACTCTGGTAGGGGGGTGACTTGCTCTTTAAAGTCACATTTGAGATCAGATGTGAATTAGCTCATCTGTTTTATAGACCTTTCAAAAAGGATGAGAAATTAAGAGTGATTTCATTGTTTGTTCTTTTCTAAAAGAATTATAAAAATTATCTAAGTAAAGCAGCTTACAGAAGGAAGTCAATCAGCTCTTTGAGCATGTTCAACAAAACATTCAGTCTGCATAAGAGCTGTGGGAGCAGATTCAGAGAGGTTGAGAAACTAGATTTGTCTTAAATCAAAGTAAATAAATATTTTTTACAGCTTCCACCAAACATGTTGCAATCATTTGAAACTCCAGATTGAACAGGTTTTTTTTATGTTCAGCCCCTCTGGTAATTATGCAAATAAACGCTCGTGGGTTTGCATCATATTAATGTGATTTAGCTAATTTACATAACAAAAGACAAACGTAAACATGTATTTAAAGCACTAACGGAGCTCTTTAGCATTACAGCTAAACACTAAATTATTAATGGCTGAGAGAAGACCGGAGATTAAAAAGGAAATAGGAAGTAAACATAACTGTGCTAATCTCTGCACCGAAAACAATAGACAAACATTACTCTCATGAATCAGGGCACATTTAAGTTAACACACATCAGCTGGAAAACGCTTACCTCTTGAGGCTTCAGTTTGAAAAGAGATGGTGACTTTCTCCAAAGAGAAGTTGAGTATTTTCCAGAGAACAGCTGCATTTAAACGTTAGCTAGCTCAGCTGCATTGTTTTCTCCAACATGGGAGACGAACGAGAGCTTTGTAATAAAAAGAAAGACGCGCCCGCCTTGTTTGCCACAGAACACTACATGACAGCGCTAAAAAAAACAAGCCCAACACCAAGATAAACGAACTTTTCCCAAAGAGGAACAACAAGCTGGACAGCTTACTTTAAACGTGGCTACTAACAACTAAATTGCGGAAAAAGCTACTTCACTTCGGCACTTACAGGAAAACCATTTAAAAAATAAAACGTCTCACGGTGAACCAACACAACGCCAACTTTTGTGTTTTCTTGCAATAATTTTCCATAACTATTTAAAATGGTAAACTTAATTATTATTATTGACGATTTTGTCAATTGTTTTTACCCTTTTCAGTGACAGTAAAAGACGCATGCTCTTATTCTTTTGAACTCAACCACTGTTTCCGGAAAAACAGTAACACACCTTAGATGCCAGCGAAGCAAATAAAAGCTCCAGGTTTTTGTACTTTTTTATTCAATCGATAAATTTTTTTGCAAATAAAGACTAATTTTATACCAGAAAAAGATACTAAAATAAAAAAAGAAGCATTATTGCAGCAGCCCCTGTGCAGTTATACCTTATGACCAGTAGAGGGCAATGAACGTGCACAATTCCAAACTGTTGCACAGAGCTGACTTCGCTTTTAGAATAATAATAATAATAATAATAATAATAATAATAATAATAATAATAATAATAATAATAATAATAATCCATCCAATAATGATCAATGATCATAGGAGCTAAGTTTTCTGAGGCTTTCTGCCTTTGGTAGGGTCACCCATGTCAAACAGGTCCTAGGTGAGGGATCAGACAAAGAGCAGCCTGAAGACCTCTTATGATGAATTATATAAATGGAAACCGTGTTCTCTCGCCCGGACGTGGGTCACCGGGGCCCCCCTCTGGAGCCAGGCCTTGAGGTGGGGCACGTTGGCGAGCGCCTGGTGGCCGGGCTTTCACCCATGGAGCCCGGCTGGGCACAGCCCGAAGAGAAAATGTGGGTCCCCCTTCCCATGGGCTCACCACTCGTGGGAGGGGCCAAAGGGGTCGGGTGCAGTGTGTGACTGGTGGTAGTCGAGGGTGGGGCGCTTGGCGGTCTGATCCTCGGCTACAGAAGCTGGCTCTTGGCACATGGAATGTCACCTCTCTGGTGGGGAAGGAGCCCGAGTTGGTGTGTGAGGTTGATAGGTTCCAACTAGATATAGTTGGACTCACCTCAACGCATGGCTCTGGTTCTGGAACCAGTTTCCTTGAGAGGGGTTGGACTTTCTACCACTCTGGAGTTGCTCCCACTGAGAGGCGCCGAGCAGGGGTGGGCATACTAGTTGCCCCCCATCTTGGTACCTGTAAGTTGGGGTTTACCCCAGTGAACAAGAGGGTAGCCTCCCTCCGCCTACGTGTGGGGGGACGGGTTCTGACTGTGGTCTGTGCTTATGCACCAAACTACAGTTCAGACTACCCACCCTTTTTGGAGACCTTGGAGGGGGTGCTGGAAAGCGCTCCTTCAGGTGACTCCCTCGTTCTGCTGGGGGACTTTAACGCTCACATGGGAAACGACAGTGATACCTGGAGAGGTGAGGTTGTGAGGAATGGCCCCGCTGACCTGAATTCAAGTGGTGTTTTGTTATTGGACTTCTGTGCCAGTCATGGATTGTCCATAATGAACACCATGTTCAGACATAAAGGTGTCCATATGTGCTCTTGGCACCAGGATATCTTAGGCCGCAGCTCGATGATCGACTTTGTTGTTTTTTCATCTGACCTGCGGCCGCATGTCTTGGACACTCGGGTGAAGAGAGGAGCGGAGCTGTCAACTGACCACTACCTGGTGGTGAGTTGGCTCAGATGCTGGGGAGGATGCCGGTCAGACCAGGCAGGCCCAAACGTATCGCGAGGGTCTGCTGGGAACGTCTGGCAGAGTCTCCTGTCAGAAGGAGCTTCAATTCCCTCCTCCTACAGAACTTCCAAAATGTTCCGGGGGAGGCGGGGGACATTGAGTCTGAATGGACCCTGTTCCGTGCCTCCATTATTGAGGCGCCGACCGGAGCTGTGGTCGCAGGATCGTCGGTGCCTGTTGTGGCGGCAACCCCCGAACACCGGTGGACACCGGCGGTTAGGGATGCTGTCAAGCTGAAGAAAGAGTCCCATCAGGTCTTTTTGGCCTGTGGGACTCCAGAGGCAGCTGACGGGTACTAACAGTCCAAGCGGAATGTGGCTCGGATGGTCGCCAAGGCAAAAACCCGGGCATGGTAGGAGTTCGGTGAGACCATGGAACAAGACTTCCGTACGGCTTCGAGGAGATTCTGGTCCACCATCCGGCGCCTCAGGGGGGGAAAGCAGTGCGCTACCAACAGTATCTATAGTGGGGACGGTGTGCTGCTGACCTCTACTCAGGACGTTGTGGATCAGTGGGCAGAATAATTCGAAGACCTCCTCAGTCCCACCGACACGTCTTCCAGTGAGGAAGCAGAGTCTGGGGACTTTGGGTTGGCCTCTCAAATCTCTGGTGCTGAGGTCACCGCGGTGATTAAACAGCTCCTCTGTGGCAAGGCTCCAGGGGTGGATGAGATCTGCCCGGAGTTCCTTAAGGCTCTGGATGTTGTGGGGCTGTGTTGGCTGACGAGGCTCTGCGATATCGAATGGACATCAGGGGCAGTCCCACTGGACTGGCAGACCGGGGTGGTGGTCCCCTTATTTAAAAAGGGGGCTGCAGGGTGTGTTCCAACTACAGGGGGATCACACTCCTGAGCCTGAGCCTTCCTGGTAAGGTCTATTCAGGGGTTCTGGAGAGGAGAGTTCGTCGGATTGTTGAACCTCAGATTAAGGAGGAGCAATGTGGTTTTCATCCTGGCCGTGGAACACTGGACCAGCTCTATAACCTTAGGGGAATACTGGAGGGTGCGTGGGAATTTGCCCAACCAGTCTACGTGTGTTTTGTGGATTTGGAGAAGGCGTTTGACCGCGTCCCTCGTGGGTCCTGTGGGGGGTACTCTGGGAGTATGGGGTACCAGGCCCTCTGATATGGGCTGTTAGGTCCCTGTATGACCGGTGTCAGAGCTTGGTCTGCATTGCCAGCAGTAAGTCGGGCTCGTTCCCAGTGAGAGTTGGACTCCGCCAAGGCTGCCCTTTGTCACCGATTCTGTTCATAACCTTTATGGACAGGATTTCTAGGCGCAGCCAAGGTGTGGACGGCATCCGTTTTGGTGGCCTGACGATCAGGTCTCTGCTTTTTGCAGATGATGTGGTCCTGTTGGCTTCATCAGAACGTGATCTTCAGCTTTCGCTGGAGCAGTTCGTAGCCGAGTGTGAAGCAGCTGGGATCAGAATCAGCTCCTCTAATCTGAGACCATGGTTTTGATTCGGAAAAGGGTAGAACACCTTATCCGGGTCAGGGACGAGGTCCTCCCCCAAGTGGAGTAGTTTAAGTATCTCCGGGTCTTGTTCATGAGTGAGGGAAAACTGGAGCGTGACATCGATAGGCGGATTGGTGCTGCATCTGCAGTGATGCGGGCGTTGTACCGGTCTGTCGTGGTGAAGAGAGAGCTGAATCAGAAGGCGAAGCTCTCGATTTACCGGTCGATCTACGTTCCTACCCTCACCTGTGGTCATGAGCTTTGGGTAGTGACCGACAGAACGAGATCGCAGATACACGCGGCCGAAATGAGTTTTCTCAGAAGAGTGGCTGGGCTCTCCCTTAGAGATAGGGTGAGAAGCTCGGTCATTCGGGAGGGGCTCGGAGTAGACCCGCTGCTCCTCCACATCGAGAGGAGCCAGTTGAGGTGGCTCGAGCATCTGGTCAGGATGCCTCCTGGACACCTTTCTGCTGAGGTTTTCCGGGCACGTCCAACTGGGAGGAGGCCTAAAGGTAGACCCAGGACACGGTGGAGGGACTATGTCTCTCACCTGGCCAGGGAACACCTTGGGATTTCCCCGGAGGAGCTGGCCCAAGTGGCTGGGGAGAGGGAAGTCTGGGCCTCTCGCCTTAGGCTACTGCCCCCGCGACCCGACTCCGGATAAGTGGATGAAAATGGAAATGGATAATAATAATAATAATAATAATAATAATAATAATAATAATAATAATACAGATTGGGGTAAGACATTTCAAAAAGTTCCAAACTCTCATGTGTAAATATGCTGTTATTAACTGTTTTCCATGTTTCTTTCAGAACATTTACCTTTTCACATTGCAAATTAAGTTGTTGATACCTTGAATTATGCATCGTGCTATTAGTAGATGTGCTATTGAAGTATCTTTAATTTTTATTTGATTCATTTTGACAAGTAAAATATGAAATTTGTCCAAGAGAATTATTGCTGCTGTGACACGAAAATTTGCCCGCTGAAGACCAATAAATGGATTTTATTTTATTTTTTCCTCAGGAACAAGAGTTAACCCTTGACATGCTTTGCTCCTCTTGGCGCGCAATAACAAGTGTCTCCTCTAGAGGGCAACCGTGCTACAACGCAACGGAGGAAGAACACGTAAGACAGCGAAGAAGAAGAAGTTTTCTCAGTTAAAGGCAAGGATGCGTCTGCTGTTCGGAGGTGGAGTCGCACCAAAAAGGGTCTCCGGAATGTAAACCCGGGCTCGGGTCTCAGTCTTGTCCAGAAGGAGATGGACGAGAGAAGGTCAGCGGCTTAATGTGTTCAGTTTTCAATTCTTTTGGGTCGCTCGCGTCGTGAGTAGATAACAAAAACTGTTCTGAGATGTTCCGCTAATTATCACGTTATTACCACTTACACCCAATAACTAATAATAATAATAAAACACCAACACTGGCTTTTGCTGACTGAAGCGGAATTATGTTCGAGGTTTTTCCAAATATTTTCTCTTTTTAGCAACACTCAGCAGCAGACGTCAACTACAAAGCGAAAGTGGGTTAGTGCAGGTCATGGCGATAAGAAGGGATGCTCAGAAGTCACCCGTGGATGGGTCTGAAGCTGGTCTGACTCAACCTGTGCGCGCGCCTCTCAAGATAAAAATCACGAGGCGCTTACCTCGAAGCTGCGGTTCGGTGTTTCAGGAACCGGGACGAGTGTTCCAGGAATGCTGAAACATTTGATTCACATCTACAGGTGACTGAAACAGATTCTGCTTTAGCCGGGTTCATAAACACTAAATAATAATTATAATATAAACGTGACTCATTGCCACATTTTGCACGTCATGCATCAAACAACGAAGTTATTATTAGGATCCTCACATGTGCTTGTTTGGCTCATTTAGTGCTCAGAAGTCAGGAAAGGTTTTGGACTTTCAGGATTTTAATGAACATCGTTAATGGTTCTAATAGCAGTCTAATATCGGAAGTATCAACAGCTGTGGTGTCCAAACCGTTTTAAGACACTGGCCGAGTGCTCGTGTTTATTTTTAAATTGTGAAACTCCTTCAAACGTCTCAATAACACATTAAGCTTAAAAACCAAAGTGATTGTTTCTGTAGAGGCCTGCATGGTCGCACAGCTGGAGACCAACTAATTAGACTATAAAGTCCCTGTGATGGACTGGAGACCTGTCCGCGCTGTCCTCTATCACCTGTTATTGATAGAGGATGGACATCCCTAAATCTAAGTTATTCTCTTTTCTTTACAGAAAGATTTGTAATCTTTTCCCTTTTTTTCCCCCAGTTCCTTGTTGGACAACCAGCAGCAACAGAACCCGGACCTTCTGTCTCCAAACCTGAGACCAAGACACCCAAATCTCATCCCCACACCATGTGGACCGGTGAGATGTTTGGCCTTGTCCTCTCAACCCCAGAAAAACAAAAATCAGCAAGCAAGATTGTTTCCTGTTCGTCATTTGTCTGTGTGTCCCTCGTCCCTCCTGCAGATAAAGTCCTGGTCGGAGCTGTCGGTTCTGGTGAGGCTCTACTTCTGCTTCACCATCGCGTCTCTGCTGGCGCTGCTGGGCGTCACCTCCTCTAGCATCTACAAGCAGCACATGAACACAGATGTTTCGGATGAGGACAACTTCACCGTGTCTCTCATTCAGCTGATCGGAATATGTAAGTTGTCCGATATACACTGTAAAAAATAGAACATTGAGTTTAGCTTGGTGGAACCAGCTGACATAACTCTTCAGAGAGCATCTTCTTAACTAGCACCCTCCCTGCCCCCCCCCCCCCCCCCCCCCCATCACTCCTTTGTTCCCTCCTCTCCATGATTGATGTCAAGTTGTTGTTATTGTTGTTGTTGTTGTTGTTAGCCTCAAGGGCAACATGCCAATTATCACTTGTAAGTCGCTTTGGATAAAAGCGTCTGCTAAATACATAAACATAACTAGTTTGACTTATTTACAAACAACATTTTTTTGTTTTTTTATGTTTCTTTTAATCAGTTAAACATATTTAACTCAACTTTAATTAATTAAATAAATCTGGAGTCAAGTTTAAGAACAAAGTTTAACCAAATGTGGCATTTTGTGAAAAAAAAGAAAGAAATAAATTAAATTAAAAAGATAATATTTATTTAAGTCAATGTAAACAAATAACACACTCTAACTAAGGACTCTTCTGAGTACAAATGTTTTTTGTTTGTTTGTTTGTTTTAAAAATAAACAAACCCAACAAAAATCTCCCTGACCAATAGGAACAGACGTGATAAAAGTAAGATAAGATTCATCTTTATGGTCATTGTCTCTGCTGCCAGGCACAGCAAAGCTGAAGGTGCACTCGACTCTCAAGCTTAAAACAAAAGAGATAAAAACCAGAATAAAAAGTCTGCAGATATATTCAGATTGCACATATTTTATGAGAATAATATTGTATGAAATGATTGCACTCTGTGCTGTACAAAGGAGGGGATGCCAGATTGTTGTTACTTGTTAGCGGTGCACTTCTTCTATAGCTGGGCAGGAAGTGGCAAAATGGCGCAATATGGAAAGCAGCTGTGGACAAAGTTAGTTTGCTCAAGACCTGTGAACATGTGACACGATAAGTTAAAATTAAATCACTTTTTTAGTTGTTTTTCTTATATCTCATGCTGTTTAAATACACTAAAATCAATCTTTTTTCCATCAAAACACAATTTCCAGCATTTTACATAAAACAAGCTACGTCAAAAATCCTTTTGAAATCATCGGCGTCTCCCAGAAGCGTCACATCGAAACCCAAACTTCCTCACTTCCACTTCCTGTGTCTCAGTTCCTTTAAAGAAAAAGTTTTTTTTCCCAAACCTGCTTAAGTCTCTTAGACCTTAACTTAAAATAATTTTATTAACCCTTACCCTGAAAGAAAACGGCTCTGATTCCTTTTCTACTTCGATAAATCTTCCTTTATCCACTAAACGCTTCATAAAACATGAATTATGCTACATGCTACAGTAATCCGGCTCTGTAGTGAGGCTAATTAAACGAGGACAGCTTTATTGAGCCTCTCAGACAAACAGCATCTTTGTTCAAACTGACGAATGAACGAATAATACACGACGAAACTTGTTCTGCAGGGTTCTGCATCTACTACATCAGCCGTGGCGTTCTGCAGGAGAACAGGCAGGAGCTGGTGGCTTTCGTGCTCAGCGTGCTGGGGGTCATGATCCGATCCGTGGTCAACTTCTCAGTGGTGGGGTCAAAGGGCAAGCAGGAGCTGCTGGTGAGGAACGTCACTCCGAGACTCTGGCAGCTTTTCTGTGTTTGACGTAGGTCTGTCTAGAGACACTCGAGTAAATACTTGGATTTATTCTGGATGACACAAACTAAAGTTAATTTTTCCTTCTTTAAAGTACAACATGATGGGATATTAAAGCCAGTTAGAGAGAATAATAAAGAGATTAAAGTTTAAACATTATTTTGAAAGGGGATCAAAAACCAAATCAGCACCTTCAATACCCACAATGGCTCGTGTAAATAACCTTATAGGTAAAATCATCATTATCTGTAATTAACTCCTCAAAACAAATTTCATAAGCTCCTGATATCTTGAGAAACGTGTGAACGTTTGAGACTTTTATTGTGAAGGGTCAGAGGAAAGACGTTGGGTGGGTTCCGCTGTGACCGCTGCTGCAGGAGTGAATTTTTTTTCATTTACCTGTTGAAAAATCCTCGAAATAAAACAATTACAGGATTTTTATCCCATTTTTTTCATTTACCTATCGAAAAATCAGCGAAATAAAACAATTACAGGATTTTTATCCCATTTTTTTCATTTACCTATCGAAAAATCATCGAAATAAAACAATTACAGGATTTTTATCCCATTTTTTTCATTTACCTATCGAAAAATCATCGAAATAAAACAATTAGAGGATTTTTATCCCATTTTTTTCATTTACCTGTCGAAAAATCATCGAAATAAAACAATTACAGGATTTTTATCCCATTTTTTTCATTTACCTATCGAAAAATCAGCGAAATAAAACAATTACAGGATTTTTATCCCATTTTTTTCATTTACCTATCGAAAAATCATCGAAATAAAACAATTACAGGATTTTTATCCCATTTTTTTCATTTACCTATCGAAAAATCATCGAAATAAAACAATTAGAGGATTTTTATCCCATTTTTTTCATTTACCTGTCGAAAAATCATCGAAATAAAACAATTACAGGATTTTTATCCCATTTTTTTCATTTACCTATCGAAAAATCAGCGAAATAAAACAATTACAGGATTTTTATCCCATTTTTTTTCATTTACCTATCGAAAAATCATCGAAATAAAACAATTACAGGATTTTTATCCAATTTTTTTCATTTACCTGTCGAAAAATCTGCGAAATAAAACAATTACAGGATTTTTATCCAATTTTTTCATTTACCTGTCAAAAAATCAGCGAAATAAAACAATTACAGGATTTTTATCCCATTTTTTTAAACATCGTCTTTGGGTCTTGAACCCACTGAACATAAAAACTCATTTTGAAAATCCAGAGTTTCAGATGCTCTGAAAATCTATTAAAGACGGGTGATTCTAAAGTGAACACATGATCAGAAAAGTGTCATCTGCATCCCTTTAGATGCAAAACAAAATAAACAAACAGGAGAAAAGCGAGGATGTCAGGATCTTCGCAGCGTTATGCAGAAGCAACGTTAAACTTCCTCCACTTGATGTCAGTGTTGCTGTCTAAACGAACCTCAGGAGTTTCAGCAGAAAACGTCCGTTGTAATTCCAACCTAAAGCCGCTGTTGTTAAATCCACGTTACTGATCCAGTTGGATGTTAACAACGTTCTCTGGTGGTGAAATGGGAGGACGTTTCTTTATCTTGTGCAGAAGGACGCAGAACAAAATCAAGTCCCAACGCGTCAGCAGGCACCTTTGCTTCTAACGAGTCTTCCCAGAGTTTCTTGTTTTTGCAGGATGCTCGTAAAAAGTCAACTCTGCAGACTTTTTGTTGACTTCTGCAGTCCTAGGGAGATAAAAGACACTTGGCACACTCGTGTGTTGCAGGCTCGCTTTGTGTGCACCGTGTGCCTGGGCGTCGTGCACGTCTTTTGCACCACGCTTCTCATCTGGAGGCCCAACATGATGGCATTCCGTGTCAGCGGGGCCCTGGAGAGCTTGCAGGAGCAGTACTTCCTCCTAAACCTGTGCTTCTCCATGGTGACCTTTGACCTGCAGACTCAGGTACACTTCGTCCTGCTCTTGTCACAAAAGGCTAAAAAGGAACAAGCCGAAGGCTTCGAGAAGGTGTGTTTGTTTTACTGGCGCGGTTTTCGAGCGTCATAGTGATGATGTAAGTCACAGGTCAGATGCAGCTGATGTAGAAGTTTGTTCCTGATGTCTCTGCGTCCTAACCAGCCTCAGGAGGACGTGCAGTCACGCTACATTGTCTTAAAGTTAAAAGATTATGCAAAAAATGTTAAAAATGCAGACGATCAGTTTCAGACTTCATGTTTTTCTGATTTTATCTGACGCGCATGTTCATGTCGTCGACGAGTCTCCGTGTTTCTTCTGCTGCATTAATGAGGAACTGTTTTCAGTTGTGTCTGTGCGTCCTGTTCACGACGTCGGACTCCTTCATGCTGGCCGATAAAACCGTCATCCTGGCCGTCGGAGTGGTGGGGGTGATCTGGGCCCTTCTGACCGCTGCCGTCGGCGCCGTGGCGGTGAGATCTGCTCGTCCATCCTCTCATTGCACCACTCCATCGGCCACCACATCAAAATTCAGCTGATTTATGTCCTTCATCTGTCAGGTGTTAAAGGAAGCCACGGTTCTGGTCTGGATCTTCATGGTGCAGAACCTTCCCCAAGTTGCCTTCTTTGTTTATCTGATGTACACGGTAAAAACAATAAAATTAAACACCAACTTTCCTGCTAAACTTTGGTTTTCCTTCAGAAGCAGCTAAAACTTTTATTCAGATGTTCCTTAAAGACGGTAATAAACCTTCAGTTGTCCACCAGACGACTCACAGCTCGTAAAAACGCTCAGGACTGGTTCCACCTGCACAAGCCTCTTCAAAACACATTTGCACATGCTTGGAGCGTCCGGGTGCTGTAGTTCCTGGTAAATGTCAGATGTCTGTGCAACATAAATCCAGATTTATTCAGTCATAGTGCACGTTTGTGTTGATGATTCCAGATGTTTCTAAGAGCAACCTTGCAGCTTGTGGATGTCGTTTCAGCTGCAGCTTTAGGTGACGAGAGCTTTGGCGCGGGACGTTTGATGTATCGAGGTCATACGTGTCAGAAGCGTGATTTTACTAAACCGCATGTGAGATTGTTGACGGAGCTTCACTTATTCCCGGGTGTGAAGGCGTGGCTGTGATCCAGAGGAAACAAAGGGAGAATAAGATCGGTCATTAATCAAAAATGTGGAGAGTTGTTACAGAACTGGAACGTTTCAGAGCTTTAAAGTGTCCCTTTGTTCCAAGCCACTGTTCCTCGTCATTAACAGGTGGTGGAGAACTGGTTCCAGAACAAAACCTACACCCTGGAGGCAGCCGCCGTCACCGGGGCTTTGTTTTCTTTGGTCATCAAAGCGGTTTTATTGTGGGGCCTCGTCCGACTCGTACACAGCTTTGGACAGGGCCTGAGAGAGAGAAGTGAGTCTCGCCTCCTGACTTTAATTCGGTTTATTTTAGGATCGGAAACATCAGAGTCTCGTTATTCTGACTTCTCGGTTTGTTTTTTGTAGTGTTTGCATCCAGACCCTGAGGGCTCACCATCACGGATCGGTTTCAAGTCTGTTTTATACTTCGGTGTCAACTCTGCCAACGTATTAGCAACTTTTTGTCTCTGCTGATTGTTTTTCTTTTGGCTTCATCAGTTTGCAAATCACCTTTTGTTTTTTTCTACACTGAAACCAGAGGTTTCCATACTTTTGCACATTCTCAGCTACTTTGTCCTTCCGCAGCAGCTTTTGTAAAACAAGTCAGTAATACTTATGTAATATGCTGCTAATATATTTTTGTAAAGTCTATGGAGTAACATTTATGTGGCTCATTTTCAGATTTCCTAACTGCACCTTAATGTTTTTTTATAATCAAAGTTCTTAATAAAATATGGAAAAAAAACATGTTTTGAATTATTTGTCAATAGGAAAAATAGATAAAAATGTCTCATTTCATTTCTGCTGCTAAGACAGATGAATGAAAACAGTATCTTGGCTTAAATACTTTCTAATATAGTATATATATTGTGAAGATGTAAAATTATTAACTGGTTCCATTGCATTTGTCTAAAGACCTCCACCAATAAGACGGCTCGAACCGAAAGCAATGATTGGACATTTCTACTTCCCTGTGTCCTCCAATCATTACGCACTCATGTATGCGTTTGCAGCAGAACACCACTGGTGTGAGAGGTTCAGCATCAGAGAAGGCTGCTACCACTTCAACTTTGAGATAAACCAGAGTACCAAAAAGAAAATCACCATTCGGAGTCGAGAACAACAAAAAACATGAAAGTGGAAAACAGCAGCTGTGTTTGGTGCTCTTTCTGGATTTCGGTTCCGGTGGACTCAGGGAAGATACTGGAGAGAGGTGTTCCGTTCCTGTGTCTGCAATCAAAACCTAGCTCGTTTTGTAGATTTGCCATCAGGCGATTCGAGCATCAGAGGTTTAGGTATGGGGTTAGACCCGTGCCAAAACCCGTGCACATCTAACCCCATATTTAGGGATGCGGAGCACCCAGAGAGCTGCCTCGAAATCGGAGTGTGATTCTATTTTCTGCCAGCGGGGGGTGCAAGTTCCCCATTCCTTCAAGGCAACAATACAGTGTTTGAAAAATAATTAGGGAAATTGTTTCTTCTCAGTAAATCTTACTAAAGTCCATTTAGACTGTAAATCCAGAACGTCTACACTTAAAAAAATGTTTTAATTATTTGTGTTCAACAGGATTGAACCAACAAGCTAAAGCTGGAGCTATTAGCAGCTAGCAGATGTAATCCTCTCAAAAAAACCCCAATACAACTCTTAATTCGATATCATAACACATAATTTAGCGATGTTTTAATGTATTGTCATTTATTTCTAATCCCTATTAAACAAACACGAGTGTTAGCTTGCCTTGTTTGACCCAAAAGTAAGTTGATATCATCTTAAGAAAATTATTAAGACAAAAAAAAAAAAAATAAAACATTCTGCTTCAACATTGTGTTTATTAAAGATTTCTGGGAGAAAAAATAGCAAATTAGACACATTAATAAACTTGCTGATACAAAAGTTAGAAGTTACAGGCTCTTAGTTACAAAAGTGAAAAGCACTTAGCGAGAGAAACCTACAAATGTTTTAATAGAAAAGAAGTGTCATTCACATTATTTACAAGTTTCTTTCCTACACAATAAAAAAAACAAGACAAACAATTTTGTTCTGGAATGCTTTAGATAATCCCTCACTGATCTGTGACTTTTCCTCAGATTTATTTTACATTGTAAACCAGTTAATAAACGTGGACGTTCAAAATCACATTTATAAACACGCACGCACAAGAAAGGAATGGTTGCTTTTAAGGTTTTTTTTCTGTGTTCAAACAGGCGTAACAAAGGTACGAGTTAACATCTGAGAGAACCTGTAAAACAGGTCTCCACACGGGCTGTAAAAGTGTAACGAGTCCTCAACAGTCACACGAATCCCGCACACAGGGCCTAAAACGGCGGGCTTCATAAAATTTGGCTATTGCTTAAATCAAATCTCTAAAACCAGAAACTAAAACCTGAAGTTTGGTCTCTGACTGGAATGATCGCTGCCTCCCAATGCTGGCGCCACGGAGACTCAAAAATCAACCGTGTTCAGCTGCGAAGCCCGGGGAGACGACCACGGTCGTCGTTACGACGCGCTAAACACAGATTTGTGCAAAAGTTGTGATTAAAAACAAAACCACGATGTAAACCTCAAAAATAAGATGTCTGTACATTAACGGTGAAGTGTTTCAAGGCACAGCCGGGCCCTTAAACGCAACATCCTCAAATTCACTTTTCTTTATTAGTTTAACATAAACTGGAGTTGGTTTTTATTCATCCACTGCAGCTCGGCGTTCCTCTCAGCAGAAAGAGTTTTGATTCGCCGCCTATTTCAGTAAGTAGCCAACGCCTTCCTGAAAACGGGAAAAGTGCTGGAGCTGACCCTAGCAAGTCCTGAAGCACATTTTGGTTCAAGACCGATGTAAGAGTTGATTGTCCTTTATTTACCTGCAGCACCATCTCTAATGAGCTCTTTGTTGATGCTGCAGCTCGTTTCCTATAAAAATACCACGGTGTCAGATTATTAATCTAGAGAAATGTGACAATATGTCCTTTCATGCAGATCGCTTTCCTGTGAAATTTCTGCCTTCATGTTTTCTTTTAAATTCAGCAGATTAAACGACTATCAATCATAAAAAAATCAGTAATTACACATGGCTCACTTGTTATTCCCACTTCTGCTGCGTTCTGCAGGAATGCATTCATCTGCATGTAAAGGCCACGGATATGGACAGACTGTACAGGGTGGAGTTTGGTTTAAAACCCCTCCACCTGTTAAAAGACCAAATAACAGAAGCAGAGGCGGGTCAAGCTTTGGTCCCGAGTCCTGGAAACGCTCATCTCAGAACTCCTCGTCCTCCGAGATGAGGTAGTTCTGCTTCTTTCTCACGTTCCAGTGCAAACACTGCGCCAGGCTCTCGAACCAGTCGTTCACCGGGTCACGGAAGCAGATGGACGGAACGGGGAAGCAGGATGTAGTGATGGTAATACTGAAACACAGAAAGGACTTGTGATTTTACCCGTCTCAGGAGGCACAACGGCCTGGAGCCAGTTAACGTTTCTGATCAGTTTATGTAACAAAGCCAGAGCGCTGAGGCAGCAACAGAGGGGCTTAAAGCTCAGGACGTGGACACACCTGTCTCCATGGCAGATCTCCTGCCTCTTCCTCCCATCAAACGACACCCAGGCCGTGTTCCTGGCTTCACGCGACAGCTTTATCTGTGAAGGAAAGACAGTTTAACGACACCGGTACAAAGAAAACGTGTTCTTTAAAGGTGCAGTATGAGCTGCTTTTTTTGCCATATTGCTAGAAATGTTCACTTACCGACGGGCAACCAATAAATGTAATGATTAATAAAATAATAATAGTTTATTGATCCTGTTCCATCCATCTTACTGCCCAATGACCATTCCTCCCACCTCTGCATGTAACCTTCTGTGTGCACGAACTGTGCAGCTGAACAGGAAGTGAAGCCAGAGTCAGACTGAACGTTTCATTCTTTTTTTACATGTTCTGTTCTGGTTGGTAAACTTTAAGGTGATGGAGTGGCTGTCCATGAAAGCAGCCTGCCTTCTGTCAGCTGGCAGAGCTGAAGAAGGGGGTCGGACCTCGCAGCTGTGCATTTTCAAAAAGCGGTTTGTCCGAATGGCAAAAAAAACATCTCATATTCCCCCTTTAAACCAAAAACCTCCAATGGCAGAAGATGCAGCGTCTAGATACCTTGAGCTCCACTCCAGCAGGCACCACGATGGGTCTGAAGGAGAGCGAGTGGGGGCAGATGGGGGTAATCATGATGGCGGGGACATTGGGGTGGATCATGGAGGCTCCTGCTGCCACCGCGTACGCTGTGCTGCCCGTGGGTGTCGATACGATCACACCTGAGGGAACGCAAACAGGACGACTCAAAAGGTGGCCAAAACAAACCAGACCGTTTGTTTTTCCTTCAATCGTTTCCTGCCATCAGAGCTGCAGGCCAGCACTGATCACATCACCTGTGTACTCACCGTCTCCCTGCACCGTGGTGATCAGATGTCCGTCCAGGTAGAGGTCGACATTGGAGAGATACGAGGAGGGTCCTCTGTCCACCACCACCTCATTCAGCACCTAACACACACACACACACACACACACACACGTCACAGTTTAACATCAGTAACAATCTGTTAAGTAGACTCCGGTGACACGAGGCTCCTGCAACCACATTGTCTGACGGCAGCAAAAATACTATAATCCCTAAAGAAGCAGGCAGTAACGTCACTGCTCACTAATGCTGTTCAACAAGCAGACTGGAGGACATTGCATGACTAGTTATTTTGACCAGATTTCAGTAGGAAATGCAGCAAAACTGGTTGCAGGTGTCTGACAGTCTGAACTTAGTGTTCATGCTAATCAAACGCAGCAAAGAATTAAAACCAGGCTCAAGAAGAGAAATTACCTGATACTGCATGACTTTGCGGCTGCTCTCCGCGTCCCCGTTGGTCAGGATGATGCTCTTTTCATCCATCGTGTCCTTCTTCTCCCAGTTCTCTTTCAGAACTTGGACTTTCAAGCGACTCCTCAGCACGATTGCAGCGTTGCCTGCAGCGCAAGTATGCATGAGAGTCTTGACGCCGGTGAAAGGCGACATAAAGGAAAAAGAATGCGGGCGGGTCGGACGGCGTTCTGTACCTTCGATGATCTGCGTGACCTGAGACTGGTACGTGTCGAACTTGAACGGCGTCAGGAAACCCAGCGAACCCAGGTGAAAAGCCATGACTGGCGGAACGCTCTCCTGCAAGTAGAAGTTAGCAGAGAATTGTTGATGCTGCGGCTGGGGAAAAGAGAGAAACGCCGTTCAACTAACAATAATACCTGAAAGAGCGAAGAAGCGTAAAGCAACGTTCCATCTCCACCGAGGCAGATGATGAAGTCAACACGATTAGAAAGATCATCGAAATCTGCAAAGATGAACACGATTATCAGCTTTTCTTGTAACGCAGATGTTTGAACAGCTGCAGCTTTTATATTTTACCTTCTCTGAAAGTGCAAAATTTCTTAGCGATGGCTCCAAAGTTCTCATCTCCTGAAATGGCTGGGTCGTCCAGGACCTTCTTCTCCACATAAACAATCATGTTTTTCACCTGCAACCAAACCAGAGATGACACGTGCTATCCCCAAACAAACAAACAAACAAACAAACAAAACAGCCATGTTCCTGGTGGACATGGTTGTAAAAGGTTGTTATAAAATAAATAAAGAGCTCGGGTACCTCGGTGAGGAAGATGCAGAGCTCTTTGAAAGGCTGAAGCAGGCTGGCGTCTCGGATCTTCTTTATGACGAGGACACTTTTTGGCGGCTTGTTCCACGTTAGTTTCTGGCTGGCGGGGTCCTGAATGTGCCTGAATAAAAAACACATTTAAAAACGAACAAACGGTGAGTTTAATGATCACATCAGACTAAAGTCTACCTGTGATGTCCCTCTGTTGCTCTGCAGAGTCTGCAGGCGATTCAAATGTTTTCATACACAACAAATGTAAAAATGCCAACATGAAAGGATAAAAATAATTGTGAAAGCTCCTGATAGGACATCCAACAGGTCTTACGAGGTCACACTAAACCAAGAGAGAATGCTTGCTTGAGGATGACTCGACGGACTGCACGCTGACCGGGACGAATCCTGAACGAAGGTGGAAAAAGGAAAAGAGCTAAAATAGGAAAAACTGCTGCAGGGTGCATCCTTCCCACAATCAGCGAGTCTGTTTATGTTCATTAGCCGCAGCTTTCATTCGTCACACACAGCCGAGCGAACAGCAGACGCTCTATTTCTAATACAACGGCTTTATTTCTGCTAGAAGTTAAAGCCGGGCTAATTTAGATGCATATGCTGATGCTATAAATCTTAAGCGAGGACAGAGAGAGACTGCCCCATAAGTCACAAGATTTCTCCACCTTCAAATCTGAACAAACATCTCGTGATTTGAACGGAGTTCATTAACGGTAAAAAGCAGGAAGGACTAAGTTTCAACTGTTTTGTTGAGTTTAAAACCATCTGATCTCAATCAGCTGTGGAGAATGCGTTCGTTTGGAGGACTGATGCGATCTGCTGGACGATCGAGAAAACGACGAAAGGAATGTTTTTATTTAAACAGAACACAGGTCCTGTCAGAGTGACATTCCCAGCATCCGACGCCCTGAGCCTGAAAACAGCATCATTAAGAAACATCCACTTCCTGTTTCTCACCTCGAAACACCCGACAACAAAGAAACCAAACAGATAAACGACAAAGCAGAGCGGCTCTCGTCTGGACCAGAGGAAGCCACCTCTGATCTATTCATGAACGGTTCCTTCTCAAAGCACCCACGACCCGACCTCCCCCTTTCATCCAGATCGGTCCAAACCACTTTTCCTTTGTGATCAGGCACAATTCCCACCAGCTGCATGCATCCACATCACTGCAGACTCCAGGTATGTCTTTTATAGAATCATTTCAAAGCACAATGAGCAGAAAGGAGCTTGTTGAGTCTAAATGTGTGATTTATGGTGTTTAATATGTTTTATAAGGAGCAGTGAGGCTCTTTTATATAAATATGTGTTAAAATTTGACCCCGTTTTCTAAAGAGAAAGAGGATCCCTCACCATTTCCAGACTTTGTTCTCTCCATGGCTTCCCGGTGTCTCCTCCACTAAACACGGGTTAAACTTCATGACCGCACGACTCGAGATGTCCCAGCTGGAGGAAGACGCTCTGTCCTGATGCCTGATTCTTTCTTTCTTTCACAACTAGCAACTCATTCTGCATCTAACAACTTCCTAAAAAGGCAAACACGCTGGAGCAGCTAACACGAAGTCTGCTGGAGCGCGGCGGTCGGAGCAGGAGGATCAGCTATTTTTGTCCCAGAGAGGACTTAAGGCTAAACTCTCCTCGTGGATTCTGCTCCTGAGGTAAAGCTCACGCCTTATAAAAGCGGTGCACACGACTTAAGCCCCGCCCCTTCTGGGTTGTTGCATGGACCTAGTCATTTTAGAGGAGGAGTTTCCTTGTTGGCCAGGTGTGACTCACACCCAACACTGCTGCTGCGGGCGCAACACACAGATGAGTGATAGTAACAGGAAGGTGATTTAACCTGCATGACCTCATTCTGTGTGTGTGTGTGTGTGTGTGTGTGTGTGTGTGTGTGTGTGTGTGTGTGTGTGTGTGTGTGTGTGCGTGCTGGATATCACTACCAGAGGTGCAGACATGTTTTAGACCGTTTGACTCAGAAGACCTGCGACCCGATTTGGACATAGAGGAGGATTCTGTTCATCTTCAGAACCAAAATCGGTACAGTTTGTTTACTTTTCTTAAATATTTCATTTGTGCTCCACTGGGAGCTCCAAGCTGATGAGTTCTCAGCTGGTCTTAGCTCCATCATGTGTCCCAATATAGTTCAGTAATCTACAGTTTCACTGCTGTGTGTATTTATTGATATAACTCTGGAAAATATTTAACCGACAATTTACCAGAATAAATCTTCCTGATGCTGGAGTAACTCCTTAGCTCAACTCGTTGTTTGCACTAATCCAGGATGTCATGGAGGTTCTACTGTTGAAATATAGAGATCACCTTTTAGATTAGATCTGTGTGTGTGTGTGTGTGTGTGTGTGTGTGTGTGTGTGTGTGTGTGTGTTCTTGTACATACTGAGGACCATTTTGAACATTTTCCCTAAAAATTGAGAACATTTTGTCAAAGTGGGGACATTTTTTTGGGTCCTCACTTTTTTTTAGAAGCGTATCAGAAGCTTACTATACCAGTCAGAGGTATGGTGTGAATTAAGTTTTAGTTAAGGTTAGGGTTAGGAATAGATCAGCATTGGTTATGGTTAGGGTTGGAGTATGGGTTAGGCATGGTGAAATCACAAAAATGAATGGAAGTCAATGGAGGGTCCTCACTATGATAGAAAGACAGAAGTGTGTGTGTGTGTGTGTGTGCGTGCGTGTGTGTGTGTGTGTGTGTGTGTGTGTGTGTGTGTGTGTGTGTGCACCCATTACAGGGTAGAAGACAATGAAACTGGTCAGTACTGATTGTGTATTTACATTTATGGGATAATCTCTGAATGGGAGTGAGCTTCCTGATGTCCCGTTTCAGCAACGATAAAACTAAAGCTGTGAAGGCAAAAGGAGGAAAGAATCTGCACACTAGACGTTTACCTGCAGATAACCGTATTTAATCCTCAAACATAATAAAATTCTTATTAATTTCTTTATATTTTGTTTTTACGGAGCCAGAATTTCTTACTGTCTTGATTTAAAAATGATCTTAATAAGGTTTCTCAGGCTTTCAGAAGCTCTTCCTGATTTTTCACTCTTTGAAAGTAATTTTATTAACAAATGAAGGGTAGTTGGAGATGTTCGCATACTAATGCTGCTTCACTTCACCCATGAAACGGGCGATACATATCGTGACGAATCTTCTAGGAACCAATCAGGATTTGCAAAACATAAGAAGGTGAGTTCTCCTGGATCTGGATGCACATAATGTCCCATTAATAATAAATGCTCATCTATTTTTTGTTATAAAGCTTTCCATGTTCATTTAACCCTCCCACTGTCTATGGGTGACCCCGCGAGGAAAGTTGACCATTGAGCAGGGTTGATGGTTTATCCCTTGAGGTCCACGTGGCAGGGGTGAGGTGGTGCTCACTCCTGCCACGTGGACCTCAAGGGATAAACCATCAATCCTGCTCAATAGTCAACTTTCCTCGCGGGGTCACACCCATTAGGACAGTGGGAGGGTTAAAGAAAGCTGCAGGACAGCTAGAATGAGTGTGTGTTTTTTAAGTGAGGCTGTCAAATAGGTGAAGTAGTCAAAAGAAACCGAACAACAAATACCCGTCGGAATGTTGTATTTTCACTTTTTAAGCGGTGCTGACATAACCACGGCTCTGAGCAGAGTGATACGCCTCGTTTGGCAGTACAAAGTGTTGTGATTTAAAATCAACAACGAAGACAGAGGAGCAAGGGACCGTCTCATCTGACTGTTTAATGTTTGGTTAGGACCTATTCATCAAGAATAAGACCATGAACATTAAACAACACGTAAAAAATATTAACCAATCAGACGTCCCTCTGATGTCATCTGGAGTCTAAGATTTTAAATTAAACACCTGCAGCATTTAAAAACAATAATAGAGAAGAACTAAATGTAGACGATTGTCTAGTTCCTCACAATGCTTTTTGAATGACTAGGCAGATGAATACCGGAGGACAAAGTGTCCAGTTGGACCAGTTTAGAGGTTAGAGTGGGAGGGGACGTCACGTATTCTGCTTCTGCCCAACAGGTTTATCACTGCAGCTTACCATCCTCAAAAAGATAAATAAAAATCACAATGTGCTTTAAGAGAGAAGACAAAATACTAAAAATACCCAAATTAACTGATATAAATAAGCCAATTATCACTAAATCTAACTAGATGTCTGTTGAAATGAAAAATAAAATCAGCTGTAGCTGATTAAAAACCATCGACATTAATAGCAAGAGTGTCCATAGTTAACTTGCTTTTAATCATGCATATTGCACCAATATTTCTCATGTTTCTAGTGTTCTTAGAGTCAAGAGAAAACATACCTCCTTTATGCAAATGTAACCACTTTGCTAGGACATCTGTTAGTTTTTCATGCTTTTTTCTCCTACCTTTCTACCACACGTACAAGTAGAAGACACCACTGCTTGTATGGGGCAGTGATTTGCTTCCTTTAATGGTGTGCTTGCATTTAGGGGACAATTAAAACTAAAAGGGCTCCAATTTTGATGAAATCCCTCATCTGGAAGAGATCTGATACAAAAATGTCAGTGTAAATGTTGTTTTTACTGCACTCCTGTTGTTTTAAATTCTGGTTCATGTGAGCTGAATGAGGGGGGTGGACTACTGGCGGTTGTGAGTGAGGCCCCTTGGGGGTCTTGGTGGTGGACATGGGTTGCTGCCTGGCGGCTGCATTGCCCCTGAGCAGGTCTGGGTGGGGGCCTGGGGGCTCGGGGGTGGCCGGCCCTGTGTAGGGATCTGAGCAGGGCCTTGGGGGTCAGGTCCTGACATGTATGCTGCCGGGAAGAAGGCGGGAACATGCGGCAGCGCCTGGCCCGGGCTCAGGTAGACCTTGGCTCCTCTGCTGTCCCATTACGGGGGACGAGGATGTCCAGGAGGGGAAGGACCCAACCGTACCTGGATGTCCTATGTCTTGTATATTCTGGAAATTGTGCAAATGCAGGGATGGGAGTAGATATTCTGCCGGGGTGGGGCTGAGTTGGTGCCCTCGAACTCCGTAGGGCTCTGCGATGCTGCTGCTTTGGGCCCTGGCAAGATGGGCTGGGGTCTCCATGCCCTGGGTGACATTTTGGCAACAGAGGTGCCTATTGGGGCCAGTGGGGGAGCTGGCTTCCTGGAGGGCTTAGGCCAACCAGCCATTCCTCCCCATCCCCACACATTTCTCTCCTCCTGCTAACTCACATCATCACTCAAACACAAACTTAGGGCCTTGGGAGTGAGCAACACACTTAGGGCCTTGGGAGTGAGCAACACACTTAGGGCCTTGGGAGTGAGCAACACACTTAGGGCCTTGGGAGTGAGCAACACACTTAGGGCCTTGGGAGTAAGCACATTCAACGGCATTTGGCAGGGAATTTTTCAGCCTCATCATGAGTGCCGGTGTCCACTTCCAATTTTAAACTGCACTTAAGACACAGAGGGCTGTGGGTGCAAGTGGGACGGTGTGCCTGTGGGCTTGCCGCTGACATCTCCCGAGGCTCTGCCGGTTGTTGGTTGTGGCCCCCCCGGGACAATCCTCTGCGCCTCTCGAGGGGGGCAGGGGCTTTTCTGGTTGCAGTCTCCCTGGGGTCCCTGTGCTCTGGGGCAGCTCCTGGATCTCTGGGACTTGGAGCTCCCTCCATCTCCTGCACATCTTTGGGGGGGCAGATCTGTGGCCCCTCACACTCTATTGGACGCTCCTATAGAGAAGCCTTACATATACAAGCACGTGTACACACACAGGTGCTCACATGGTGCTCTCATAAGTATGGACTTGGGCATGTTCAACACATGTCTTAAGGCTGTGGTTGACACTAAATGCACTGTGATTTATTATCGTGATTGTTCAGTAAAACAATTGTAACTGGGTCACTTTAGTTCCCGGAAGTAATTCTGGTTGGACATGCCATGCCACTGACGCAGAAGAGGCCAGGTGAGTCAGTACAAGGTCGCTATAATTTGGGCAGCTGGGGTCTAGGGGCAAACTTCCATTTGTACCGCAATTCCAAAAATTCTGAAATCTTCACAAATTATCATTCCCACACTGACAAAGAGAACATTTGAGTAAAACGGATATTTTTCAAGTCTATACGTGATGACAGGTGGATAATTCATCATTACAGCAGTTATGCTTACCTGGAGCTCAAAAACAAAGTCGTTTTGATCCACGTTTGCGTGTTCAGTAGCCTCACCCTTCCACGAAGAACCACCAAGATGACACGTTTCAGTTCAGAAAATCTAAAGTGTCTCGGTGTTGAATCACTGCATGTTGCCCCCAGCGACTACACACAATGTGTGAAAGCATTCACGTAAACAATCAGATTTAGAAAACTGGTCATCTGAAAACAGCACCACCCAACCTTTGTTAGCAGCAAAGATAGCCCCGTCTTACTACTTTTAACCTGTTTAGCAGCTTTAAAGAAGCTCATCCTTTTAAAATAGATCAGCGAGTGAAACGTGGGCAAAGAGTGTCACTGGGTCACCGGTGTGTCCGGGCTGAGTTAAAGTTAAGTTTAACATGACGACAAATGGTGATACCACGCTTTTAACAAACATGCACTTTTGTTTAAAAGGCTTTGCATCTGGCAAATTTCAAAATAAACGACAGAGCAGATTAATTGTTGTGTAAACATTAGCGATGCACCAATATGCAATTTTGGGGCCGATACGATATTAAGATCACTGTTATGGCCAATAACCGATATTTGCCGATACCAATATATGTACACACAACACACACATTTACGATTCCGAGATGATTTCAGTCACGGTTCACATGACTAAACAACTACACATCACCCCCCTCACCCTCTGAAACAGGCAAACAAATGGAGACAAGATGGAAAAAATATCGGTTGTTAATATTGGCCTGGTTTTATTTATCGAACCGATGACGATATGTTAAAAAATGACTAACACTGGCCGATGCCGATATATTGTCCATCCCTAGTAAACATAATAAAAAACATTACCAATGACACCTCCTTGGCGAAGGTAAAAAGAACAGAAAATAAACCACAGATCTTTTGGACACAAGCTGCAATCTTTCTTCTTGCTTGTTATTGTTTGAACTGCCGAAATCATGCGTGACCTTGCAATTGTCCTGTGATTTTGTGATCTCCTGGGATCAAACACGTCTATTACATTAAGAGCCACTTACGCATCCACGTTACTGAGCACCAAACGTACAGTGGTGTGAAAAACGGTTAGCCCCCTTCCTGATTTCTTATTCTTTTGCATGTTTGTCACACTTGATTGAAACAGGTGTGGCAGTAATCAGGCTTGGGGGTGGCTACAGAAATTGAACTCAGGTGTGAAACACCACAGTTGGGTTATTTTTTAACAAGGGGGGCAATTACTTTTTTACACAGGGCAAAGTAGGTTTGGATTTTGTTCTCTCCCTAAATAATAAAAACCATCATTTCAAAACTGCATTTTGTGTTTACTTGTGTTATCTGAGACTAATGGTTAAATTTGTTTGATGACCAGAAACATTTTGTGTGACAAACATGCAAAAGAATAAGAAATCAGGAAGGGGGCTAACCATTTTTCACACCACTGTAATGTCAACAACAGATCTTCCATTTGGATGTTTTGACCTCTTAACTGGGATCAGCAGATCAGAAATTGGTATCTGCCATCAAAACCAGAATCAGTGCATCACTAGTTCAAACTTAGAAAACTTTCTTCTCCCAAATAATAGATGAATCTGCTAAATTCAAACTGTATAACCCTAACCCTGGTTTAGAAGTACACAAGCCCTGTATCAGTAGAATTACCGGTATTAGTTTGGTTTCCTTGACCTGCTTGATTTGCTTCATTATGGATCAACAGATTAAGAACTAATATGCAAGATTATTCTGTGATGTGTAAGTTGTCAGTTAGTTGTTTGACTTTTTGTTTTAAACATGGAAGTTACACAAGAGGAGGTGATAAGTAAATAATCTGGAGTTTGACAGCTTCTCATAAACCCAGACTTCAGAAACGCTCCATGAAAACTTGCTCAGGAGGAAATCAGTTTCTCTATTAAAGGGGCATTATGGAAGTTTGACAGCCAAAACATGTATAGAAATAATAAATGTCTTCTTCATACATTCTCCTGCAATGCCCTGGTCCTGTAGAATGAGCCCTGGCATTTTTACTGTGATTGCCTGTTTTTCTGTAAAATCACAGAAAAAGAGAGATGCTCGGGTCGAGCAGGCTGCTTCATGTGCGTTCACGCTCAGGCATCGCCCGTAGCATTTGCTATCCGTAGCTTTAGCAGCAGAGAGTGAGGTAGTGCCACTTTGTCGCTGTTCCTAACGCCTAGTGACGAACCTAGCTACATTTCTGAGGACGCTTAGCTACTTTCTTCTAGATATTTCCTGCAAATTAGCAACAAAATAGCCGTTTTCGCTCCGAACCGTTCTTTGAACGTTGTTTCAGCTGTCATCAAGGATATAAATATTATAGATACCAAATACGTCAGTGGTGGTTTAGCTCATCAAGTTAGACATCGGCCTCTCGTGCAGGAGACCTGGTTCGATTCTGGGTGAGAACACAGTTTTTTAGAGTTTCTTTTTTACAGTAATGATATATTTTTTTTACAGTAAGATGCCCAATTTTTTATTTGAGACTCGCCGAACGGCTTTGAATTCACAGATAAAAAAGATGTGGGTTCAACTTTCATTTTGGAACAATTTTTCAAGCAAGGGAAGGGAATGATCTGAGCATGCAGGAGGACTGACCCATCATAAACCTTTGTCGGCTGTGCTGAAGAGAAAGGTACAGAAGCAAACTACTTAATTAGCTGTGCGTTCTCCTGCCCTCTGTCCTTCGGGCCACCCACCCACCCACACACACACACACACACACACCCACACACGGGACTGTCAGCTCTCAGAGCTCTGTGAAGCTGACGCTTCACTCAGCTGTTATTTTCATTAAGGAGTGTGCACGTACAGCATGCGCGCCTCGTGCACGAGCCTCCTATTGAAGCTGCCGTTACGCTTTTGGCCAGAGGGGGCAATCACGAGCATAAAAATTCAAAACTCCGTAAAGTCCCTTTAAGATCAAACACTAGATAATATTCTGATCGTCGTCTCTCCGTGTTGAGATTTATCTTATAGTTTAGACTTCCCTTCCTCTCTTCTAGGTGTTCTTGATGGTTATTTGCAATAACTGCAGCAAAGACTAATGTAATTCAAGGTCTGATGTAGCATATTCAGTCAGCACTCAGAATTATAATTCGGAAAAAAATTAATATATACTCTAAAAGTGTAAATAAAAAAATGTTTTCTTCAGCTTACATTACAGCGTGGGGGTTCTGGAGCATGCAGGCCTTCGGACCGAACGTGGTGACGGGGCTTGGTCCGTGGAGTGACTGATTCCTCCTGAAAACAGACAGAAAGAATCCAGGTTTAAACACAAACAGCCTCATTTTTTAACAAGACAAGAAAAGGCCCAAGCCTTTTCAATGATAAAATATCTAGTGTTCTATAAAATCTTCTACCACCTCAGTGCTACTTAATGATTAATACTTTATGAAATTAACCAGGAGATTAAAAACCCATGAAAATGTGCACTGGTTCCTTGTGAAATACTCTAATCTGTCATGGCTGCAGTGCAAACACTAGCCAGTCTCGTCCTCTGTAATTCTACACAGAGAGCTAATTCTGAGTAGAACTACATCCCATAAGGAAGCACGACGCTGGCTGGTCGGGCTATGCAAACACAGTTACCTTAGATACTCACCCTGCAGTATTTCTCACCGTATTTGTTTTTGTACAACAACCTCAAATGAACCCTTACAACACAATGTTTGCATAAGGCTTTGTTAAACCTGTCTAATTGCATTAGGGGTGAAAGGTCGGCGATGCTGAGCTCTGATGGAACAAACGCAGCCTTCATGCTGCTTCACATCGGCCCAGCCAACAAATCCTCTTAGTCGGACCCGCTGAATTTACACCCTGGCGCTCCTAAAGCTGCATTAGTAAGAATTCGATTATCAACGTTGTTAGACATGAACGTGTTCATGGTTTTGTTTAAAATGACCCACTTTCAATTCAATTCAGTTCATTTCTGTAGCGCTAAACCAGGGACAAGAGTCGTCTCCAAGTACTTTACAAAGTAAACAATCCAATTGAGTTCACTTCAATATGCCAATTAGTTGCAAGATTCCCATGTGAGGAAACTCAGCAGATTACATCAAGTCAAACAAAAACAACTAATTTTTGCAACAGCTGTAATAAAAACAAACGGGCACAAAAAAACTTAACTGGCTTGTTTTTTTTCTTTAGACTCTCTTACCTCTTAGAAAAATGGAGAAGTTTAGGGATTAAGCAACATTTACCAGGTAAGACAGAAGAAGGAAGTTGGAACAAAAAGTGTGTGTGTGTGTGTGTGTGTGTGTGTGTGTGTGTGTGTGTGTGTGTGTGTGTGTGTGTGTGTGTGTGTGTGTGTGTGTGTGTGTGTGTGTGTGAGAGAGAAACAAAAGAAAAGGAAAAAACCCTGACATTGTATCTGCATATTCACAACACACCCTTCGACTTTCATCATCCATCCTTTAGCTTCCAAGCAGCCAGACTCTCACCATTTCCCTTCAAACTAAAGCTTTTGTTTCCCATTTAAAAGCAAAAACATCAAGAAAGTAGGCGTCATTTAAGCTTTTACTCACTACTGTGAACCCTCTTTTATTTTGAAAGGTTTTTCCAAGTGTTATTACAATTGGCGACATTAAACAAAGCCAGGCCCTACAGTATCAACGATAAATAATATTGGGAGTGTTTAACGAAAGTAAGAAAGTTGTTGGTGATAATTTTAACCAAATACATAAATAAAATTAAAAATTTTCATTACTCAAAGTTTCCGCCCTCCTAGCAGATGAATAGAAACCACTTTCCTATTAATGTGAAGTCAATCGCAGTTGCCATCATGAATAAATTCATGTTGGGTGTAGATTTTAATATCTTGGACAAGTGCACTCTTATTAGTGAGTTCCCATTTCTAAGAAACCTCAGACAAAGAAAACAAAACATTTGCAACATCTATTCTGAACAAACACAAAAGGCATCCTTCTACATCCTTCTACAGCAACAGGAACCAAACCCACACCTGGAGATTTCTCAAGTGGTGCAAGACCAGCTCTGTCACAAGGCAGTGTCAAAATCATTTCTAAAAACAGAAGCTGTTTGGAAATACCACAAATCATGTTATTATCTGCTAGTTTTATATTGTTTTGAAGCATAGCAACAAGTACCTTCTAGTAAATAAGTTTCACGGACAATTAACAATAAGTTGCCTACTAAACATTAAAATGCTTAGTTTAAAATGCCTTAAATGCAATTTTCTAGCATTTTCCCCTTTAATCTGGGTCTGAAAGTATCATTTGTGAAAAGATAAATGCTGTTCTCAAGTTGTTGCTACTGTATCTGCTTCTGTTTCAACAGGAACACACTGGTTGCAGATGTATGCCCTCTTTTTCTGTAGTAATTTCCAGGATATCCCACTGATATGTCCACAGAGTGAACCCAGCCCAGATGGATTCAGTTTCTCTGGCATTGAAATCTTTTCTTCTTTTTTTTTCTTGAATCAACGCAAATGAAAAGATTGCGCCTTGCATTTGTGACTCAACAAAAACGCTGACCCTGATGGAACCGGAGACATGGTTACTGGTTGAATAAAAGAAACAATAATGAGGAGAGGGACACCTGACCACCCAGGTGGGTGTGTGAGCTCCACATTCACCTGTACTCTGAGTAGCTGCTGGCCGAGGAGGCGCTCAGACTGCGGCTCTTCGTGTAGCGCCGTGCCACGCTGAGACCCGGGACCTCTCCTCCTCCCTCACAGGTGGCGCAGCAGTAAGGAGCAGCCTCCTTTCGCACCTCCGGGCCACCGTCCATCTGACAGCTAGGCTAGGAGCAAACTGGACAGAACCGGTAGGCCATTAATGGGGCTAAAAACCAAAAACGCAGCCGCACCGACATAAACAATGCATCTAGTTATTACATGGAACAGTCTAGAAAACTTAAAACACATTAAATTATGTCCCTTTTTCATAATATACACACACAACAAAACAAAACAATTTAAGGTTCGCTTTATGCTAGCAGGGGTTTGTTTAAAAGTTTTTGTTTCCGTATGTTTCAAAGGTAAGCAACTATGCAATGTTTGAGCGAAGTTAACAACTTAATCATAATTAGAGCCAGCAGCCCTTCGTGCCGACTGAAACATTTAGGAAAGTTTAACCGCGTCATTCTGAAGAAAATGTAGACCGGCTGGTAGGAGATCAAGCTCGGCTAGTTTCATAAGAAGCTAGCTGAGCTGCTCGCTGCCGGTCAGGCGGAAACACGGAGCGTCTATATTTTATCGATTTCCAACTCTACCTTGACACAGAAAGTTTACCGGAGGATATGAAGACCTGAGGAACAGCAATTTGCCGAGGGGGTTATCTGTGGAAAAATTACGTTACACCATGTTCCCTCTCTCCAAAAGAGCTGTCAGGTCAGCCCATAACTTCCTGTTCCTCACTGACCAATCAGAAGCTCATACTGCCCGTGACGTCTGATTGGATGAGAGAGAGAGAGAGAGAGAGAGAGAGAGAGAGAGAGAGAGAGAGAGAGAGAGAGAGAGAGAGAGAGAGAGAGAGAGAGAGAGAGAGAGAGAGAGAGAGAGAGAGAGAGAGAGAGAGAGAGAGAGAGAGAGAGAGAGAGAGAGAGAGAGAGAGAGAGAGAGAGAGAGAGAGAGAGAGAGAGAGATTTCATTCAAAATACTTCATAAATGTTACCCAGCTAATCACTATATGACAAAGATTAAGAGGGACAATGTGAATTGCTGTTTTTGTGGAAGCCACCCTGAGACGGTTCAGCACCTCTTCTGGATCTGTTCACATGCTACGACGTTTTGGAAAGAGTTTAGCAGATTTATTATCGGAC